ACGTTGAAGTAGTCTGTGAGAACGGTGCTCTCCTTAAGACGATCCTCAGCATCGGCATTGGAGAATGGCTCGCCATCACCCTCCTTGGAACTGAAGTTGATGTCCTTGGGCTGGTCAAAGCTGTGACCGAGGTCTCCCGTCGTAGGATTGAAGGGCTCGTTGGTGTTGCCGACGGAAAAGGTGCCCTTCCCAGGAACCCAGGCCTTGCGGACAACCATCTTCCCTTGGGTGAGAGTTCCGGTCTTGTCAGAACAAATGTCTGCCGATGGATTAGCATCTGTTATTGGGAGGGAACTTCATTGTATTTGGTGGAAACCTACTCGTAACACCTCCAAGGGCCTCCAAGCTCTTCAACTGGCGAACAATAACGTGACGCTGGACCATGCGTTTCGTGCCAGCAGCCATGGTGATAGTCAAGACCACGACTAGCGAGGCAGGAATCATCGCAAGACCAGTGGCAACGGCGTAAATCACGACCTCCTGCGTTGTATTGAACTTGTTTGCTCCCAACACGATCAGGGCGCACACGACAGCGGTACCGAAGAGCAGAATCGCCAGTTTGGACAGCTTTCTCTGTAGAGGCGTTCCAACATTGACGCCCAAGAAGCGTCCAACAGCATCGGAAAGGGTTAAAGTCCATGCTTGAAGGTAGCGCCCAAAGGTGGCAGAGCCGTCCTCCTTACGCTTGACCTCTCGACGGCGCGAGTTCTTGCCCCGAAGGGCGGCAGCAATCTGACCAATTTCGGTGTACATGCCTGTAGCGAAGACGATACCACGAGCACGTCCCTTTGTAACGGTTGAAGAGCTGTAAGCGACGTTCAGACGGTCGCCAGGTCCAGTCTCATCATCAAAAGTCTGAGCAGCCTCCTTGCGGATGGGGAGAGACTCTCCCGTGAGCAAGGCTTCGTTTGTTTCGAAGTTGACGGCTTCGATGATGCGAACGTCGGCAGGGATGGTGTCACCGGTCTTGAGCTCGACCATGTCACCAGGGACAATCTCGACGGTGGGGACGGTGATGTTGCGGCCCTCGCGTACGGCCTGGGCAGTGGGTGAGCTAAGTGATCGAAGGGAATCCATAGTCTTTGCGGCCTTGAATTCTTGATGGAAGCCGACAGTAATGTTAAGGAAGATAACACCAGCGACGACACCTCCTTCGATCCAAGACTTGATACCAAAAGAAGCACCCATAGCCAGGATCAGAACCTAATTCGACATCCAGGTCAGTCTATCGCTCTTTAGATGGAAGGATCAAGACGGTGAAGAAGTCATACCAAGGTCATTGCATTGGCAATCTGTCCAATGAAGATCTTGACAGGCTGAACACCCTTATCGGCGCCGAACTCGTTGCGGCCATACTCTTCAAGACGAGTCTTAGCGTCCTCGGGAGACAAGCCGTCGTCTGGGTTGGCCCTCAACTCCTGAACGACTTGCTCGGTAGCCAGAGCATGCGCTGGCCGGGACATGGGCTTGTTAGACTGTCCGGAGACGTGGTTGGCCATGGCCTCGGCCTCGGGATCTTTTTTCCCCATGTTGACAATTCTTCACCGGTGGAAAGGGTGAATTAATTGAGGATAAACGCGAGAGGACAGGTGACGATGGAAAAATTTCCGGGCTACCTGGCAGAAGCTCTCTAAGAGATTCCAAGAACGATCGCTGGAACCAGTTGGAGTAGAGGGATGTGTAAGTCTTCAGACAAATACGGGTTGGAACGGGCAAAAGTGTGAGTGCTCTGCTCTTATCCAGGTTCAAGCACTTCTACCCCCTTAAGGTCAAGAGAACAGTCAAGCATGAGGAGGAAAAATGAGGTAATGATAAAAAGTCGTCGGCAAGACTTGATTCAGATTGTGTCGAGAGAGATGAGGAACAAAAAGCCAAAGATTCGAGAGGGGAGTTGGGAGAACATGTATACATGTACTTGGTGACCGAGGACGGGGAATCATCTCTGGGCTTTATGACTTCATAACGAGATAGACGGACAGTACGAGGGGGGCGTAAAACGCCCACATCTATCGCTTCCACATCTACCAGTCTCCTCGCGGTCCGCTGTGACAAGCGTTCTCGTGGGTGTCGAGGGCGTATTCCTTCAGCCTTGGCGGCTCTGCGCGGGGCTCTGTTCAGGGTGCACCCAGGCTTTCCATGGTGTTGGGGTAATCTCAAGATGTTCGACCGAACATCGGTCGTGAACACGCGAGCGGTTCAATAGCACGCAATTCAGATCTTGGTTGGATCTTGACGCCCTCGCCTGCCATGTTGAGCCGCCGAGACTCTGGGCAGCGGGCCTCATTCTGGGCAACCCGCTCCTCGAGAGGCTGAGAGCGGTGCTGGGCATTGTAATGGAGAATACAATTGGACCCGCAAGAGACAAGAGCATGGAGGAAGGGGTGGGTGAGGTTGAGGGATCGATGCTTTCGGTGATGAATTTGGCTGCGCCCAGAAAGATAGAAGACGAGAGTTTCTGCCTTCCCCACTACGCCACCGGCCAGTAAGACATCTCTCTGCCTTCCAAGAAACATTCATTGTGGGGATACCCTCCTTCTAGAAGGTTGCCAGTTGCAGGGGTGCTGTCACCTCTGCAGTAGTGTATCTGCAATGGTGCCAATATCGTATACTGTGGTTGGTCGTAGACTGTATGCGTACATTTTTCTCGAAGTTCAGGCTGTAGGGTGGACAGGTCTGGAGAGTAACACCGGCGGGCTTGCGGTAAGGCCGAGTCCCGCTCAGTGTCGCTGAGTTGACTCCGGGTGTCCCATAAGTACGGATAGGGACAATAATTTTAGAGATGAGAGAAGCCGCTGGCCGAGGATCATGACCGTCGCAGGGATGTGTGTACGTCCAAGAAAGTGCCCAGAAGCTAATATGGTTCCTGGGCAGCGCGGTTGGTACGTCGGAAACAGCTCTTCAAGACTCGTGTTTGATAGAGGGGAATCGCAACGAGGGGACTCTATGCCAATTTCCCCGCCATTCCCCACTCTCCCTGCTGCCGACTGCGCGGCGACCAATTTGCTCATCCTGCTCATCCGGCTCCTTCTCATGACCAGGACCTAGACATGCCAGGTCCGGAGTTGTGAGTGACGGGCGCCAGAAGGTGACGCACACAGCATACGACAACGGCTGCAACATTTTCTTAGGAGGCCTCTCAGTGCTCTGCACAACTATAAAGCGCCGTCTGTTGTCCGGGTCGTTACAGGTGAGCGGATGGGTTGTTGAACGTCTGCGGCGCCGAGGGCAAGCCGCCGGCACCGTCAGACTCGCAAAAGCCCCCGATATTTCGGTCACTCTTCAAATTTTCCCATCCGTAAATACGTATGCGAATTCGAATCTGGTCGGTGGGCTCCGAACCTCCGTCAACCCGGTCGCCCATCTTCAGCTCACACCATGTCTGCACTTCGCAACGTCAGTCGAAGTCCTGCCCTCGCCATTCCTCTCAACCTCTCCCCTCGCTTTGAACCCCGCGCACGAGAACGCCTGCCCAGAGGTCACTCATATGTTGGCTGCGAGAAACGTGGAGAGGGCGAATATGAACCGGGATCTTGACCCCAGTATCACCGACTCACGACACTCCGGGCGCAACACGGGCGGGGGGAGAACAGGTCTGCCCAGAAACACAGCCACCCCGAGTGAGACGCCTAGATACTGGGCGAGAAATGTAGGAGCATGATTCGGAGACTCATCGAAATGTGTCGAGAGATATCGTGAGCCCCTCAGATAGGCCGATATTATCTGGGCATAGGAAGACAAGGCCGCGAATAGCCCGGCGTATCCAGCGACGACCACGCCTTCCAGCGTATCATGTCAGTGCATGCTTGCGGGAAACTCGGAGCATGGTCTTTCCAGCATGCTTCATTGCCTTTCTCCATTCAGTGTCGCAAGAGACACCGGTCAGCTGATGGTATTGGATGGCGGACGTCTTGGCCGTCCCGAGGTGGACATATGAGGTGGGTTGCGGATGGGAAAAGCTGAACCTCTGGTAGGTCAGTCTGTCAGCCAAGGGATGACGGGCAACTTGGCGGTTCTTGGCCGGTCTGCTGGGCGCCGGCGCCGCTCCTCCAGAGTCCACTTTCCTCTCCTCCAGCGCCGCCGCCGGCTCTCCTGGGGTCCGTGTATGCGTCTTCTTGTTGGGCGGTTGGAGTCTGGAATACTCCGTAGATGGTTCCCACCTCTAAACCTTGGGGTCTCCACGGAGGGTTCATTCAAAAGTTTCCAACTCTCCTGAGGGGTGTAAGGGATATGGAGGGGCACTCCCTGGTGAGAGTCCTCGTCACCCCAACATTCCCCCCGCCCATCCACTGAAACGGTAAGGGTATCTAAGGTCAATCAACCCCTCCGTTGCTTCGTTTTTTGTTTTTTGTTCCCTGCCCCGTTGCGGTTCAGTCTGTTTGCCCAGGAGTCCAGACTCCAGACTCATCGGCCTCTGTTTGGGAAACGGGGGCAAGGTGAAAGAGGCGTTCCGCCTCTTACCAAGGATACCAAGACCAGTATCACACGCCAGTTTTACGTCACAAAGCAGGGCTATTTTCCCTGATCCCCAGAAAGAGTTGCACCTGAACAGGCGTCTGATTCGGTGTAATTTGCAGCCAAGGTTCTTGGCCTACGAAGAACGATATTGCGAGGATTCTGAGCCGGGATGAATAGAGCAAATGATTGATGATAAGGCATGTGTGGCCTTGTTGGAACTCGTCAACTCATCGTTATCTCAAGCAAACGGCGATTGGCAAGGAAGACTGCGCGCCCAGCTGTGTGAACAGCATAGTTGAGCGCCGGCGCTCTTGGGTGAGTGAGGGGTATCGGTGGCTGATGGCAGATGGCAGAGAGCTCGCATCTGGCGTATCACCAACTCGGCTCTTGACTCCAGCCATTCATGGAGGTTCTGTAGGTGTGCCTTGTCGGTCTATGTAGCGTTTGTTGTCATCTGATCAGCCTTCATTGCGCCGCCGCTTGTCGACATCCGCTGAGTTAAATGGTCGCCATCGCCGCATCTCTCACCACAAATACGATGTGTAATTTTTGAAAGCCACACCACAGCCCGTTGTTGGCGTTACAAAACTCGCGATTGCCCAGCGCAAGAAGTGCCCGCTCTTACTTTGAAGTCGATCAAGGACTCTGGCATGCCCCTCGTCGGGCACCCACCGGCCGGATGGACGAACTTGGCATAATTTTGCTTACGCTATTCATGGTCCTTCTCGTCTGCGGGCCGCTGTACAGACCGTACTGAACCTACCCCTCTCTCTCAGTCAAAATTGCGACGAGGAGCTGATGAGCACGCGTGTCGACAGAGTCCGCCTCACGTATCTGCGCATACAAGACCGTCGCAAATACCATCCCAGGACATCAAAGTTCCAAGATGCCCGACGAAAATTGAGCACAGTTTCTGAGTGCAATAGCACTACACTCGAGGGCTTGGATCTTGAGTCGAAGCTGAACCAGCATGACTCGGAGCCGGAATGGTGAGTATCTCTCGCCGAGCTGTTCACTGAGGGGAAAGCCTTGGGGACGGGGCGTGCGCTATCTCCGCGGGGGGAAGCCGACGACAGAGTTCGCCAATGCATAACATACCGAGGTCGCTAACGCTGCCACCGATAGTCCCATCTGTATCGGTCCACTGTTCGTCGCAAGCAACTACAATACGGCCGGAGCAGAACCGACACAAGCAATCACCCTGAAGGCCCCCAATTCCGATTGGGACACCCGTGTTCGAGAAGGAAGTGGAGAAGAGCCAAGCCGGTCCACGATCGGAGGCACGAACGAGGGTCGTGATGTGAACGCCATATTGCGAAGCTGGAGCATGCCGTGGCCGTGGAAGAGGAAATTGTCCGCTTCGGCAAGTGAACCGTCTGAAGATGATATTCTGATGCTGAAAAGCTGCCAACATGCTTTCCACGCCAAGTGTCTCTCGTCGTGGTTTTTGATTGAGCGGTTTGACTGTCCCGTCTGCCGAAGTCAATATTGGCAGACGCGGGAGACCCGCGCCAGGGCGGCGACCGCACCGGCGGCGCCGGTGCCGGAGAGCGGGTCTGTTGATGACGGATCCGGTATCACACCACCAGTCCCGGCTCGGCTTGCGGCCGGGCGGATGGCAGTGCGTGTGATGTGACGCCGGGTCGTGCTGGCTTGGAAGATAGTCCGCCTCCTTTCTTTATGTGGCCCTCCAGATACCCCAGCGCAATGGAGCAGGAGTCGAATCTTGCACTATGGTATAGTTTAGTTTTCACAGTATGGTCTTGCAATTCAAAGCACCTTTGCCAGTCGTCATGTGTCAGTGCGATTGTGCGGCCGTTCGCAACGGTTTATCTACCCAAAGTCAGCGTGCGGTGCTGTCTTGTTATGTATAACCTCGCGACGTAGCTATTTGGGCATTTTTAAGCTAGCCAGGCATCACGAGGGGGAGTTGATTGAGTATTTAACGCTCCAATGTGGCGTGTGAGTCTGAGGTAGGGCGCTGCCCAACCATTGAATGCGCATGGATGGCTAAGTACAGCAATTGTGCCGTGATCGAGAGAGGAACCATGTGGGGGCTTCGTTAATGTAGATAGATATTTCGATTCTCGTACGAGAGGACTGGCAAAGTCTCGAAGATTGCAGGCACTGCCGAACAATACTGGAAACGTAAGCCAACCACGGGGGAGCCAGTAAGCGGGAGTTGAATGACATCGAGATCGCATCGTCATGGAGCCGGAGGTTTTGCTCAGCTCACGGACCAGACGGTCTGGGGGTGGCGCGCGGTGTAGCTGGAGGCGCAGGGGTTGGCTGCATGGTACATTGGCTGGCAAGATGGATAGTTGATACGAGAGTGCCACGATCCGATGGCTGCTTGTACTCATGATTGCTAATAGGTGATCAAGCATCGAGAATACCATGTTGTACATGTCGGCTCGCCATCGAGAGTGCCATGGGAGTCGTTGTTTTGCAGTTTTCTCGACAAATAGCAGCGGCGATGCAGGTAGACAGTACAATACGGTACTGCAAGGCAAGCCTCAAACAGTGTGTATCTTCCAAGGTGGAGTCCCAAGTCCGAATTGTTGTTCTATTGGACGAGGGAGGTGAGACTTTGGCTGGGTTCGGTGAGCTCGACTTGCGCAGAGCTAGCTACGAGGCGCGCACTCCCTGCTGGGATGATGAATTAGTGATGGAACAACCCGAATGTGAGTGGACGACGGAGCTTGTGTTCCCTGGTGGCATCCGTATGCTGCGTAGGTAGGGCAGACAGAGTGTGGCTACTTCCAATGACAGCTCGAATAGCTGCATATGTACGTTGCGGCGCGTGCGGTGACATTGGTGAATACCTAGTGAAGTGGATGTCTCTGCCTCTGTCTCTGGCAATGGGACAATGAGGTCATGTTCATGAGGCTGAATGGTACATGGAAGATGTGGAGAGACTGGAGGCGTTGGGTGGACTCTGCAACGTCTGCTACCAATGCGTGCCGTCATGGAAGCTCAATGTTGTGCAGCAAATCTTCGATGAAGGTGGAATGTCGATGTCACAAATGGAGAATTGGAGACTGGGAATTGGGTGTGTGTGGTATGCAAATTCTATCCGCTTGGCTCCATTGAGTTCCTGCTTGGTGTAACGGATGTCTAGGCCCTCCTTCCTTCTACAAGTAATGTGCTTCAATTCATAACCTATTTAGACTGGGGAAGGAACTAGAACAAGGTGGCTCTCCTTCCCTTCCATGGACGCAAGGTACTTACCACTAAGGTAGGTACGGTACCTACGTTGAAGAAAAAGGATGAGGAAGGAAGGTGCTTGCGATTTGGAATTTGGTACGATGACAAGTTCCTTCCTAAATCCAAACGGCATTGGTTGCGCACTTGCCATGCACATGGCTCAACAGTAAGGTAGAAGGAAGGTAGGTAAGGCAGAAGGAAGGCACAATGGAGGTGAGGTGTCGTGGTAGTGACGTCGGGAGCTCCTGCTGTCGATTTAGTCGAGGTGCGTCTGCGCTGTTGGAGGAATGACGCACCATGCGTGGTCTGTGCTCTCCACACCTACCTCATAGCTCTCTATCGTCCCTTCCTCATGTTCCACATCCACGGTTGCGAACGCGCTTTTTCCTCCCGCGCTTTCTTTTTATTCTTCTCCTCCTTCTTCCACTTTGCATACCTAGGTACCCTAAGGTACCGGGATGAAGTGAGGAATCATCCTTACTCATCAGGTAAGCGTCTTCCTCGTCTCTAACTAAGGCACTTGGGTACTCGAGCATCGACTGTGGCGTCTCAACTGCCTCATTACTCGTATGGCGGTTTCGCGTCCTTTATTCAACTCAGCCGTCTTCTTTTTCTGCCTGACTCTATTGATCCTACGCGTCATACCTCAAGGGGCGAGCTATGAGCCGGAATGTGGTGCCGTATGGGACCTGGTCCATATTAAAAATTAAGAGAGAGAAAAAAGTAGACTCTCGCACAGGATGGAGAGGAGAGGCATCCTCGAGATCGTGTTGCCTTAACCTTACCTCATGACACACCCCTTGTGTTCCTCTCTCCCATCACAAACATGAGAAAGAGCGAGTGAGACTGAGTAGGTAATTGGTGACATCCAATGATCGGGGGACCCTACCTCGAGGTAGAGAGCACCCGTCTTACCTTAGCTTCTGTTGCCAATTCCCATCCTTCCCGTCCAATTCCCTACCTACCTTACCTTACCTTAGCTCAAAGTACCTACCTCAAGCTAAGCTCAGGTAGACCCTCGCCTCTCTTACTAGCCCGTTCGCGCCAAGGTACATGCCCCTTTGTACCTTGCTCCCATCCGACGTCTATCTCTCGTGCGCGCAGTGCTCGGTCTCTGGCCCCGTTGACCTCATCGACGTTTTCCATCTCTTCGTCTTTGCCTCTTTCCCACTCCCGGCTCTCTCCCTCTCCCTTCTGCGCCCTCTCACGCTTTCTTCCTTTGCTTCACTCGGCGCGCGCTGAATGTGACTTGAGAAATCTTCCTTCAACCCAGCTTCAACTCATCCCAAATCATCTACTCCTCTCTTGGTTTCCCAGACAGTCTCGTTGCGCCTGTCATCATCGTCTTCCTTCCCGTCCTCACACAAGAGCATCATCCTGAACGAAGCACCCTACTACTCACACAACATCCCTTGAGGTACCTCACCCGATTCGAACTTCGGTCACCTGCAGTTGCCCCAAGGCGTCTCTACGTAATTCGCATCCATCTGACACTCGGCCATCCGTATTACCTTAGTTCCCACATGGCAAACATCCACCTTGGAGCATAAAGATCCTAGGGTTCTTACTACTACGCGCTTCCATATCAATCACCTTGCCGGGCCACTTCTCAACAGATCCGCCCGCTCCTCCCGTCATTGACTGCATGAGGAGCTTTTCTTCCGCCACCGCCAATCATCTGTCGTATACCCAACGACTTCTTCGTGCCACGAGCCCTCTCGTGCCGTCACATGTCCCGCCCCTGAGCTCATCGCTCGCTTGTGCCTCCCACCCCCATCAGTACTCGTTCCGACGACCATTTACTTTACTTAACGGCTCGTACACCACCATGGCCGCACCCAAGCGAAAGAAGTCCGGTATAACCAATGGACAACCTACAAACACCGAGGCTACCAATCCCGTCCCCGATACTCCGGCTCCGCGCCGATCCGCCAGAAACATCAGCGACGTGAAGATAGTCACCAAGCCCGGCGCCGCCATGAGTCCCACCGAAGCCGATCTCGCAAAAGACCAACCACCGGCTAAGCGCCGCCAGATTAGCCGTAAGAAGGCCGACTCTGAGAATGGTGTGCGCCGTGCCATGAGAGAGCTCACCGAAATGGAGAATCGTCTGCAGAATTCCACCAGGAACCAGCGTCTTGCCATTGAGACAAGCCATGTTCCGCCTGGTTCTACCAAGCCTCACTCAGACAAACACGCATATAAACCTCACATGACAGTCCATGCCTCAGATCCAGAGAAACTCGCCCGGATGGCTGAAGAGGAGCGATCTGGTACCCCCAATTTGGATGCCGCCCCAATCGAGGGTCCGGACGGGGAAGGCGCTGTCGGTGACGTCGAGGATGACAAGATGCGCCTCGAAAACGCCCCGGAGAGAGGTGCCGGACGAGATCCGCCTGTAAACAGTAACTACCTGCCCCTCCCATGGACTGGGAGGCTGGGTTACGTATGATCTTTCCCATATTCTACATCTCGGTGCCCATGACTAAAACTGTGTTAGGCCTGTCTCAACACATATCTCCGCGCTGCAAATCCACCCGTCTTCAGTTCGAGAACTTGCCGCATAGCCTCCATATTACAACACCGTCATCCTCTTGCGGATCCTTCTCAGCCTGAACACGCTACCAAGAATCGCCCTGACGAAAACCAGCCGGCCGATATCAAACGCGGCCAGAAGTATGTCGAGGAGCTGGGCCTGGCCAACGCTCGGGATATTGTGAAAATGCTCCGATGGAACGACAAGTACGGAATCAAATTCATGCGACTCAGCTCAGAAATGTTTCCGTTTGCTAGCCATGAGGAATACGGCTACCGTCTTACCCCGTTCGCCGCGGAGCCTCTTGAAGAAGCCGGAAAAGTTGCTGCACAACTGGGCCACAGATTAACAACACACCCCGGCCAGTTTACTCAGCTCGGCTCACCACGCAAAGAAGTCATCACAGCTGCAATTCGAGATCTTGAATATCACGATGAGTTGCTCAGCCTTCTCCGCCTCCCGGAGCAGCAAAACAGAGACGCCATCATGATTTTGCATATGGGTGGCACTTACGGTGACAAGGCGTCTACGCTAGACCGATTCCGTACCAACTATGCCAAGCTGTCACAGTCCATCAAGAATCGACTTGTCCTCGAGAACGACGACGTCGCCTGGTCTGTTCATGACCTACTACCTATCTGCGAAGAGTTGAATATCCCAATGGTTCTTGACTTCCATCATCACAATATCATCTTCGACGCAAGCCAATTGCGTGAAGGCACCGAGGACATTACAAAGATCTACGACAGAATCAGTGCTACATGGACGCGAAAGAATATCAAGCAAAAGATGCATTATAGCGAGTCGTGCCCAAGCGCCACCACACCCCGGGACCGAAGAAAGCACTCTCCGCGAGTGCGCACTCTTCCGCCGTGTCCTCCTGACGCAGATCTCATGATCGAGGCCAAAGACAAGGAGCAGGCTGTTTTCGAACTCATGCGTACATTCAGACTTCCGGGATGGGACTCGTTCAATAATGTGGTCCCTCACGAACGTCTTGATGAAGTCCGGCCTAACAAGGCAGCTGCCAAGAAGGATGGCAAGAAGAAGCCTAAGAAATCCAAGAAAAAGAAGGATGATGACGAGGAAGACGAGGAGCCAGAGGAGCTTGAACCGGTCGCCGTCGAAGAGAAGATCGTAGCCCCTGAAGATTTCGGCATGGGCGGTCCGCAACATAGGGTGTATTGGCCCGAGGGCATGGAGGAATGGCTGAGGCCTAAGAAGCGGGAAGTAAAGAAGGCGAAATCGACACAAATCAAGGAGGAGATCAAGAAGGAAGACGATTAGTGCCATTATCTGGTGGCATGGTGACTGGGGGTTCACCATGTACAATCTGTATAAAGACAAGGCCGGTGCATTATCATCGAGACATGCTTCGAAATAGCAGAAATGAAGTTTGTAATACGCTATTGACGAAGAGATAGGCTGGCGTGATACTAAGAGCCATGAATGACATAAGAAAATGGAGAGACCGATTCGATGGTGTGTTTGGGCCATCAATGTGTTCAAACATGGTGGGCACCCCTTGGCCTGTGTTGGCAAAATGGCGGTACGATCAGCCCCCTGAACACTGGTACGATTTGTTAAGCATAACCAGACACGCTCGTTCCTTTGTGAAGGGATTTGACAGATATTTGTATAGTCAAACTCCGCGCATACGCCGTCGATTGGTAGAGCCATCGGGTTGTCGACGCCGGCCAGTGATCCACCTCAACATTGGGTTTATAGACCGAGGAGACCGATGCCCGTTGAAAATTCTTCAATCATCACAATGACATCTCGATTGGAACCGAAGGAAGGTGGAATCGTAGCCAATGAATGATATGAGCTCGCAGGACGCATGAGACTTGGCTGCATAACAATGATAGCCAATCTGCGCATTTTTATATACCTGCCATCGACAACGTCATGGATATCGACAATTGCCGAACACCCACCACCTCGGCCCATCTCAATCATGATATCTTTTATCTATCAATCGCTCGAGATTGATATCTTCAGTAAATCTTGACCCCATTAAAGATAGACGACGGATCAGTTGAGCCGATTCACCCCACATCCATTAACAGCGAGAAGGGGGTTGAAAAAGTCAATGACCAGATGATTGTGATAGTCACGCGGGATAAATTGACAACCAACAGTCCCCCGGTTCTATGGCCATCAAATCACCTTTGCCGGCTGCCCGTGTGTCGTCAATTCACGCCAAGGAGGGTTGCAACGACTTTTCCTTATCAAGGTTACAGCAGGCCCCGGGGGGGTTGAGAAAGCTTAGCTCGGGAGGAGATAGGATGGCGAGGGGGGAAGGGGGGTTTATCCTTGAACGGCTCCAATCTGTTCCGGAAGATGAACAGCGACAGAGGTATATCGCGGGGGTTCAGGGTATCTAACCTCTGGCTGAGTTGAAGTGATACCCTCAAATGCTACTCCCTCTGTGCGACTGTGGTATCGGAGCGATAGTTGGACGGGCCGATATCAGAACTGCTACGTTACGATCAATTCAACTCATAAGAGATCCTTTCCCCATACTCAGCTCTTCTGGGTGAGTCTTGATTATGTGTAGTCCATCAAACATCTACTCCCCCAACATCAGTGCCTCCATGACCCATCCCGCTTGAAGTCGTCCCAACCCTGAGACACGATAAACGACACAAACAATGTCTACCCACCACGGCGTACCTGCGCCCACGGACGACGTCCAGAATGCTCAAAACAAACCACAGTCCCTCCTCGACCAGACCCCGTCCCGCCAAGATGGGCAAACCTTTTACACCATGGAGCCGCCGGCGGTGATACTGCACGACCCCAACGTAACGTTTGAAGAGTACCTTTACTGGGCCGACGTCACGCGTGCCGAGGAGAAGCTGGCTAATGAGCGGTATTTACACTCTCGAGGACCCGTGACGCTCAAGGGTCTTGTGAAAGATCGCTTCAGGAAGGGCGACGAGCATGTGAGATTCCAGGGGGGCAGCGAGGGTAGTGGAAACGAGAATGTCGGTGCTGGTGCTGGGGAGAAGCAGAACGGGAGTGGAAGCGATAAGGCTTTGCAACCTGCGGAGAGTAGGGACGGCGGTGTCGTTACGCCCGAGGAGTGGAAGACAGCGAGTAGGGCGGTGAGGACTGCTGGCTGGGGCGCGGTGTTCTATCTCATCACCACGGATATCCTTGGGCCATTTTCTACGCCGTGGGTTTACCCATTCTCAAACCGTGGATGAAGCACAACTAACACGATAGTTCAGCTGGGCCTTTGCGCAGATGGGCTACGGGCCTGGTATCGCGCTCTACACCGTCTTCGGCGTCATGTCGTTGTAGTGAGTCCCCCATTATGTCATTCTCTTGGACAATTAGTGACTGATGACCAACTCAAGCTCCGGCTGGATCCTCTACAAAGCTTTCCTCGGCCTCGACTCGGACAGATACCCCCTCAAAGGCTACGGTGACCTCTACTTCCGCGTCTTTGGCGCCAAGGCGCGGCACGCCATCAACTTTGCCCAAGGTCTACAGCTCATGTTGTTTGTGGCCGTCCTGATCCTCGCGAACGGGCAGTCCATCTCGCAGATCAGCAAGGGCCCCAACGGCAACGCGGGAATCTGCTTCGTAGCGTGTCTTGTCATCTTCATGGCCGCCGGGTTCATCTTGGGCCAGATTCGGACGCTGCAGCGGTTTTCGTGGATTGCAAATCTGGCTGTGTGGGTGAACTTGCTCATCATTTTCATCTGGTAAGTCTTGAAATACCTTTCTGTCCGGGTCGATATTGACGAGATATCAAACAGCATGGGCGTCGTGGCACACTCTCCTCCCAATTTCGCCGCAACGCAGGCCTCCTTCGGCGACGCCTTCGGACCTGGACCCGTCATCACCTACGCCGGCACACCCCCACCCGGCATGGCCTCGGGCGGCTCCGGCTTTTTGGGTTCCATGAACGGGTTGAACCAAGCCGTCTACTCGTACGGCGGCTGTCTCATCTTTGCGGCCTTCATGGCGGAGATGCGGCACCCCATGGACTTCTGGAAGGCTCTTCTCTGCGGCGAGGTCTTTATCTACGTGTGCTACCTCGTCTTTGGGTTGTACGTGTACTCCTTCCAGGGCCAGTACGCCTTCAACCCGGCCATGCAGAGTCTGTCACCGTACTGGTGGCAGACGGCAACCAATATTCTGGGTCTGGTGACGGGTTTGATCGCGGCGGGGTTGTATGGGAATATCGGCATGAAGGTTCTTTACGTCGAGCTGCTGCAGGAAATTTTTGGGGCGCCGCCGTTGACCGAGTCCGCGGGTAAGATGCTGTGGGCAGCGGTGATCCCCGTTTACTGGGCTCTCGCCTTCATCATTGGCGCCGCTGTGCCGCAATTCTCCCTGGTGTCTGGTTTCATCGGGGCGCTGTTCATCCTGAGCTTCACATACACCCTTCCCGCGCTGCTCGGCTTGGGCTATTGGATTCGTAAGGATGCAATGGTGCCGGAGCAGGAGACGTTTGACCCCGCTACGGGTAGGTACGCGTACGTCGACGGCGGGTTCCAGCGATACTGGAGGGGGTTCATGAAGAGGCCTCTCTTCAATGCTTGGAACATCTTCTACATGCTGGGAGGGCTCGTCACTACGGCGTTGGGCATGTACTCGTCGATCGAGGGGTTGATCGCAGCGTTCAACGGAAAATCCCAGGCCACGAGCTTTGGGTGTGGAAGTCCAGTCTGAGTTACATAGGCTGGCCTAGGAATGGTACTTTGGCGGTGTTCATTAGTTGCTGCTGAACAGAGGGTTCACTGCTTACCTACATGATGATGTGATATTCTTTCAGCTCGTATCAACCAATCCAGGAAAAATCACTTCCAATCATCATCCTCAGACTGTAATACTGGTCATTAAGACAGCGTTGAGCCGTCGATGTTAAGGCTAACTATTTGTTAGACTGGGTATCATGTAAGCAAGCTCCCAAGCTTCTCCGTCGCCTTCCTCGCAACCCCCCTCCGGCGATGTCGTGACAATAAAAGCCATGCCACGGCACTACCGAAAGACTCGTCGTCCACCAGTTCGAACTGGGAATCTCTCGACGCCGCTGCTCTGCTGCTCGTGCCACAAGCCTTGAATTCCCACCCAGCCTCCATCTCCCGATAGTTTGTAACGTCGCCATGCTTCGCGGAGGTGGTCTGGCCGCAAGGGGGCTCTCCTGTCTTCTGTCTGGGTCGCGTCGTCTTTGGGCGGCGGCGTGGGTACGTCTGCCTGCTTTTCACCGGTACCTTTGATCCACTCTCCTTGCACATCTCGAGCTCTCTCGATGAGCTCGCCAATGAAAAGCTTTGATACTGACTTTACGGCGAGAGCGACATTCGGGGGGACGGATTGTGATACCGTCGCATTGACGACCTGTGTGGTACTTTCGTTAGTATAGTGGCATAGCACCAGCCGGCAGCCGGGTTGAGGAATCTTACCCTCTTGACTACGGACTCTGTGAGTTTGGCCGCACGCCAGAGTTCGTAGCGATCGTACTGTTCTGGGTCAAAGGACTCCACGAGCATGGCACGGAGTCTTATCTCCTCTTGCTTCTGCTCCTGCGTCCTGACCGTAGAATCCACCAGCGCCATGCGCATGTCGTTATCGTCGTCATCGTCATTGGCGCCTTCCTCTTGTGCATCGCCTCCAGCGCCTGCGCCGCTGACAGTTGTGGGCGCGCGTCCACCTACGAGAGAGGGCGTTTGTTCTCTGGTCTCAACGTTGGTCTGGTTCTTGGGCTTCCTGCCGCGCTTCTTCTTAGGAGGCGCACTGACTTGGCTGCCGCTGACGACACTAGCATTGTCGGCCGAGGGTGAACGTGGAAATGGTGAGCCGGCTTCGGGTGGGAAAGAAGTCTGGCGGAGGGGGTGGGCGGCAGTGGATGTGACGGAGAGTGTCGAGGCCTTTCGGCGCTTGGCAGACCCTGGAGGGGCGCCATCTGATGCTCGCTTCTTGTTCGACATGGGGAGCTGGGCAGGTGACGGATACGGTGGTGAGTGTGCGGTCGGAGAGTAGGAGTATGGAGGGGAAGCCATCGCAAAGGCTTCGAGGTGGATCGCAAGGAGAAGTGGTGAGCGCCGGCAAGCGCAGTTCTTATATCGAAGCGAGAGGGGGCGCCTGTCGGAGGGTTCGAGAAGAGTATGTAGTTGAGGAAGGTATCGGTTAGGGGTCGTTACGTTTGGTTGGGTTCAAGTTTGGTGGACGTCGTCAGAGTCGTGGAAATTCATGTCCAGCTTAAGCTTTGAGCGTGAAGGCGCGCCACGGTCGACCTACGCATCTAGAGAAAGTGGAGCACGAAGATCCGGATGACTAAGGTCGAGTGATTCCTGAGTTCTGCCGGCCAGCTGTCAAATGACCATTGCCAGTCCTTAGCAGTGTCAAGGCTCCTCTGGGCTGCACCGTGCACGGCAGGGCAGGCTGGAAACAAACGGGCGGATGTTTGAGCGAGGTTCCACTGAGATACGTACCGCCTGGAATGGACCCTTGCGTCAGACGGGAATCGGAGAAGTGGGTACCTGAGGGAACTAGGTAGGTAGCCATTTTTCGCAATACCAAGCTTACACTGCAGCAAGCGCTGAACGTGGCTGGCCGCTGCACCGGTGACTGGCAGAAATGCAATGCTGCAGCACGTTACGATCCTGAATCCTGGGGGAGGTACCTCCAAAATCTAGCGCTAAATCGCCCGATAAGATAACGCCGGCCGTAACCGAATTTTCTGCTCCGATTTCCCTCCAGAGTCCTGAATGAGCGCAGCGGGGGGCCGCCTGTGTACGGACTTTTGTTCATTTGGATCACCCAAATGTTCCCATTCTCCCACCTTCATAACCACAACCACCAATCTCTACCACCGATTCCCTCTCCTCTTCTCGCATCCGGATCTCACAATGACTCAATCAGAGGGCGCCGTGGTCAAAGACAGGAAGAGAAGCCGAAGCAGGCACCAGAATGGCCATCACAGTGCTTCAAGCGACGGGAGTGAAGCCGAGACCGCGAGCCAGTCCAGCAAGCGAAGCAGCAGGAAGCGCAAGGGCGACGACGATGCCAAAGTCAACGGCAACCACTCCAAGAAGCAGCGCCGTCCAAGCCTGAGCCAGCCTGCGCGTGACCCCCGTGACACTACCACATCGAAATCCAAGAAGAAGTCGTCCAAGCCCAAATCCGAGGGAGTCGTAACGAGGTCACCGAGCCCGGTGATCGACTTTGACGGCCTGAGTCGCCCGAGTAAGAGTCACGCCGTTCCCGACCCCGCGCAACCCAATTGACTAACGCGCAATATCTTTTCAGGCCTCGGAACCCGTGAACGTCTCGATGAATCCCCCGAGCAGGCTGCCGTTCGTCTCGAAAAGATGAAGGGCGCCGTCCGCACCATCCTCGAATGTGTCGGCGAAGACCCCGACCGCCCCGGCATCCTCGACACCCCGAGACGCTACGCCGAGGCCATGCTCTTCCTGACCCGCGGCTACCAGCAGAACGTCAAGGACATTGTCAACAATGCCATCTTCCAAGAAGGCCACAACGAAATGGTCATTGTCAAGGACATTGAGATCTTTAGCATGTGCGAGCACCACCTCGTTCCGTTCACCGGCAAGGTTTGTAGACCCCGAGATACCTCCCTTGACGATTACAACCCCCGGCTTACAAGTGTCTGCAGATGCACATTGCCTACATTCCCAAGAACCAGGTCATTGGCCTCTCGAAGCTTCCCCGTATTGCCGAAATGTTTAGCAGACGTTTCCAGATCCAGGAGCGCCTGACGAAGGAGGTTGCCTACGCCATCATGGAGATCCTGAAGCCCCAGGGCGTTGCCGTCGTGATGGAGTCAAGTCATCTGTGCATGGTCATGCGCGGCGTGCAGAAGACGACGGCTAGCACGATAACTAGCTGCGTGCTCGGTGCCTTCGAGAAGAAGGAGAAGACCCGGAACGAGTTCCTCAGTTTGGTGGGGTTGAAGACATAGTCGGGCATGCTGCGCAGAGGCACTCTGAGACATTACTCGAAAGGAATGTCTTCCGAGCGGCAATGATCTCGTCTGATATATTGTTCTACATATTCTCGGCGTTTGGTTTTTACGGGCATGCATCACGAATTGGAAAGACCATGTTTAACACTGGGTCAAGCATTGGCGATTATTGGGGGGTAGATTTCATGAGAAGGGAGCTCAACGCTCGTTCTGGACTAAAAGAATTTTTCAAAGCGCAGAATACAACACTTACATTGCTGGCTACGGGCTGGCTAGATTGCTCTTTTTCCAGCCAAGGGTTACCTATTCAAGCCTTCTTGCTTACCACGCCTACCGGCATATTAGTCCGTCATCGTGCTCTGGCGCCTAAGCGGTGAGACGTCTCCCTGCATTGATATGCGCTGCAAGGGAGCGCAAGCTATGCCGCCATGGCGCCATGGAGGGGCAGTTAAACAAGGCCAATCGACATTGACTCGGAAGCGAGTCGCGCTGCGAAACAATGTCGCTGAGGGAAGGAAGCAAAAGGAAACGAACCCCGCACATGCCACCACCCACAAATCTTTAGTGAAGGCATTGTTAACACAACACAACACAGCAAAAGCCAAAAGATGAGAGACTCTCTCCCCTTCCAGAATCGAACTAGAGACCTTTCGATGACAATGAAACCATTACAGTCGAACGTGATGAACCAACTACACCAAGGGGAGTATCGGGTACTAAGACCCGCTTGGTGAGATATCCGGGGCGGCCAGACAACGGTCTAAGAATGGTAATCGAGCGACTCCACCAGCTCCACAACCTCCGACATCTCGCTGGCGAGTGGGTAACAGAATAAGAGGCCAGGCAATACACAAGTCAACTTCGTTCTTACCAACCCTCGTATTATTAGAACTACTATAACACACTTCTTCAAGTGTATTCCTTAGTGAATATATAGAAGATGAGAAGTAAGAAAAGCGGTAAGGATAATAATTAGAGTGATGACAGTCATAAGGATACTAGAGATAATAACAGTCGTAAAGGTATAAGCAATTAGGATAGAATCAATGATAACTCTGGAGGCAAGGTATTAAACGGTAAACCACTCTGTTGTTTCAAACCTCTCAAGGCCAAACCTGATACGGATGAGGACACTATCACCGAGAAGCCCGATAAACCAGACCCAGAGTTCTTCAGACTGAACAGCAGCTCTCGAGCAACCAACATCGATCACGGGAATGGAGATAACACCGACAGTAGATAGTAAGTAGGCCGGCAAAGAGAAATAATGGTGGTCAACTAGTTGCTTCCACCCGGGTATAGCGCATGGTTCTCAACCCCATTAATTAGCAAGATATGGACAACATTCCTCTCAACTCGGACAACTCTTTGGCATTAGTTTGATGTCGTCTGGTGATGTACTTATAAAGGAAGATGTGCGTATCATAACAAGTGTGCTTAATATAAGCACAAGAGCTCTTCTCTTTCCTCGGGTCGAGTTCAAGATAGTGGTTCGAGGCAGAATATTGGTCAGAGTCTCTTGAGTCAGAGTGAAATGAGAGTTGCTTGTCGAGTAGAGATTATAGTCCATACCTCCCTCCTTCCTCTTCTCTCAATCAAGGTGACTTATTGGGGCAGTCCCTTCCTCAAGCACGGTAAACAAGTTCTTCAGCTCCTGCCTAGAAAAGACCCCAAGATATCTATTTAATAGCCGACTCTTTCTTCTCTCTTTTCCTCTCCATCTTTCTCTCTTCACAATCCACCCACAGGAGGAGTGTCAACGGGTCCCTTCCAGCCTCACACATACACTAATTCGCAGGAGAAGCACACCAAGGTATGTGAATCCTCGTCTTTAAAAGTACACTCATACATGAACTCCCGGATCCTGTGGTATTCCTGAACGTGGTGAAAGAGACGCGCTTCGCGAATGCCATACATACCAATTTCAACCGGAAGGTGGTATAGAAAATCCCTCTTTCCGCGGAGGTCACAGTCCCAATTCCCTTCAACCCACTACCCTTTGGCCGCAGGTCCTGCTCACCTACTTATGTTCTACACACCCGGCACCAGCACCACATCAACATTGACACAACACCACCGCATGGTCTCCCAAGTGCCAGTATTTCAGCTTCTTACGAGTCCCTTGCCATCTGAAAGGTTGGGTACGAGATACATTTCGTGAATTCTCATCGCATCAAGGTTCGAGTGGAAGGTGGGAGAGCACTTCTTTCCTTCCTCTGACAGTCGCCATCTCCTTCTCTAAACCGCCACCACCGCTCATCAACCCAACCCACTTATCTTCGCCCCTACAGACACAGCATCAACACAAGGGACTCTCATTTACAAACATCGCCACGGCCGGTATCAGTATGGCATCCAGCGGAGCCCTTGCATTGAGCCCGACTCTCTCCTACAAGTCAAAGCTAATCAGAGAGCTGTTTAATGCATTGCAACCAGACGAAGATGACGACGTGGTGTACTTTGGCGAGGATCCACCGGACCTCAAAAAACTAAGGAGGGACATCATGAAGATGCAGATGGCACAAGACAAGACTTCCGTGGAGTGGAAATTGCGGCATAATCGGCTCTCTTGGATCCTTGACTTCGTCGAGAAGTGGGACTGGAGAGAGTCTCATCCTTTGGGCTTTCGACGACTTAACCTTCTAGCGCGCTTTTCTCAGCCGGCCGCCACAAATGATCGAACCTGTCTGAAGATCTTCAGGAAGCACGGGATTATTCCAGACGACGCTACCATGCCCGGAGGTGGCCTCACTCTCGAGAATCAGAAACTCATCCATCAACACAAGGAGGGAATCATGCAGCAAGTTGTGGCCAAGGAGGCCAGAAGATTAGAGCATTTACGCAAGACCAACAGCCAGCGCCTTAAGGAAAAGTATAGAGACGCTGAAGAGATAATTACCGAAGAGTTGGAATTCTCAGATACAGGGCCGAGTGACGATGAAGATTCTGCCGATGAAGCGAGCAAGCTCGAGCAAACTGTTGGAGAGGAACCCGGCAACGAGACCGAGAACGGGGGCGAGAAGCACCCGCGCAAGGAGGCCATTGCGAAGGACCAAGACATCGTCACCAAGGATCCCCAGATCAAAGACCGAAAGCCAAGCGACGAAGAATCTACCAAGAGAGTTGCAGCTCCCGAGCAACCGATCGGAGACAAGTCCCACAACGACGAACATGAGAATGAGAATGGGGCCGCCATAGAAACATATATCGGGGAACCCGTAAGGGATGCTAGACCTCACAAGGATCTCTCATGGTCGAACTTTAAATGGATGAGCGATTCTGCTTATCAGGAGTATCTTCGCATCGTGGCCGAGCAGTCAAAGGAGAGCGATAGCGAACCCTCCGCTTCACAGAGCAATCCACAGACCGACGAGGCCGATGATAAGATGAATATTGATGAGGAGGACTGGGACAATATCGGGGCAGGTTGGATTGGGGGCACGGTCACCTATGATGGTCTCGACGAGGAGGTAGATGACGAGGAGGAAGATGACTTCGAGGCCACATGGCTCATAGAGTGAGCGACAGCACCAACCAACAAAGGGTAGATAGTCTGCGGTCCTTATTTGGGGACAAAAGTTCATAATCAGATAGCGAATTCTTCACACCTCAACACGTGCCTTGATCCTAGCCCAGATACACCGCCAATGTGATTTAGCCACCGCAGTCCGCATGACACTCTGTAGTAGTCAACCTGTGGGCAAAGTGGTATATGCGAACAACATCAATATACACATAGTGGCAAAGAAGCAGGCTTCGCATTGTCTACCTGAGCCCGTATGATACAACTCTCGAGTGCCTATAAGAAAGAAAAAAGGCCACCATAGACAATGTTTTGAAATCTCCCATATATCCTCCGCTGAATTCCGGTCCAAACCCCAAACTCCTGTCCCAACTCCACGCGAAATCCGCTTACAGCAGCATAACAGCGAACGCCGCCGCGGCAATGGAGCCGAGGCCGACGGAGAGGGTAGCGGCGCCAGCCTTGGCAGGGGAGGAAGTCTTGGGTGTGCCGTTCGAGGTTCCGTTGCCGCCGCCGCCCATGCCGTTGGCGTTGGTGCAGTTGCCTGCGGCGAAGGACTGCTGGGTTGATGAGAGTGTTGTGGCGAAGCTGCCGGCAAGCTGGCTGGCGACGGACTGGACACTCTGGGGGACCTTTGTGACGACGGTGTCGATGAGCTTCTTGGCGCCATCGCCAACGGAGCCGACTTGTGAGGAAATGATACCGCAGAGGCTAGCCTTCTCGAATTCGGGCTTCTTCTTCTCAAGGTTCTTGGTGAGGGCATTTCCATCGCTCTGAAGTCCAGAGACGAACTGCTGGAGCTGGAGGGCCTCGTTGAGAGTGATCTCGCTGGTGCCCATGACCTGCTGGGTACCCTGGTTGAGGGTGTTGGTGAAGGCGCCAGCGGCACCGGCGAGACCGCTGAGGTCACCGTTGAAGCCCTCCACAGCCTTGTTCAGGTCCTTCAGTGAGTTGCCGACTTGTTGGATGACGCCCTGGATGGTGGCCAGGTCACGCTCGGCGACGACCTTGGTGGGGGGCTCGGCGAAGACGCCCATGGCCAGAGTGAGGAGAGTGATCTCAGTGGTGAACTTCATCTTGTCGGTCGAGGATACCGGGGTTACGAATGTGACTGGTGTAGGTGGTGGTGATCTTCCGGAGATTCAGGTATATAGCGTACGGTGGGTATATCGACGTGTTTGGCCAGCAAGCATGAGAGAAGCAGAAGGGAAGAGAGAGAAGAAGGATCTTGGAGGCTTATAGACTGGCACAGACTAGATCAGACCCTCACATACGGGAGGGGCAAAACAACCTTCGCACAGACGGTAACATTATATGAAATCTCAGCTCATCGACTTCCCAAAAGCGTAATCCGTCTCACAAGTTACTCACGGTTCACCCCCGTACCTTTTTACCCACCTTCATACGGTTTGGGGGAGTGGGAAGTAGAGGAGGGGGCGAGAGGCCCGAGGAAGAAGATTCGACTCGACGCTTCTTCTGGCCCTCCATCACGTCTTCCTCGACCGGGGCATGCCTCTAGCCATTATTCGCATTGACTGCTGTCTTTGGACTTGACGTCAATGCATGGATCAGGAAGAGTACCTGGCACGGCAGGCCTACTCAGATTCGAGGCGGGATGGGATATGAATGATTTTGTTCGGCCACTCGCATCGCACGAATCGGCGTGGCCCGCATGCCATCGCCGATGGATGAACCTTTGAGGTTGATCGTCAACATGGGGGATGGCATCCTTGTTTAAGGTCCGGCGCTTATTTCACACAAGCTCGACGGGTAGCCCGCAGATTTGACCCATACATGCGGGTTCGGGCAATATTGACGATGTATCTGGCCTTCCTTCAAGCCTCACTTTCTCGATGATGGAGGCTGTGCAATACTTTAAACCCTCGAGCTATCTATGCGTTGCTCGACTGATATTTGAGGCGCGAGGCTCCGTCTTCTCTTCGACATTCTCACCAGCCAAGCCTCTTCGACTTGCCCCTCAGCCAAACCACCAGTACCACCACCGGGCGGCGGAGCTATTTTAAAACAAAGATATAAAACGGATTCGTCCCCGAAGCTGGGGTGTTAAACACTCCCCAACCCATGAGCCTCCCCCTCCCAAGCACAGCCTGACACGACGTCGCTCGCCGAAGTGAAACGTGAAACGTGCGGGCGGATCCCTGCTCAACTCTCTTCCCGCGCTGGCGGATCTGGCGATCCCCCACAGCACCACTACCAAAGAAGACATACCTCTCGCTTGTGAACTTCCGACTTGCTTCGCTGCGGATTCCTCTCCGGACCTCTCATAGGAGAAAGGTCGTCGACAACTTGACCGGGATTTGTTGGGATCATCCAGGCCAGCCGTCGCAGATTTTGTTAACGAGAGCGGGATACGCCGGCAGAGGTCAGACCGCTCGTCGGTGCGAGCTTATTTCTTCCTCAGTCGGCCGGCCATCTGCCTTATGTGTGAAGGGTCTCTCCAAGGGTCCTATCAAACTGTTTTCAGGCCTCTTCTCATTCTCAAAGCAATAGTATACGTTGAATACCGCACGTTCTTTAAGCCTGATGGCAGTTGACCGACCGGTTGATTGACGTAAAGAACGGGCCGTCTTTGGCGTCTTCACGATGCATAGCTTCATGTGCGGCACTGACGATGGCCTAGCGTGTAAGTCAGTGTCAGTCAAAGTCTGCCTTCCACACGGCCTTCCACACAAGTTTGGGTTAGTTGGAAGGCCTAAGGTAAGGTGACGCCCGGAAATAAAACTCAGCTAGAGTGCAATCCGAGACCCGCGAATCAGGAGTGTCCCACGAGTCGATTCAGGAAACACCCAATTCACTCCCGCGGCCCGGCGAACGAAGCCAAGATTCCTTTCGCAGGACCTCTAGAAGTCTCCGTGAAAACTGGTAGTGGTGTGCAGTCTCGTATAAACTCGTCTTTTTTACTCTCCCGCAGCCCGGTGGGTGTGGCCAGGCGGTGGATCACTTACGCGACGGGCTTGTACGACCGTGGGGGTGGCTAGGGCAAGAAGCTTGAGTGGAACGAGAACCGTAATCGTAGCCAAACTGCGCCAATGTGTCTCGAGTCTTAGCGAGAGAACTTCCCCAGTAGTCTGCAGGAGAGGGAGGGAGGGAGACTCAACAATCTGAACCTTTGGTGCGAAGAATGAGGGGGAAAGATCTTTGTATGAGTATCAGAATCCAGGTGAAACGAGCTGCGGCTTAGACCACATCCCCCACGGAGACACGAAGCGACCAGAGTGCCCGTGGTTGAGGAAACTTCCGACTTTCGACCGATTCTGCCGCGCTAGAAACGCGAGGGGGGAAGGGATGAGTTGAGGGATTGGATTCCGGATCTGCAGCACCGTACGCACGGCGCGTCAAAGTGTTCGTGCCAGCAGCCATCGCTTGTCATCGTCGTGTCAGTCTACGGGATTCCAACCTGTCGTGCCTTGTCCAGCTCCGCGCCCCCTTCGCATCGGGATTGCCAAAAAGGGAATCTGTACCTGTTTGTTGTTGGTTTCTTAGGCATCCTGTGTCATTTCTGGTATATCAAATCCCAGCAGACCTTCCCATCTCGGTCTCGCCTCGAGACCTTTCGCGGGCTTCATCCATGTTTGGTTCGCAAGTCAGCAGCGTGGCATCCTGTCTAAAAGATGTTACAGCGCTAGTCCTGGTGCCGAGGTCTGGATGGACTGAAGCTCGTGGATGGGGTTTCTAGTCTTCTAGAATGCTACTCCCGAGACGGAACCTCTTCGCCGCCGGTTAGTTTTCGGCACGAGCCCGGGTGTCCGGCCTCGGAGCCGGCTTGTCGAAGCCGAAGTGTGGATCTCGACCGGAAACCCCCCGTTTTGTGTGCCGACAAGAAGCAGACAGCCAATTAACGGGTACTTTCATTCCCACTAACCAGGGTCGAGTCTTCAAGATCGATTTCTCTAAGGACGTTTCTCGACCGGGCCCACAGAGTCATCTCCGCGTTCTCTCAACTGCTAGTTATGTACCCCGCACTGTAATCTCCAGAGTATCTTCACTATGACAACTGGCTTATCGGTGAAGTTGCTTCTTCGCCGGCATTCAAAAGCAAGGGAGGGCACTCACCCCGGCCTTCTACTACTGCCCCGGACCATCCGTTAAAGACCGGTGCAGGACAAGGTATCTGAACAACCTTGAAAGAAGGAAGCTCATCAAGTGATGATATGCGATGTAACGCGATAAGATGGGAGATAGAGCCACGGTGAAGGAACCTGCAAGACCTCTCAAGTATGAAAGTGTACCAACGCCGGTGAATGTTTTCACGGGCATCTTGTTGATTCATCCTCCCTCATGAGTTGTGTACGCGAATGGAGATGAGGGTAAACTCTGCTTTTCAGATAGCCTCATTGGCATTGATTGCCTCCGCGGTTCAGCCATGGCTCGACAAGACCCTGCCTTACGAGGAGCGTCTCCTGTCTTTCATAGCCCAGCTCAATGACACCCAAAAGCATGCCATGGTTCAAGGCGACACTGAAGTCAGATTTTCAACTCCATATTGCTCATGAAAATTGAGAGAGCTTATGCTGATACACCCATAGCTGACAGATAACGGAACCGGTGTCAACGCCTGCATCGGACACATTCAAGGAAACTCATCTCTCGGCATTCCCGGCATTTGCATGGGCGATGGGCCTGCCGGAGTCGGCAACTCGCTCGATAATGTGACCGCTTTCCCAGCTCCAGTTGTCGCGGCAAGCTCTTGGGACACGTCGATACAGTATGAGTTTGGCCAGGCACTCGCACAAGAGCACATGGGCAAAGGCCGCAATATCGTCCTTGCGCCGACCATCAATATCCTTCGCTCTCCGTTGTGGGCACGCGCTGCCGAAACTCTGTCCGAAGACCCATGGCTGACAGCCCGTATGGCGGTTGCCGGTACAATGGGCATCCAAAGTCAAGGAGCTCTGGCGTGCCCGAAGCATTTCGCTGCGTATAATCAGGATACGAATCGTTTCGGCAACGGCCCGGAGTGGGTAACAGTCGATGCGGCTGTTGACAAGAGGACGATGCATGAGCTTTATCTACCGGCTTTCAAAGCCAGTGTGCAAGAGGCAGATGTAGCGAGTGTCATGTGCTCCTACAACCGACTCAATGGCTTCTTCACCTGTGAGAACGACTGGCTCCTCAACCAGACTCTTCGTCAAGAGTGGGGGTTTGAAGGGTTTGTGGTCGCAGATTGGTATTTCTCTACAAGAAGCACCGTTGCTGCTGTCATGGCTGGGCTCGACATTTCAATGCCTGGCGGAGACTTGACAGGTAGTTACGGCTTCCCTGCTTACTACGGCGACCTATTGGTGGAAGCCATCAACAACGGGTCGATACCACATGCGCGACTTGACGACATGGTTCTGAGGGTCTGGCGGTACATGTTCAAGCTTGGACAGGTTGACAATCCGGTGACTGGAGACTCAACAGCCCATGTGCGTACCCAGGAGCATCTGGATCTCGCGCAGCGAATGGTGGAAGAGGGCGCCGTTCTGCTGAAGAATGACGAAAGTGCCCTGCCTCTCTCTCCTGACAAGTATTCCAAGATTGCTGTCTTTGGAATTGGGGCTACTTTTGAGAACCAAGTCTCTGAGAAACACGGTGGCTTTGTCATTGACTCTACCATGGTCGTTCAAGCACCTCTCGATGCGATTAAGCGCCGAGGAGATACAGAGAATATCACAACCAAGTATTCCATGTCGTACCCTGGCACTGGTCAGTTTCCCACAATTCCCTCGAACATGTTTAGAGATGGAGGCGTCAACGTGACGTATTACAAGACAACCGACTTCACCGGACCTATAAATACCACCGAGTTCGTGCCCAACATCACCATTGCTACATACCCGTCAGCACTCTGGCAGGCATATCCAGACGTTTTCTCGGCTATTTACGAAGCGGTCTTCCTTCCAAAGACAACAGGAATGCACCATTTCTCCATGTATGGCCAGGGTACCGCGTTGTTGTACTTGGATGACAAGCTCATGGCCAACATGTCCTACGCTAATTTCGGGAACTACGTACAGGGCGCAGCGTACCTCAAAGCGGGAACCGAGGTCAAGCTTCTGTTGATATATGACATGGGCTACTCCTTGTCTACTGGTGCCTATGGAGTCACTCTTGGAGTAGATATCGGCAATCAGACCCGAGTCACAGAGGCCGATGAGCTGGCCGAGTGGGCAGATATCAGCGTCATCTTCGCCTCAGATCGGATATCTGAAGGGGCTGATAGCGGCCTTGGACTCTCTCTACCTAGTGACCAGGACGCCATCATCAGCCGACTCGCCAGCATCTCGAACAGAACCGTTGTGATCTTGAACACAAATTCGGCAGTTCTGATGCCTTGGATCGAGCAAGTCGAAGGCGTCATGGAAATTTGGTATCCTGGTCAACAGGTCGGGCTTGCGTTAGAGCGTCTTCTATTCGGCGATGTAAGCCCAAGCGGGAAGTTGCCCTTGACCTTCCCCAAGAGCCTCAACGATACCATACGCATCAGTACCAACATCGAAGTGCCCTACGAAGAAGGCCTCTATGTGGGGTACAAGGCTTATGACCAGAGCGGCGTCGAACCTCTATTCCCGTTTGGACATGGCCTGACATACTCCAACTTTAGTCTAACCAGATTGGAGGTATCATTAAATGACAGCGCTGTAAGCGCCAAAACGACCTTGTTGAATCAAGGTAACATCAAGGCCAAAGAGGTTGTTCAGCTTTATGTTGGATTTCCAGCTGCTGCGAAAGAGCCACCAAAGTTGCTCAGGGCTTTTCAAAAAGTCGAGGTCCAAGCTGGGGAGACCAAGGCTGTGGAGTTGTTGGTGAAGGTTGAGGATCTCAAGGTGTGGGACGCTTTGACTGAAGGTTGGATATTTGTAGATGGTCAGTATGAGGTTCTCGTGGGGTTCTCGGCGGGAGACATTCAGCAGAAACAAGTGGTGAAGCTGAGCCGAGGAGGCTCGAGCCTTTTCCCTGAGAGTTGATAGGGTTGATGATTACACTTGAATCAACAAGGCATGGCTTGAGGTCGTGATCGAATACCATTAAATAGGATGTTGTTCTGCAGAATATGATAGGATTTGTGCTTCTCCTTTATCTGCCACATTTATAATCTTGCCCTGACACCTTTCTCATCCCCCCCCCCCCTAACCCCCAAACCTCCCCTGCTGACGATCGAGGTACTTCCCGCCTAAACACCATCATCGTATCCAGGGCGATCTAATCAGATGGATGCCATGTAAAGCAGGGATGAATAATCTCACGGTAGCTACAACAACTCTTCTCATCATCGAAAGGCTCCTAAGTAAGGTAGGACCCGTATCAACAACTAAGTACCTACTAGCGATACTCCCCTCCGCAGTCTCCCATCGCGTCAAACATCTCCGACCTCCGGCTCCTCTTCAATACCTCTTCAATTAGGTTTCGATCCTCCTGGCTTAGAGACCATCCCAGACTCGCCAAGTTCTCTTCCACACGCTCGCTGATGCCCATCCTGGTCCCAACAATGACTGCCCCAACGTAGGGGAAGTCCAATACCCAACGAGTGGCCACGTTGGAAACACTGACGCTATGTCTTGACGAGATTGACTTAAGCACCATCAAGAGATCCTGGAACAGATCCCAGCCTCCCCAGCTTCGGATCATAGCGTAGTACTTGCGCTGGCTAGGCGTAATCGCCTCATCGTAGAGATCCGGCTGGCCCCTACCTAGCCACTTCTCAGCGAGGAACCCACCACACTACATCGACAGCTGTTAGCCTTCAAGCGGATCAGTCATGCCAATTATCTTACGAAGCTTACCAGTGTTCCGTATGTCAAGAGTTTGATATCATGTTCCTGGCAGACCATGCCCATGCGGACCTCGGGCCTGCTATCGATCAACGAAAACTAGGGCCAATCAGCTTCAACTCCTCAGCCTTCCAATTGGCGGTAGTTCAGCATACCTGCACTTGATTTGAGTGTATTTTGACCCCTTTATTGATGGCGACTTGCATATGCTCAGTATCGAAGTTGCATAGCCCCAAAGCCTTGACGCGCGAGTCTTCTTCAAGAAATCGCAACGCCTCCACATATTGAGGGTCCTCATACTGTCATGGAGCCTCAGTCAGCCACCATTAGAATACCCGGCAGGCCTATATGGCTACTTACGAATTGCCAGTGAAATTGAAGTAGGTCGATCTTATCTGTCTGCAATCTCCGGCATCTTTCAGCTACGTTGGCTTGCATGGCGGCACGTGTAACGGTCATTGGGTTGAAGACACAGTACTTGGTCGCTGCGAACGTCGAGTCGTTGAAGGGATGCGTCGAACGAAAACGACCCTAACTCATTCAGTAACACTTTCTGAGGGAAATGCTATCAAGATGAGACTTACAAAGATGATTTCCGCGTCGCCGTAGTGGTCCGCCATATCGAAGGCTGTAAGACCTGCTTCCATGTGCTTGGAGAACTGGGCAATGATTTTGGATGTAGGCGCCGAGCCCCAGGACGGACTAGACATTTGCCAAAGCCCGGTGAATAATCTAGGCAATCTGAAGCCGTTCATCTCAAACGTCTCCCTCGCATCCACAGGGCCGGTAAGAGATGCACTTAGACCCGATGAAGCGATTGAAGGCAGATCGAAGACTGGAAGTGGCACTCCAAGAAGCATGGAAGTCGCAAACAGTGCTCTCGTGTAGGGATATTCCATTCCCTTCTCTTCTATGATGGCTCTGCACTCGAGAAGAGACTCGTGCAAATTGGTCACGGCGTCGCGCTCATCGTCTATGAGACTTTCGCGCGCAGCAGCGAGCAGCCTTTTCTCGACGGCGGTCATGATTTGGACTATATCGCCATCAACGGATGCCAAGACAGCAGTTATTCCCTTCTTGGTAGTTTCTAGATCGACGAGAAGCTTGATGCCGCCCCTGACCACCCTGGTCATGAGCGGAAGGCTCTCAAGACTGAGCCCGCATCCCAGCATGCAACGAATTATTGCCTGAGTCTTTCTCAAAGTTGCTTCCGAAGACAACTCCCCTTGAGCTGACGGCAATGCTACATCGCTGATGTAAGTTCGGGTCTCGGCCTCGAAAGTTGTGGTGATGTCCGGGTGCGCGGCCAACAGCGAGCGCATGATGACCCGTAGATTCTCAGCGGGGATGTTCGTGATAATGGTGTCTGTCATCATGTTGACATGCGCCGTCTTGGCGCTTTGGCCCTCTGAGTCTGCCGCCATTTCGTTTGAATTGTCTTTTGGAAGTGAGAGATTGAGAAACTCTGAAGGTTCCTTGACAAAATCCAAGTACTATCTGCAGTGTTCAATTTTGATGACTTGCATGTAAGCCTTCTCTTAGTTGTCAAACAACATGGACGATGCTGTTACAGGGCTACAAGCTGAACCCTGTCTTCGAGCTGACATCCACCGGCGTTCATCTCAACTATCAGAAGCCATCGGCGATCAACGAATCTGGCGGTAGCTTGCCGGCTCATTACTCGGTTATCTTTACCCACATCAGACCACAGGGAACGGCGGGGAGAAAAGTGGGTGAAGATAGGGAAAGAAACCCGAGAAGGATTCACAGCACCCCCGAAGCCGGCGAATTCCCTCCCTTAACCTTATCAAGTCCAACTGCCGGTCATCCTTAGTGCTGATTCCACAGCTGGTTAACCGGCGATCTACCACAGTAAAGCAGCTTGCACAATGGAGCATACCCAAGCATCGCCCTCTCTCAAGCCCGTGTAAGATTCAGCGGTCCGAGATGCCAGCAACGCCTCCCCCGACTGATAGAAATGGCTTCGATTAGTTCTAAAGCATGCCTTCAATGCAGAAGTGTCAAAATGAAATGCATCACTGCAGATGATGAAACGGTTTGCGATCGGTGTAACCGGAAGTCATTAAAGTGCATCTTCCAAGATCACCGCCGAGGACGGAAACCAGGTACTCGGTGCGTACCACCTGAAGGAGCAGTGCCATAAGAAGTTAACAATTGAAGTATTACCCCCAAGCGCAAAGCCCAAATCCCAACGGCACCAGTCGCTTCATCCCCGTCAGTACAACAAAGACAGATTGAAGAGAGAAGTAGACAGACGCAGGCAATTCAACGAAGTCCAGACTGGAGCAACGGAAGCCTGCAACCTGCTGGGCTGTTCAATCGTGCAGCCACTCGAGGCAGTTTCTCACTTGGGAGCATACTGAATGCTTCAGAATCGACCACTTCAGACGCACAGCAAGAAGAGTCGCGGATCCCTGCAGATGATCCAATTCAACTTGGTCTCCTCAATTCTTCCATCGCTTCGTCTCTGTTCGAAAAGTGAGTCCAAGAAGGTCAATGCACATGTTCCAAGCCTGTTCCACCCCCGTCCTTTTGAAGCATCTTCGTATCTAACTCTTCAATATCTACTCTCGCCATGACACAACAGAATAGTAACATGTGAATAGTTTTATGGAGTCTCTCAATCCATATATAAGTCAATTGGACCCGTACTTGCACACTCTCAGCCGGATCCGACAAGAGTCTTCATTCCTTCTCACGGCAATCTTAGCTGCGGCCGCAAAAGCATTCAATCCTGCTCTATACAGGAAACTCCGCGACCATGCAGAAGATATCCTTGCCTCCACTTTCAGGAAAGGGACCAAGTCGGTTGAGACTGCTCAAGCGGTGATGATTTTGACCTATTGGAAAGAGTCTGAAGACACACGTGCCTGGATGCTCCTGGGATACGTGATCAGGATGGGCATGGAACTGGGCTGGCATCGGCTGGCTCCTTATTCGCCGCAATCGATCGCGGTCACGGACTTGGAGCGACGTCAAGCCAGGAACATCGAGAGAACCTGGCTAGTTCTCTTTGTTTACGATCGAAGGTAAGATGTAGACCAAGGCTGAGCGAAGATGGTAGCTCAAAAGCTAATAGGGCGTAGCATGAGCTTACAAACCGGGAAGCCGTGGATGATCGAACGAAGTGAGATCATCGAGTCTATTGAGCCATGGTGCAAGGATGCAATGGCTACTCCTGGTGATCGCCTGCTCGGTGCGCTGGTAACACTACGACTGTTGAGTTCAGAGGTTTTCAGGCTACTAGGACCGAGGTCAAGTCGAGTTCGCGCCAGACAATTACACAGCCTCGAATCCCTTCTTGCAATCATCAAGAGCAGAATCGAGGAATGGGAGTCGAGGTGGCTCAGCGTAGCAGATACCGGTATGCCCAAACTCCAGGCCTTGAAAGTTAGCTTGCTAAAGCTTTCAACTCTCAGGCAGCTGCCATCCATTTTTGATCCAGTTCTATGGCACACATCTCAGGCTACAACTGTTCTCTTTGCCATTACAGGACATCTTGGCACAGTCGGATCCGAACATGACCTACCATATGGAGGCCCTCTGGGTCAGCTACTCAAGTGCCCTGGAGATGCTGCATCTCATCTGCCGTCATTCCTCTTGGCTTTACTTTGCCCAAGACTCTGTTCATGTAATGACTGCTTACAGTGCAGCATTCCTGATCAAGGTAAGACCAGATTACTTGAAAAGCTTTTACTGTTCTTCTCTATTTGAAGCCTAACCAGTGTCTAGCTCATGTTATCTACGTCCCATTCCATCACCGGCCAAATTCAGCTAGCAATTCAAAGTGCTATCTCGGGTGCAGCCTTGGTTTTCTCCCAGCAAGCTGCGCCGCCGGGCTCGAGTTGCGCACTTCAGTCAAGGTTTCTCGACAACATCGTGGCTAGAATCTCAAAGCCCTCAGCCGAGGCGTCGACGGCAACGGATCTTCATGAGCATCGTGACCAGCTTCGGGCTGGCGAGCGGGACACGACGCGCGAGATCGGGCATGCCGCAATTTCAGGTCGAGCTTTCAACCAGGCGGAAGGCGCACTGAGTTTGGATTTTGCAGATGATGAAACCTGGGTTAGACTCATGGCTGAAGCTGGTTTCAATGCTCAGGATGGTGTATTTTTTGCTTGAACATCGATGAGACCAAGGTGAGGTTGAGTACATGTGTCTGTGTAAGACTTCTACTTGGGCGCATCAGTGTTGTTTAAAGGAACGGCAGTCGTCTCCGAGTGGCGAAATGTTCTGATGCCTTCTCGGACAATCTTCAGCTGGGAAGGACAGCAGGGATCCGGGCATGCGATCAACGCATCGGTTGTCATCCAGTCGTTCTTGGCAGTTACGCGTTGCTTTGCAGCAAGTAGGGGTAGCACCGATGCTGTTAATGAGAATCAACAACTGTGACTCTGGAGTAGATATGAGTCGGTATCCAACGTACATAAGCTGTATATGCTGATGCCTTGGTCTGGTGGCAGATACAACATCTCACCCTTTAGCGTGAAGTAATCCCCCTCTTTGGCGCCGCACATGATCCTCGTGTCTGGTGGACAGACGACCTCAACCCGCAGGTCGAATAACTGAAAGGCGTCCTCGGGACTTGGAGGAGAAGTGGATGTCATGATGCTTGACCTAGTTAAAGTCTTATCGTTGGATGCACTCTGACCGGGCTGTCAAGCCATGGATCGATCGCGTTTCCCAAGCTTTTATCCAATCTTTGAAACCGTTCTATCCCCGCACTCACGAGCAACGGGGCTTATCAACCGGCGTCTCAAGCCGAAGCTTGATCCTGGCACCGGCAACTCAAAGTCGATCGTCGACAGCGACCCAGCGCCCGATTGGCTGCGGAGTTGCGCCTATCCTACGACCCTGAATGGCAGCTCCGGGGGCGTTATCAGGACCGATTTTGGGTGCTTACACCGGTGTTGTTCATTAATGTTGATCAACCCACTCTGTTACTCGGAAGAAGTCGCGACGAGATGCATCCGTGAACTTCAACGGATGTACGAGGCAATTCTATTTGAGCCCTAATTACAGATCCTTCTTATTGTGTTCAATTCTTCCATCATGGAGGGGAAGGAAAAGGACGAGACCACTATTGGTGCAAATCCCGAAGTGGACTCCGGCTCCGGCCAGAGCGCCTCTATCCCCGGAGATGGTGAGGGAATCAGGCGTGACTTGGAGTCTCGGCATATTAACATGATTGCAATTGCGGGAATGATTGTGAGTCTGCCCAGTATCGACCATTGGGTGGGATGGTTTGTCGTCTAATACTGGATCAAGGGAACGGGCTTGTTCTTGAGCTCTGGTACAACCATAGCCACTGCAGGGCCCGCCGGAGCACTTTTGGCTTACATCGTTATGGGTCTCGTCACCGCCGGCGTCTCGTACACGACGGGGGAGATCACGTCCTTCATGCCGTCGACTGGTGGTTTCATTCGACATGCGACCAAGTTTGTTGAGCCAGCACTCGGTGCAGCCACTGGTTGGAACTTTTGTGAGTTCAAGTGCAAGGCCATGCGCTTTGTAAGTTCTGGGAGTTGAAGCATAGTCCTGACTTGAGAATAGGGTACACCATGTCGATTTCTGTTCCTGCTGAGATCAGTGCCGCTGCAACTTTGATTCAGTTCTGGAATACATCCGTAAACCCTGGGGTTTGGATCACAATTTTTCTAGTCTTTATCATCACAGTCAACTTCTGCGGCGTCCGGCTATACGGTGAAGTAAGATACCACTCTTCACCCCAAAGAGCTCTGCAACTTACAAGACAAACAGACCGAAGTCGTGTTCGCTTCTCTAAAGATCATGACAATCATCGGTCTCATCATCGGCGGCCTGGTCATTGATCTCGGCGGCGGCCCCAACGGCGACCGCATAGGCTTCCGATACTGGCAGGACCCGGGTGCTTTCAACAGCTATCTGGTCACCGGCTCATCTGGCAACTTTCTGGCTTTCTGGAAAGTCTTGCTCTCGGCGGCTTTCAGCTACGGCAATATTCAAGTCGTTGCTATCTCGGGGTCCGAGACTCGGCAGCCAAGAAAGATCATCCCAGCAGCCACGAGGAAGACTTTTTTCCGGGTATTCTTCTTTTACGTTCTTAGCATCCTGGTCGTGGGAATGATTGTGTGAGAAGCTCACTTCTATGGAAGAACACTATTTGAGACAACATGTCTGACAAAAAGATAGGCCATCCAACGACCCGTCACTCAGCATCTCAACCGGAACCGCCCAGCAATCCCCCTTCGTCATCGCCTTCACCCGCTCTGGTGTCTCTGTGTTGCCGTCGATCATCAACGCCGTGGTCTGCACTTCGGCCATTAGCAGCGGTTCCGCCTGCGTCTTTATCGCGTCTCGGACTCTCTATGGTCTCAGTTGCGATGGGCACGCGCCCAGGATCCTTCAGCGCTGCAACAGGTTCGGGACACCTCATTACGCGGTGGGGTTGACCTGCATCCTCATGCCGCTTGTCTATCTCAACATGGCCAACAATACCTCTGTCGTTTTTGGCTGGTTCGTCAACATTACAACGGTTGCCGGTTTAATCGGTTGGATCGTGATTGAGATCACGTATCTCCGGTTCTTTGCTGGGCTTAAGGCACAAGGCTACTCTAGGAACGGTAAGTGGCCCTTCGTGATGGTTGCCTACTACTCATGCATGCCAAGCTTACACCTTTCAACAGAGCTTCCATACAAGGTTCCTGGGCAGCCCTATATATCATGGGTAACCTTAGTGATGGTTGTCCTTGTTGTCTTCTTCTCAGGTAAGCCTCCGCGAATATTCATGTTACCATTGCAGTACTTCGAGTCATTCCCAACTCACAGCATCATCCAGGTTTCGACGTTTTCACAACCGGAAACTTTACCGCCTCGGGATTCTTGACATGCTATTTCAATGTGTTTATCTTTGCAAGTGAGTTACCTGCTCCTTTCTTCAACATCATGGTCATGGACTAATGCTGTGTTACCAGTCCTGTACCTTTTCTTCAAATTCTATCTCAAGTCTCGAGTGATTACGGTAGGTGAGATGGACTTTGAAACGGAATTCACATCAATCCGGCACGAGAAGGCACAAGAAGAAGTGTATGGGCCTGGAAAGTCGGGACTCAAGCATTCGATTCGTAGAATAATACATGCTGTGTAGGTATGGAACCCAAGACAGGAGAGCAAATAGGGATTGCTTAAGGGAAACACAACATACTACAAGAACCAGTAATACTATGGTGCTATACTACGATGTTTTTAGAGCTAGTACTGACCAATTAAGTACCTGTGCTGAAAACCCCAATATGCAACATCTCTTGCTAAACCCTACAGATACGGTCTCGTTGAAGAAGCTAGGGTTTGGTGTTCCCCCAAGCCGGCGCTCCACCGGGACATCGATGGCGTTGATATCGTCTCTTACGCCTGTGAAGGTGGCGCAGAATTTCCTCGCTCTTGACTTTCCACGGCAGACGTTTGATTGAATATTTCAGTCGGCTTCCTCCGGGCTTACAGCGAAGCGACCGTTCTAGACCGGAGCCCAGAATCGTCTCCGGACGCAGTCCGGAAGACGGACGTCGAAGAAGGCAAATCATGCAAAGCAATGCCGTTAGCCACGGCATTTGAGCCCGGCGTCTCCTCCTCACTCGACCTCCCAGCCTCCTCTCTCGCCCGCAACCTCTTCCTAGCCCAAGGCAACAAGTTAAAGTACCCGCCGCACGCAAACACCCCGCACCAGAGCACAAACTCAGTCGCATAGATAACGACACCCAGCACATCAAGCCGGCGCTGGAAAAAGAGGGACGCGAGAGAGAATACGTCCCCGGCGGCGTCGATACCTACAAAGATGAAGGAGATGCCGCGCACGGTGCGATGGAGGTAGATGTCCCAGTAGTGCCGGAGGACCCCGGCAGCCAAGAGGGCGGCGGAGAGAGTAGCCATGAGGATCATGGGCCATTCTTTGCCGCGGGCCTTGACGATGCGGAGACCGATGACGAGGGCGACTTGGATGCCGGCCATGGCTATCGCGATGGGGGCTACTACTGCGAGGGAGCGGAGGATGGACCAGTTCTATGAACGAGGTGAGTAAGGTAAGTGGAGGGGAAAATGGCATGGGAGGGAGATGTTACTCTTTGGTAGTAGAAGCACTGGATCCAAGTTGCGAGACTCAAGAATGTCAAAATCTGGGGTTGAATCTGCAGGGCAATGTTGAAGTCTTCAACGATGTTGTAGACACCCAGTGGAACGCCGGCCCAGGCCCAGAGCATCATCATCGAAGGCTGCAGACCGGTGGCATCGTGGCGCCTGTAATTAATGACAATTTGTGGGATGAGCTACGCAACGGCCGACCGTCAGGACTGTTATCTGGAAGAACTGAATCCTATCAAGACGCACCTGGATAGACCAGCAGACCTGTAAAGTGTGAGCCCTTCTGACTTCATCTCTAGTGGCGTTGGGATGAGATGGGTACATACTGCCCCAAGTGTGCCGAGGGCATTGGCTGCGGCTGGTATGTCCATGACGATGGATCGTAAAGACGCTTTCAACGACTCGTCAAAGGTTAACGATGCTAGTCGTAATGGCAATTGAAGAAAGAGTTTCTGCAAATTGCGACAGATTTATTAGGCTTATGGGCAAGAGACATCATTGCCAATTGATAGAGTCATTTGCACTACCGTGTTCGGGCCTTTATCGATCCGCTATCGGCATTGCGCGGGAAATAAGTAAAAACACGCCCATAATCGTACTACGCCCCCTTGACTCTCGATTTCGATCCCTACACGCTAATAGGTGCTTATAGGCTAAACAAATAAACTACTTATATAAATAAAACTTATTCTTCTTGCCTGAGCCTTTAATTTTATTTAAAAAGAGTTTAAGTCTATATTATAATTCATATACTTTCTATTTATCTAATTTTATTTCTCAAGAAGGTCTTTTTAATAGAAAAAATAGAGTTAAATACTAGTTTGTTAAGTTTTTTTTTATTTTTTTTAAATAATAAACTAAAAACATTTTATATAAATCGTTTATTTATATAGCCTATAAGTACTTACTAGAGGCTAGTAAAGGAAGTAAAGCGAAAAAAAAGTTTAAGACATAATTAAAAGATAGCTAGTTAGTAAAAATAAAAATAAAAAGTAAAAAATAAGGCTCTCCCCTTCCAGAATCGAAATAGAGACATTTCGATGACAATGTAACCATTACAGTCGAACGTGAAAAAGAGTCATCACTTGGTGGGCGATGGTGCTGAGCTGCCTCCCCCATCATGAGGCACGGAGGCGCGCAGTGGAGAAGAACAGAGGCGTAGACGCACTGAATAAACAGCACCTACCCTACCGTGCCGAGAGCATTGGCAGTGGCCAGCATGCCCATAATGATAGAGACAGGTCAAACGTTCTTTATCTAGTAAGACAACAGCCACGACAGATGGCAGTCAAAGAACGATAATCTGTCGCGGCTGAGTAGGCTCCCTGGCAGTGCATGTCAAATGATTGATACCGACCTAACTGAGATACTGCTGCGCTATCGGCCCCCTTGCGTGTGGGTAGGTACCAACAGGTCTCCGCCTCTGGGTCAGCCGCCCCATGTATGCAAGGAATCGACACCTGCACTCAGGGTACCTAGCAGGTACCTCTTGTTGGTAGTGGCACATAGTCATCACAGCTGGACTGCGCGGTCAAAATAATGGGACTGACTGGGAGGAGTCTTTCAAAGAGCAAAAGAAAGTATCTCTCTCATCTCCCAGATGATACAATGAAAATGGATCTTTTGCGGAGAAACTGGCTACGATACTTCATGCTGTGACTCCATATGTCATTACAGAGTAGGTGCCGAGTAGTGGTTACGGTACTGGGGTTTTAATAGTGCTCAGTCTGCTTTACTGATTTTGTAATTAAAAAGAAAGTTTTCCTCCGAACTTATGAATTAGACAGGCTCCGTTGCTCCTTGTCGTTAGTCCATTGTCTCTCTAGGCACCGATCAAGTCTCGATAACTCGGTTGCCGCTTATCATAACGATGGAAAGCCAAGTAAAAAATCTTTGATTAAACCCAAGTAATCGTTGCCCAGTCTCGTACAGTACTCCGTCATGAATAATCCTACACCTGTTTTCGTACAAAGTAACTTGACAAATTTCCAGTCTTACTCGTCCCACTCGATTCTCATCGTCGTCGGCACAGGCCAGTACGAGCTCTGGTCGGCGGTCATGAAGGTGCGCAGACCCAGCCAGGGCTCATCCTTCTTGCTGGCGCCGTTCTGGCTGCTGCCAACGGGAAGACCGACCTGACCGGGCCAAGCACCGGCAGGCATGTTCTTGAGCTTTCCACGGCCTCCATTTCCGGTTGACGTCTTGTCGGCTCTCCTCAGTCCCTTGAGTCCGACAATCTGCTTGAACAGACTCGTCTGAGCCACGCGGCTGATCTCCTTACCAGCACACCAATGGGGTCCAAGACCGTAGTGGACGTATGACTCGAGAGGGCGATCGAGCCGCACTTCGTTGGGGGCCTCAAAGATGGTCGGGTCGCGACCGGCCGTCATCAGATTGCACAGGACCTTTTGACCCTTGGGAATCTTGACTTCGTACTTGGTGCCGTCGATATCGTCGTTGATCTTAGGCGTGCGCGAGGTCGGGTCACTGGGGTCAAGGAGGCATGGAGCGTAGTCGGTGATGACCTGGGTAGTGACGGCCTCACGGTAAACGGCGACGGTACCGCGAAGTCTGCAACCCTCGAGCATGCTGAAACAAAGTTAGAGGAGTTTCCAATATAGAGAGAGTTTTGAGCGTGGACTTACTACTTCATCAACTTCTCATCCGCCTCGGGTGTATCCTCATGAGCCAGCTTATAAAGAGTCTTCAGGTGGTCGTGGCCCTCGCCAAGGTAGTAGTCGATGCAAAGAGCCATGACTTGCGACTGGTTCGTCACATTGGCGGTGACGACTGGCATGATGGTACCCCAGACGACCTCTTCAATGTCCTTGCCGTCAGCAAGGAGGCGCTCAATGAGATGGTTTCCAAAGGTGGGGAGCGAGGATTCTCCCTCTCTAATCTTGGCGACAATATCCGTGATCAAGCCAGCCTTGGAGATGGTTAAGCAGATGAGACTCATGAGCTTGCCCAGGCCTTGGCCGAGCTCTCGCGCGATCGTCCGCAACTTGAAGCTGTTGCCAATGTCCGCATCCAGGAAAACAGACTGGAAAAGAGTAGCGACAACCACATACAATTCCTGGTCGGTGTACACACCCCATGGTGAGTCCTCGTTCTTGATGGGCAGGTGGAAGAGGGCGGCATTGAACCGTGTGTTTGTCAGGTTAATGACGTCCCGGACAAGGTCAACCTCCCTGACGCCCTTCCTGATGGCGAAGCTGTTCTGCTTCAGTAACCGAGGCGTCGTGTGCGTATACCACTTGAAGACTTCCTTCTCCCAAGGGCCCGTGATCAAAGCCTTCCTGACCAGAGCGCGGTTCTGTGTGTTTGTCTTGCCATCGCCAGCCAGACAAAAGTCTTTGCCGTGCTCCTTTCCAGGCTGCGCGACCAGGTGACGAATGGCATCGCCCCAGACTACTTTGAAGTCTGTCTGGTTGTACAGGATCTCACTGACAGCCTTGTGAGAGAAAACGGGAATCATGCTGCGCTTGGTGACTGGCTCCTTCCAGGAGTAGAGATAGGCTCTGTTGATATCCTCGAGAATCTTCTTGTTCTCGGAGGGCACCGTGAGAGGGAAGTGGGCGTAGACGCTGTTCTGCTCGAATGAGTTGGGGAAAGCGCGGAATACTAGCTTGTACAGAACATGGCTCTGGTCAACGTTGTGATCGTAGCTGCATTGGTTGAAACTGTTCAAAAGTTAGTGGCTGTTTGAATGCATCTGCGCGACATAAATCAGGAAGACTAACCCCCAGTTGGTCAGGTTCTTTGGCGTATAGTCAATGGTGTAGAATCGGTCACCGCGAACAAGGGCAACGGCATCAGACAAGATAGCCCTGGTCATGGTGAAGCCGCCACACAACCCACTTCCCGGGGACATGGGCTTCTTGGCCTTCTCAGCGACCAATCCAGGATACAGCTCAACCTGGTCTGGGGTGCCATAGAGGTATCTCAGCTTCTTCACGACTTCGGGGTCCGGGTTGATGTCCTCGAATGTCGGATGCCTGGTGAGGCCAAAGTGATCACGGAACTCGTTGAGGGTGGCGACATTCCACTTTCGCGCGTTCATCATACCGAGAACCTCGATCGGCTTCATAATCTCGGGGATTCTGTTCGCGCCGTAAGAACCAGCAACATCCTCGACAGACTCCTTGAAGATCTTGACCAAATCCTCTTCGCGGAAGGCACCATCCTTGCCACGCTTCAGACCGGCGAAGTCACGCTTGACGGGGTCATCACTGATACGTCTTTCCCAGTCCCTCACAGCGTGGCCGAACTCTATGAGAGTGTAATCCTTGACATCTTTAGCCTCTCCCTTAATCTTGAGTTGCTCGCGGAACGCCTTTTCGGTCCATTTGGCGTCCTTGGGGGAAATGGTGCAATGCCATCTGTAGATGAGGTTGAACTCTACAGAGACCTGGTTTCCGGTACCCTCGGGGGTCTCGGCTCGGAGAATGCTCTTGCCCTCATTGGTACGGGGATCCAGAGCCCAGCTTGAAGGCGAGCGGTTCATGTTCAAGATGGTACGAACGTAGTCGCGAAGGACGATGCTGACGTAGAGACCGCAAGTGATGAGACGCGCTGTTTGGAAAAGGTCGTTGTCAAATTTGACCCAAGCAGTCCAACTGGCCCATTGCTTGTACTCGGGGGTGCTCGTATGATCCTTGTAGTCTTGGGATTCAATCCAATCCAGATATCTTGGATGACCGACTGGAACGGCTCCCTCCGGCTCCGCTGGCTTTTTGGGGGCCTCAGCCTCGGGATCGATGGCATCGCCAGTAGGTCTGTTAAACCGGTTGTTCTCGTTGATGCTATATCTCATTAGTACAAATCGGACTGCAAGGTGGGGATTATCTTACCTTGCAAGCTGTGTAACGATATAATTGTGGAAGCGGTTGAACATCATCAGAAGAACACCGACGCCGGGAGGGAAACCGAGAACTCTCTTGGAAGAGAACGAGTCAGGCTTGAGTCTGCCATCCAGCTTTGTCCTGACTTGATCTTGCTCTTCTTGGTTGCGACCATAGAGAGGAGAAAGATCGAGGTAGGAGGATGTCTTGTTGATACCACTTAGGCCGTCCTATCATGCATTCGTTTAACAACGCGAGTTCAACCGGTGCGAGGAATAGTGTCTTACAGTTTGGAAGATATCATGAGTGATGATGGTAGCCAGGTAAAAGAGGAAGCTTGAGATTTTGTTGGGGTGAGGCTTGAACTCCTCGCCTCTAGCAAAGAGCATGTCAAAGAGAAGGCTGGGATCCGGCTGGTTGGGAGTTTGATAGGTGATGGGTGGGGCTGACCGAGCATATGCTGTGCCAGCTGCGCCCATGGCCGGGCTGTGAATGTTGTTGTTGGAGCCGTCGGCTGCACGATACTTGAACTTCTCGTCGAGAGTTGTCATAGGCGGATGGTCGATGCCATTCCAAAGCTGGTTGATCAAGCCATACTCGAGCTTCTTGCCCTTGACGGTGCCGCGAGGCAACTTGGCAAAAAGCTGGATGAGATGCTCCAAGAGCAACTCATTGTCGTCGATCTTGCCTTGCACAGCGGTGATGCCGAAATCGGCCAAGGTCTCAAAGTCCTGGAAGCCGAGCTTCTTGATATCCTGCAAAAGATTTGTCGGTTCAGGCTGCTGCGCAGCGGTACCTGGAACTGGTTCAGGGTGCGGTGGGACTGCGGACAGGGACTTGTGAACGAGGTTACGAGCAGCCGCCAACTTCTCCGACACCTCCGTGAGGAGAGGTTGGTGCTTGGGGAATTGCTCCTGGGCTTGAGACATGCTGGCGGATAGTCCAGTCGACTGCAAGTTGAAGGAGAGAGAATAGTTGAACTTGAAGGGAAAAGGAAGAGTTCGTTCACACGGGCAGGCCCGGATTTGGGGCGACGGGCTCCTTCATATATGTGTGAGCACGCCGCTTCTTGCCCCATGGAATTGACAGTGGACAACATTGTCCGAGGCGAGCAGATATGGAATTACAGATACCCCCTCCATGACGAGGCACAGAGGAATTGGGTGAGCCAGCAGACACTGTGCTGCATGGTGTTGAGGATCAGGCTGAGATACTTTCTCTCGTTTAGTCCCCTCGTTGGCGCTGAGGTCAGCTCTCGAAGCTCCACAAGGCCGTCATGGGTTTGTGCTAGGCAATAGCGCGAGACGATGAAGCAAATGTCTTCCTAGGCTTCCCGCTCCTAGTTTGGTCGTCTTGTAGGGCTTCGCTCCCGAGGTACTATGGAGGTACGCCAATCATTGACCAGGCTTGCCCTGATGAAGAAGTCGACGGTGATGAAGAAATGCGTCTGTTGACTAAACATGGGAGACGATTGGCCGGGATGCGAAGCTAGGGACCAACGCTCCCCCCTGCTGTCGTGCGGCGCCGAACCAATAATGGTTGATATCGCAGGCCGACTTCTGCATCGTGGGGGCTGCGAGGGCGCAGCTGAATGTCCCCTGCGTGCCTGCCTACGACTCCGGGTATGGTGGATGGGAAAACAGAAGCAGCAAAGAGTTGCAGAGCTTTCCCCTTCCGCCAAGCTAAGAGAGAACGAAAACAGCAAGCACTGTGCAAGACATTAGGCTACTAGAGAAGTAGCCGAAGTCAATGAGTTCCTGATGAGGCCAGCGAGATGCGCCAATGGCCAATCATTGAAGAGGTGATTCGTATGCCCGGCCGCCTTCTCTCTTGGTGTCATGCCAGTTGGAGCGATGACTCTGTCTCAGCCGGGATTTCGGTGAATGTGTGGGCGCCGACGGGGGAGATGAGATCGTATTTGCGCGATACCTACGGATACCACAAGTGTTATGAGTCGATCTTTTGCTGGACTTGGTCAACATGTGATAATGTCGTGGACTAAGATAGCAGGGACCAATCGAGCCCGTAACTTGTTGTCTTCGTTCTCGGACGTCTTTGCCGTAATGCGTATGTTCCACGGGAGCTGCCTTGTTGACCCTGTTCAAGCCCACGCCATTCCCGGCCGTGTAGGGCCTGGTAGTGCATTGCGAATTGACGGTCCCCGGTTTTCGACAAAGTTGCAGGGACTTGATCATGCCTGGAACGGTTTGGCTTGGATCAATTGGAGTTGGCCACGACTGGGGGGGGGGGCCGTTGTTGGAACTTGGTGAGAACATGTTATGCGGCCGTAACTGTGCTTACGATGTTACCGAGGGGCCGCCCGCCTGTTGTGTTCCGCAAACAGCCTTGATGTCTACGTTGTTGACAAACTGCACCGTAGCACTGCGTTTGCCCGGTGTGATGAGATATTGCAACTCTGCACCAACGTGCTTCGATAGCTCGCGGAACAGGTGAAGTCGTTGAGGTCGACTAGGGCCTGTTCGGTCATGTCAGCTGCTTGGCGATGGGTGTCAGCACTCTGTGCAAGCCATTCGAAGAAGAGGCGCACCGCCATTTCTTTCCTGTGCGTGGGGGCATTTGGGGCCAATGCGCAGTGATTCTTCAGCCGCCCGCCTCCATCTCACCGGACGATAGATACATAGTATTTACCTATGCCGCGGAACGGTGCAACAGCATCAGCATTGGCGAGTGACTGGTTGCTCTCAAAGATCAAGGATAACCTGTCATGGATGTAGTCACTGAAAAATGGCACAAGATGATGATCTGGTGGCCGCAATGTTTGCTGCCGTGCCTCATTTCACAAAGACTGGCCGGACCGTACCGTCACCGATCAATTCTACGAGACCACAGAATGCCGGCTATTTGACGAGATGTCCAAGTGTTTCCGTCGGGATGGGTGGTCTCACTCCCTTGGATTGCGGGGTCTGAGACACGGGATTTCACAGCCGTCGACAGTTCCTTTCCGTGGATTGGAAATGGAAGGAATCCGGGGTAATTGATGAGAGGCTCTGGGCTTGTCGATGGAATTGGAATTCGAATCTCCGAGGCATCGTCTCCCAGCTTGACAAACAAAAACAACGTGACGGTTCGGGCGAGGCAGAACACGCCGTAATGCAAGCAAATTTTGATTGGCATAGTGGCCTCAATGGTCCGATTCAGACTGTAATGATAGGCAAACTTCTCGCGTGCCATTGAAGAGCCATTCGAGTGCCAATTGCTGACCTGTGGAAATCAGCTAGGCATGTCATGTTGCGATGGGCCAGTGCGCCATGGATAGTCCGCTAATAGCAGACAGTCCTGGAGACCATGTCAGTATACTCATAGGGCTGAGATGGTGCCTGTCGAACCTGTTTTAACCCTGCTGGCGAGCGGTCGAGTTCGTGGCCACACAGGCCGGCTTCATGCAGTTCGGGGGAGCCGGTGCGGGATGATACCGTTCAAGAGTGCAGTCAGCTTACAGACAGCAGATGCGCGGGCACCAGTCTACGTTAAATGGACCGCTGACTGGGAGGCCTATGACATGACGCAAAGCTGGCTGCTCAGGGCAAAGGCGCGAAGCCAGGGATCGTAAGTTGCTTGCATCGGCCGGTTGACAGATGGGGGCCACAGACGAAGTGCAGGGCAGCACCCTGTGCGGCGGAAGACGGGTTTCTGGGATGCCTTTTCCGGACCAAACGTTGGCCATCTGGCCGCCACCCAACTGTTCAATAACGCTGGGGGCTGTCGTGGCTTGTTTCTGTCTAGCCGTCCATGGCGTTTTGAAGAATCTCAACAGTGATTGTAGAGCTTGAGACCGTTTCAGGCGTCGAGAAGGCGTCGAGAAAGCGTGAAAGAGTCTAGTCGCTATTTGGAACTGCTGGCCAGTGTTGAGTGTGCGACTGACACTAAGGCGCATGACCAGGGCCCAGTAAGTGTCAGTCCAACAAGACGAAGGGAATCTTTCCTATGACAAAGTTTGGATGGCCTATTTTCAGTTGCACCCATGAAGGGAAACAGAAGTGCAGTCGTCGCATGGTTGTCGTGCTTGAGGGCCACCTCGAACAGAGTGTGTCTGAACTGGCTACGGCTGAAGCAAGCCGACGCCATGCAGTGGACAGTAGGTCCGCCCAAGTCCGGCGCGGGGGGTCTGTCTGGATTCTGTGCGGATGGCCAGTGTGGGCGAAGGCCAAATGTGTTGCGTGAGTGTCTTGGTCGCCAAGGTAGTTCTCGGGCATGAGGCATGAAAAGGGGATTGGGGCCGGGTCTGGAGGAATGCGAGGGATGCGTCGGTATCGTTGGCGCAAAGTCGAGGCGCTATTACAAGCAATGCGACTGTTGCAGAGCGGGCTTCGTGGGGATGTTTGACATTGGTCGGGCCAAGTTGTCGATTGTTGATCACGAAGAAGTACAACAACCTTTTGGAGATGGATGGGGTGTCGTTGAGGATGGGAATTGTTCACTGCAAACAATTCGCTTGGTGAAACTCAATTGCCTCCATGCCTCTCCTTCCCTAGGTTGCCTGAGTGCCTGCCTGAGATGGGCGGCGATAGGTACAAACCTAAGTACCTAAGTAACGTAAGGTACCTTCCAGTCTCAGCGGGTCACCTCAGTTCCATTGGGAAGGAGGCCCGCTCGGGCAAGTACGAATAACACCTACCCAAGCACGCTACTTTCCCCTCTTCCGTTGGCTTTTCCTCCAGTCATCATGATGTTCTTAACGGGCGTTTTCAGCCTCATCAAGGTTCCTCTACCAGCTACTCTACTCCCCGAGAATAAAGACTCTGGTCTGTGAGAAAATCGGCTGACAATCAAGGTGATGTTACATCTCTTCTGGGCGGACGAAAATGAAATTAGAGAATGAGAATGGAGATTGACTTTGAGGGTGGCATCGGCTAAGGACATTTTGAGTTTAGAGTCAGGGTCTCCAGGAAGAGTCCAAGACTCCAGAGATGAGGACCGCTGTAGTCTGTGGACTCGGGAAGCAGGAGCCACCAGTGGATTCCCGCCTGACTGGATACCTTACCAGATGGAAGGTGGGAAGCTGCCCAGAACCCAATTCAGAAGGGGCTCTCCAGAAGGGTGGAGATGTCTGGGGAAAGCACCACACAACAGCTGTTTCCTATTTTCTGATAGAGTTCATCCTCTGCTTCAGAATAATTGCACCACCGAGGCCAATAGAACGGAAACAGAAAGAGGATGCAAGGGGACAATATCTCAATTAGTAAGGAGTATTGAGGCAAAATGCTTCTGTTCCTTCCACTGTCTGTTCCTACCTTCCATTACGTTTCTCGTCTGTTTCTGTTCTCTCATCGCTTTGCAGTGGAATGATCTGAGCGAGTCGTAGCTTCCCCATCTCATCTCATCTCATCTCATCTTTCCTTATTATCTCGTACCTACCCGAAGGCGAGGCAACCACCTCGGAATCCCATACAGCTTTTGTCGTTGTATTCGTAACGGCACGGCGTATTCGCGCTTTCTTCTCGCCATTGCAGACACTGCAACTCAGGCTGCAAACACGAGCTGTGCCGCAATTCATTGTATCTCTGACTGCCTACCTGCATTGAGCACTGAATGCTCCAAGTCAAAACTAAAGGCCGCCTCTGAACAATATCGCTTCCGGAAGAGAAAAGAAAAAGGGGAATCCTCGCCCATTTATCCATCCACTCGCCGCCCTCCCCGAGTTCCTCCCTTCTCCAACACTCACTTTTCGGGCCTAGCACAATACCAGGCCGGTCAGTAAGCCGCCATTCCCACTCCAGCGCCTGACCTGCAAGAAGGATTCCGATCCTGCACACATCCACGAGTATCCGTACAACATCTCCAATCAGCGGCCCATTCCCCCCTTGCGGTTTTGGCGGTTTAACCCCTTGTCCCTGGACAGATTAGCGCCATCTGTCAAGGAGCAACGCAACGCCAAGCTCGCCAAGCTCCCGCCGTCTTTGCCTTCTGGCGTCCTTTTTGCCGCCAAACCCAATCTCGAGTCGAGTTCCCTTCTCCTGTGTAGCCGGCACGACTAGCTTTCCTTCCCCTCAACTTTTCCCTCAACCTTTCTACGCACCTTTTTAGATCGTCAACATTCTTCCCATTTGCGCCTCGTAGCCGAACTGTCGGTTGTTCCCGGCTCGTCCTCAGTCGCACCTCGCTGACTCTGTGGTCCGTCTGCCCGGGTGGTCTCGAAACTCTGCCGAGCCACGTCGACTGTGACATCCGACGCCTCACACAATCCACCGTCCATCGAGTCCACCTTCAACCGACAACCAGCCTAGCCACGCGCAATAAATCGAACCAGGGCGCCGACAACTACACATTCCGCAAACACCACCTCCCCTTTGAGCCGACGTCAAATCTTCGAAAAGTCCTCTTTAAGGGCATGCCGACGCCATAGCCATTGTCATCGCCATGATCCCCCTCGTCGTTCGTTCCCTCCGGGGAGCTGTCGCCCGCATCTCCCCGAGCGCATACTCCTACTCCCCTCTAGGAAACGTCAATTCCAATTCAGAACCCTCATCACCTGGTGGCTCGAACCCTCCCGCGCAATCCAGCTCCCTCCTCGCACGATTAACGGCAATCCTCTTTTTCCTGCTGCCCTCCTTCGTTCAGCGCCGACTGCGACCCAACGACTTCAAGCACCGACGCTTATATCCTACCTCGTGGCTCGATGGTCTGCGCGGCGTTGCATCGCTGATTGTCTTCTTCTGCCACTTCACCGAGAAACATGTTGGCTGGTTCACGGCGAGGGCATACGGCGTTCCCGATGAAAACGACCATGTCGCTTCCTCTCCGCTGCAATTGCCCTTCCTCCGCGTCATCTTCAGCGGTCGGCCCATGGTCCACATCTTCTTCATCATCTCGGGCTTCGTTCTGTCTCTCAAGTCTTTGAAGCAGGCTAGGAAACATGACTACGATGGACTGCATCGCACTCTGTCAAGCAGCGTCTTCCGCCGTGGTTTCCGCCTGTTTCTGCCGACCACTGCGTCTACTTTCATAATCCTCGTCATGATTCGCCTGGGATGGATGGGACAACCCTTGCCTACACTGTGGGAGCAGCTGGTGGACTGGAAGAACGCAGTGTGGAGAATTACCTTCAGCTGGCAGTGGGATATTACCCAGATTCTGCCCTATGATGTCCATCTTTGGACCATTCCCATCGAATTCTCCCACTCGCTACTCCTGTTTGTCGTTCTCACTGGCGTGAGCCGCATGAAGACGTACTTACGCCTCGCTTCGGTTTTCTCCATCATGATCTACTGCCTCAAGTGCAGCCACTGGGCCGGCTTCGAGTTCTTGGGTGGCATGTTCCTTGCCGAGGTCGGTTTGATCGAGGAAGCTCGCCAGGAGCACAAGGCGGCCGCTTTGCAGAACAAGGAGGCATCCGAAATGGAATCTTCGACTGCGTCCGACTCGTCTTCAAGTTCCCTTGTAGTTCGCGTGTTCAAGACTTTCCTCGTCGGCAACTTGATTTTTGCCCTGTTTGTGGCCGGCTGGCCGAACCAAAAGGCCGACATCACCCCGGGAATGTCACCACTCTGGCACAACACCATGGAGCCTTTCTTCACCATGGGCGGCGACCTCGTCTCCTTCCCCTGGTATGCCCTTGGCGCGTTCCAGATCGTCATTACTCTGCAACACATCAAAGTGTTGCAGAACCTGTTCGTGACGCCACTAGCGCAGTACCTCGCAGACATCAGCTACGCGCTTTACCTTGTCCACGGACCCGTTCTCGACGTCTTTTCGCATCGCTGGATGCCGTACGTCTGGGCGCTTGTCGGCGGTAGAGACGAGACTGGCGTGATTGGGCGACTCGTGGCGTGGTTTCTCGGAATTGTCTTGCTTGGTGTGCCGACCGTCTGGGGCAGCGACGTCTTTTGGAGAACCATCGATGTCAAGAGTGTAGAGCTGGCACGCTGGATCGAGAGTCTCTGCACGCGAGACGGGTAGTCGTCGAATTGACGAGCTTCGAGGCGGACAGCATCGGATGTGACGGAGGTGGCATATCGGCGTTGGAGGCGTTGAATACTGTGATATATATGTCTTATTGGTTTTCGGGTACACCTAGAGTCATGATGACATTCGAGTAAATATTATCGTACAGCTCTCAGTCATTCAGTCTCGGGTACGGTTCTCTGTGAAGCAGGTGGGAAGTGTGGAAAGGATATGTTGCGCCCAAGGTAGACTGGTGTGAGCCTCCTGACGTTGCGCGTTTCGATTGACAGATAGGTCGCACAAATCCAACGTAAGATGGCCGGCCACAAGGTACGAAGAAACGTGAGACGGAACAGCTTTGGCTACACAAGAAAGAAGGAAGGGGGAAAGCGAATGTTTTGACGGAGGACGTTTGAAGGGACAATAAACAGCTCAAGTGTCTTCGGATAGCTGTGGGTAACCGGGAAGATGGGCCGCGTGGGATGGGGAATGGGATAGTGGGCAACGATCCGCCGGTCCCGGGACGGAGGCTTCATTGGACCCGGGGAGCACTAGGCCATCCCACCTGCCCGCCTGTACCCTTGCCAAGACCCAGAAAACACGTCGCAATGGCGTTGATAAGGAGGCTGAAGCAGGTTTAAATGGCATGGTCAATGGCGGACGGATGGGTCGGCCTGGGCTGCGACGATTGAAATCAGGGCGAAGGAACGTTGTAAGAGCTTTTGGTTGGTGAAAGGGGGGGGGGGGGGGATTACGAGGTAGAGGCACTAGTGAGAATATAGATCGGATACCTTAGTAGAGGCTTGAGTCTCGACTGGAGGATTCAAATGCGGTGTCACTATAGAAGCCGGTGCTCCCGTGCCGAGATGCCATTTGCCTTTCCTTACCTTACCTTACCTTACCTTACCTTATCAAGGAGAATGTCATCGATTGGGCTTCCTGGCTGCACAGCCCTGCTTCACTTCCGGGCGTTCCTATGCGCCCTAACTGTAGGTTCCTCTTAATATCAATGAGTACTAAGGTAATTGCTCAAGTGCTGAGCCAATCACGCCCATTAACATTTTCAATCACAGTGAAGCAGTCACTTGTCAAGGAGGAACGTACCGAAGTACTACTTAGATTTGTTTGCTTATTTTTCTACACCGAATCCAAGTACTATTTTAGTATCTGTTCCTGAAGAGAGTACCATCGGTAGCTCATATCTTGTAAGCGCCCCGGGGGAAGTGACGGTGCTGCGACGGGGTCCGTGGGTTTCCGGAGTGGGGGACCATCGGGGCGGTCCGTTGTGTTTCAATAATTCACGGTGTCTGCGCCGGTGTGCCAAGAATGTCTGCCGTGTGGACGGGGCGGGTTCAGGTTGGCCCAAATGCATGCTGTGTTGTTGAATGTTGATCCTCCTCCCTTGGAGACAGGCACATGGAAAAGTTACGGTACCGTTTACTCCTCCAAGACCCGGGCGTTAAAGGGGTTTCCGTCTCTTAACTCCGGCTTGGGAGCCTCCTAGTTGCTCACGTCACTTTGATTTGCAACAAGGTCCGACAAACGAGACTCGAATATTTCGGCGATAGACTTTTGGAAGCTTAATGGCAAGACGGAACTTTTGTTGATATCATCTTCTAACCTAACGCCGACGAGATGCGTGCCGCTATTCAATTCTCGTAGTAGCAAAGTCCGGATGAGTATGCGCTATACAAGCAATGCAATCCCACCGGACTACATTTGGTGGTCACTTCGACCGAAGATCTTTTAGGCTTCCCCTTGGAGATCCACTGACTTTGGACTTTTGTCCCTTGTGAGCTGTAGCCGAACGTGAAGGATCGCAAGCTGCGGACTACAGCTTCATGGCCCCATGGTTCTCGAGATGAGTGCTGGGCATTCGGCTCCCACTCGCCTCATGCCCATGGGGTCTGGAGTTAAGAGGCTTCTTACTTGCGTCGGCAGATGACGGCGTTCGACTTGCACTACCACATGCGGAAGTGAGACGGGAAATGTAGACGACCATGAAGCCTCTATAAAGACGATCAGGCCACCTGTCTGCGATTGATGCTGTCTCGAACGAAACATTAACGGCTTTCTACATCATCAATTCGTACAACTATTGAAACACGAAACTCTACGCATTCCAGCAACCTCTCTACTACAATTCGGTTACAAGAAGCTATGGCTCCCACACTAGGCCGTGAAACAACAGGCACAGAACTTGTCGCCGAGTACGCCTCCCACATCGCCGGTAAAACAATCCTGGTAACCGGCGTCTCCCCCGGCGGCCTCGGCGCCGCATTCGCCCAAGCAGTCGCTGCCGCCTCTCCGGCCCTCCTCATCCTCGCGGGCCGCAACACCACCAAAGTCCAACAGACGGCCGATGCCATTACGTCATCGTTCCCGGCCGTTGCTGTCAAGACGCTTGAGCTAGACCTGAGCTCGTTCAAGAGCGCGCGAGCGGCTGCGGAGACTGTGAATGGGTGGGAGGATGTGCCTCACATTGATGTTCTGGTGAATAATGCGGGCATCATGGCTACGGACTGGGGCAAGACGGAAGATGGCTTTGAGAGTCAGTTTGGAACGAATCACCTCGGTCCTTTCCTTTTCACAAACTTGATTCTCGATAAGGTTCTCACTGCAAAGGAGCCGAGGGTCGTGACGGTCAGCAGCGATGGGCACCGATTGAGCCGTATCCGTTGGACGGATTACAACTTCAATGTCAGTACTCATGTTCGTGAATCGTAATCTCAGCTGCAGATACTGACTAGAGAGATGCAACACAGGACGGCAAGCACTACAACAAGTGGATCGCCTATGCGCAATCAAAGACGGCCAACTGCCTGATGGCTCTCTCGCTCGCCGAGAAGCTAGGCAACAAGGGTCTCCTGAGCTTCAGTCTGCACCCGGGCGTCATCTTCACCAATTTGGGTGGCCATTTGGAGAGCTTTGATTCACTACGTACGTGAAGCACTCGTCAGACGCTTTTGTCAAACATAACATGTTGCTAATCGCGGTGCGAACAGGGGAGACGGAAATCATCATGGGTACCAAGAATATGTGGACGGAGTTCCACCCAAAGACGGAAGATCAGGGTATCGCCACACATGTGTACACGGCATTCAGTCCGGACATCAAGGGTGAGTTACTCAGCAGTGCTTCAGAGTCGCAGGCCAGGTGAAAAGCTAATGTTGCGCAGGCCACAGCGGACAGTACTTCAATGACTGCCGCATCGCCGACCAGTACGATGAGGAGATTTACCCCTGGGCGAACAACAAGATTGAGGCGGATAGGTTGTGGAAGTTGAGCGAGAAGCTTGTTGACCAGGAGTTCAGCTACTAGTGGCCAAGGGACATGTGGTCCTGGGGCTGAAGGCGCCTCACATGAAAGTCTAAGATCAACAATATGGTATTGAACTCTATTCGTCATTATGTTTTACCATCATTCATCTATCTGAATTCTACATCAATATTGCCTCTCCTCTCTGGTGCTCATGGCGTTGTGGGAAGGACATCACTTGGTCCGGGAGGTGCAGTATAGTCGCCAGGGAGGGTATCGACGGGAGGAGCCTGTACGTCAATGTCAGCGTGCATTCATACTACCAAACTCAGACAACAAATTCTACTCACCTGAAGCTTCTCTGCCCATTCTTGTATCGCCTCGTAGTTCTTGCACATGTGCTTGGTGTTGAAGTCGGGGAAAGGCGCCGGGGGGTCGCTGGCCCAGACCTGGCCCAGAACACCAGTATCGACGTTGCAGACCAGGACTTGCCTGATGGTGTCTAGACAATGTGCTACCCAGGTTTAGCTATTGTCGAAGATGTTGGGAGAGGGGCTGCCACTTACAGACATGAAGACGGACAATGTGCTCTTCGTTGGCGAAAGCGTGCGTGCCCATCTTCTTGTAGTAGTCATAATTGTAGTACAGGGATTTCCGAACCAAGTTCTGCATCAATCATTAGCACCATACGTTCCGCGCTGAGGCCGCTGCCATTGACTTACCAAGCAGTGAAGATGATGCATTCCCTCGACGTTGACGAAGAAGCCCGCCCCATACTTTTCTGACCTTCTTACAAAAGACATGTCTAGGCCGCTCTTCAAGCCATCTTCAATTGAGATGACTCCGGCGCGGTCTCCAGACTGTTAGCTACTAGGCGAGAAACCATGAAATTGGGTGTTGCTTACAATCCACACCCATTGACTCCCATGCCGCATCAACTTCTGGCGAAGCTTCTTTTCTGAAGATGTCTTCCTGCAGGAACGATCCGTTGAAATGCTTCCAGTCGTATTTGACATCTACGTCTTCCAATACCGGCGACCATTGCGTCGTGTGAGCAGCACAAGCGCCATCTAGGTTTGCCGTAGTCGATCTCATATGGGCACCCAAATGCATGGAAAAGAGGTTCGAGAGGACGAAGACCACAGCTACAGCTGCAGTCCTCCTCCAATCTCTTCTTCTCTGTGTATCATGTTGCCTCGCGTCGGGAGCTGATTGCAGGGACTCGAGATCCTCTTCGGACTCGTCCACACGGCCAGCGAGCAGTCTCGAGCTCGACTCTTCTTCCTTTTCTTGCATCATGATTTCGACGAAATGGGTATCAAGGAGCAGTAAGTGAAATATAGGGGCAAATTCAAGGAGCCGTCAGTAACGCATCGAGAGAAAAAGTTGAAAGAGGGGAAGAACATTGAGCGATCGTGATCCAAGGGAAGCTCGGCCGAGGGAGCAACGGGCAAGACGGACTACCCAACGACTCTTGTCTGACATGAGGAATGCTCGCTAGCCTTCCAAGTACAGCTCACACATGTCCATGTAGCTAAACAAAACGATGAGGCGTCTGTATATTTGGTGCGCCGTCAAGGTTGCCACGCGATTACCGGAAGCAGCTGGAATGCTCAAAACTCAATCGCCCGCCAAACACAACCACACAACCACCTCCACCTGCCACGACCCAGGACACCAGATTTGGTACCATTCAGAACACGGAATCCGCGGCAGGAATGTCGCCGTCGATAGTTTGTCTGCAGCTGATCCGCCGGCGCATGCGGCTGATAGTTGCGCGAAGAGAGGCAGCCACGCAGCGTGGGCAGAGAGCCGGGAATTGCTGCCCGCCTGTCTTACTGGCATCCTAGCAACTCACACGATGCCAAGGCTGGGAAGTGCGGCACGAGCTCTTTCTCCGTCCCAAGAAAGAAGGGGAAAACGAGAAGAAGTCGAACCGATCGTCATCCTTAGCGTGGTGGTTGTCTCGCTTGTCTACTGTTAGGCTGGTAGTTTGCAGCTTCGACGCCTGCGGGCACCAATCGCAAAGTTTCCGAACCTTTCCCCCGACGCCTGACGTGATGCCAGATGGACGGTCTGGGGTAGTAAGATCTCGTATCTGTAGGGGGCTTACCAGTCTACAATGTCGACTATCGCCGTATGTGTCGAGGGACTTTTGGGACATCGTATCGTGAATTATTTCTGACAAGGCAGCTCTCGTGCAATTGCACAATTCTTTGGGATCTGGTGTCATCCCTTGCGTGTAACGTGGGAAAAATACCAAATCATCGACTACACAGAAAGCCCAACTAGACTCGCGGTAGATCGACTCTAGTCGTGCTCCGATGAGACCGAATCCCAACCCCAGCCCTCACTTGGCCTGACTTGACTCTTTCAACACTAGATATGCCATCCACATAGCAAACTTCCAGCCCACGGAGCCACCGCCCCTAACATGGCAACCTCCAAGTTTCCGGCCTCAGTCAAACTTCCATTTCTCTCAAGAATCGTCTCAAAATAATATCCTCTGCTCTTGACATTAGCAAATTCACAAGAGGCATACCTAGGCATTACGGTACGACGTCCTTCTAATTTCCTCCGGTCGCGTCCGGGACCATGTTTCCGGAACCAAGCACAGCCGCCGTCGCAATTACACTGAGCCGAACTGAACTAAAGCCATGCCGTCGGGATAAGCGCGAGAAGGACAAGAGTTAAGCGGCCCTTGCTGAGAGACCTTCGTGTACCAAAGAGGCATGGACTACTGCATGGTTGTATCGACTCATGGATCTGCACGAGATAGCGGGATGGGAAAGTTCAAGATTACAGTAAAGAGACAACCTCTCACCATGAACCCACCACGACCACTCCCGGCTATCCACACCACCATGTCTTGGAGCCACCGAAGCTTCGAAATCAGTCACCAAAATAGCATGGGAAGAAGGGCGGGGGCTGACACTAACGCAACCGCTTGTCCCGCAGCCAATTCCGTGTTAGTAGGGCTGATCTCCGTCAGCGTGCAGAATTAGAGAAGAAGCTCCCCACCAGAGACTTGACCTCGGAGTTTGCTCGACTTGGACTGAGGCTGTGAGGCTATTCCGGTTTGGGTTTCCCAGCGTGCTTGACCTCGCATATCACGATGTTCATCAATGTCAGACACTTTTCTCAGACACAGCGGATTCAGCCCGGTAGCCATGAGGACGGTTCCACTCGTGTTACTGTCCGCGATTGTGTCAGTCACTGGTATCTTGGAAGTCGGCCCGGATCGGATTTTCCTCGAGCTCGCATCGTGCTTGTCTGTGACCGAATGACGAGACATGTTTTACAGTTCAACCTTCGAGCATAAGGTGAAGAACTCACATCTTGGACTGGATCCCGGCTCCATTTCCAGCAGTGGCAGTTAACGTGATCTTTGATCCATAGGTGAGCTTTGACTAATGCCAACTTTGGTCCTTTCGGAGCTCCCTTGCCCGGTCATGACACCCACATGCAATGATCTCTGCATCATTCGCGCCATCAGAGATGCAAGAATACGAGGACGATCTCTTAGCCGGGTGTTAAAGTCCTCTAAGCCATGCGAGCCCCCCTTCTAGCGTGGTATACACATCGCCCGATGGCTTCGAGACATCGTGAGGCTACTCCTAACATCCTGCGGCCATCCCGGACGCATCCGGATGAGCTTGTGACGCCATTCACAACCCATTCAACCGCCTACCCTGTAATCTTGCAAGTTTCTGCCTACAAGGCGTACCCCCGCTTCCAGAGGCATTGTGTCTTCGATCCTGGCGAGCTCTCAGTTCAAGGGCTCCCTTGCAGCCGCTCACATTAGCCTGGAGACTCTTCATCCACCAAATGGAAACGCCATCTCAACGATTACTAGGTCATCAGCACGATCCCAGATACGGCGTGTATACCCTCATCACTCGGGCTCAAGGGTGGCCGGAGTAGTAGTCATGGAAGAGTGCCAGACAACACCATCGTCTGCAGCTTCAACCTCAGCTTGGCTCTTCCATAAGTATTGCCCGTGATCCCACCATCAGTCCACGATCTCTCTCTCTCTCTCTCTCTCTCTCTCTCTCTCATCCTCATCACACATCAAACAATCATCTCACACAACCAAGTCGTCAGAGCCAAAGTCACTTCAACCAGCCAAGCCGCTTTATTTATATACTTCTCTTCTTCACCAAACGCAAACATGAAGGTCTCCGCCATTCTCATCCTCACCGCCGCTTCGGCCGCCTTCGCCGCACCTGTTGCCGAGGCCAACGCCGAGGCCGCTCCCGCTCCCGCCCCTCAAGCCACATCGGGTTACACTAACTACGGCAAGTACGACTACAGCAAGTACGGAAGCTACGGCACCTACGGTGCCCCGCCGGCCACAACCCCGAGCCCCACCCCGGTCCCTCAGACTTACAGTGCCTATGGCACTTACAAGGGCTACAAGCGCGCCGCCGACTGGGTCAAGAGCTGGTTCGCTTAAAGGCATCAAACATATCTTCTACATTACGCAAGACGCAATACGCAATAATCACATTCCTTAAGCGCACTTCACCAACCCATACATCCCCCCTTACCATTCACTAGACGCGAGGCTGGCTCGGCCAACAACAAGACCTCGGTACTTGACGACTACCATACCTAGTGTAACCCGAGAGATGGTTGAGGGATGGATCCGTGTGGCACGGAAGTATAATGATAATAGAAAGTCCACATACAGTAGGCTAAATGAAATAAATCATGTGTCATGAGTTTAGATATCGTCAATGACGTTTCCACGTGATAACCTGTGATATCTTATTGCCTTGGTGATAATGTCATCAATTTATGAGACTTAAATATCTCCATACGTTGTCGTACATGAAACAAATTCTTTTTCATTTCATCGGCGCGTGGCATAACGGGCACTAGGTGTAGTTGGCGTTTGAGATGCAATTTACATGTTTAATCCTGAATCATGTTGTCCAGCATTCTTGCTACATTCTTTGATCAAGATTCTTGAGGAAGAGAGTTCGTTCGAAGCTTCAGTAGTGCTTTTTCGACAATATTTTGACTAGTAAGATGAATAATTACTTTACTTAAAATTTGGTTGCGGGTTCTTGTAATCTTAACAAGTCAAAAAGACTCACACCGTATTCTTCAGCTGTGAGATTCCGTATTCCCTAACTTTTGGCATTTCAGATTCGTCTTGTTGAACCGTCATTCAATCTTACACCCAAAGGCGCTATACCTGACTTTGTTCGCCACGTCAACTCTCCATCTGCTTTGTTACTTCTAAACATATGCGATTACAAGCTACTGTCAAGACGACTTAAGATATGAGAACACGGCCAAATGTTATACCGGCGGCGCCTAAAGCCGGTAGAAGCAGGCAGGCAGACTTTTGAATAAAAACGTAAAGGCGACGGAATGTACTTCTCGTATTGGTGGTTCTAAAAAATTCTCTGTTCCCTCATATTATTTGCATTCAATCTTTGTAACGAGCTGAAAGCTCATGATTGTAACTTGTGATAATAACAGCGAAACAGATGAACATACCTACAGTTGAAGAACCTGTCTCGAATTTCATTAGGCAAATATGAATCCAATCATTGTGTCTCATTATTCACGTTTCGATAACCGCTTATGAAGTCCTTATGGCGAGCCCTAGGATTGACCTCTTCGAAGCGCGGCAATGGTGCTTACCATTGGAAGTCTCCATCTGACCACTGTCCACCAAAGAGCTTACAAGGTACAGTCTCAGGCTCTAAGTGTCATCCAAGGTGAAAACGGGTAGGGTTTCGAGACACCAATGTATCAAGTATGACTCTTTTAGATGCTCTATATGAGTAGCTGTGGCTTGAAGATGCGTTAAGGAAATGGAATAATCAGTAGATACACATTCTTAAGCTTGGTGATGAATGATGTATGTCCAGATGTCCTTGTAATGGTGAAAGCCATCTAGTGTCTCTTAGTCTTAGACCAAGGTGTTTTGCCATGATTAATGTTAGTAGGTGTGTATGGAATCAACGACGTCGCTCATTTCCGTTTCATGGCTGAGGGCTCCTTGGCAAGCTTAATTGAGTTATCTGAACTTGAAAGAACCAACTACATACAATTTGCAAGTTTCACAGTCCTGTGCGCACTCTGAATATTCACTTCAGATATATATCCTGCGTAATGTGGATGAAACCGTGGCGGGTGGAGCTTTGCAAGATACTTAATGACGTGAATGCAATCATGTTCTCAAAGTAGATGTCCTCTCGGGGTGAAATCAAGATATATAGTCATAACATGCAGACAACCACTGCTCGATACCAACAAATGCCGGTATGAGAGCTTGAATCAGGCACCGATGAAGGACTGACTACCGACGTTGGAAATCTCGAAGACATCTGCCAAAGATCCACGCCTCGTAAAGCCATGAAGCTTGTCCTTCAACGATTTCTAGTGTGTCTTCATTTTCATATATGGCAATATTATCAATGTTTCGTGCGTATATCGAGGGTTCACTGATGCTCCGCTGAGGCCGTTTTGCCTGACTACTTGGCTCCATTATTTGAGGTAACTCTGTAGGCAGGTGCTGATGACTACATTCATTCGAATGGTATTGGGGCTGTTACAAGTGGTAACGAACTTGGGTTATACGGTGTCACAGAGTCTGGCAGGGTTGTTCAAGATATCAATCACTGAGACAACGATGGATTTGGCGATAACTTCAAAACAACCTCACACTATCTGGAAGCTGGGAACGTTCGACCAGCCACCTCGTTTCAAGATGTCTTCACCTCATCAAGCCTGAGAGCCGAATTTCACCCTTATCATCTAGCGATATGAAATCAACCGAGACTCGCAGCCTTGGACTCAACAGTGCACTGCTGCTAGGCTCCAGCCACGAGCGCTCCGTCTTACGAATTGCCACAAGCTAGCCACGTGTCCATCATTATGCAGACCTCAGCCACCCATTACAGGATTGACCGAACATATGCTTCCATATTTTCCAGGTTTCTCATAGCCGGCGGCGTTGTACGGTGTCACGGTGTACCGGCGCAAGCCCACAGTGCCATGCAAGGGGGCGAACAAACCCGCATTACACGTCCGCAGCAGGGGCTTAGAGAGGGGTAAAAGGCATTTAAACACTTGAGCAAATCTCCAAACTCCTTTTCGAGAAAATCAAGAGGCTGGGAACTCTTCGCCCCTAGTCTAGAAATTCTCCCAGCCTCCTCATTTTTGTTTCCCCTTGTGCCCCCTATCGGCCGAGATGTCGTCTGAAACGCCGATGTCCCTGCACGTCGCCCGCTAACATCGGAAGCGAAGGGACCCACCGTGGCGCCGATTGCCCGCCGGGAGTATTCATTGACTGCAGCGCAGAGGGCATTGATGATGATGCAGAGCAACAGGCAAAAGGAACGGAAATTCAGAATGATACAGAAGAGGAGCTGACAGTGAAACTCTATTGCTAATATCCAACCACCGCAATTGTATTTCGGAGGTGGTTGCTATGTCTCGCTATGCCACTTGATGCAGCTCCCAGCCGCTGGATGAAATGCCGGTGAACATGTCTCGCCACAATGGACACAATGAGACGAAAGCTGTCTCATTTGTGTGACTTTTTGATCCAGATGATCTTCGATGAGTTGGATGAACAAGAGATGTCTCAAAAAGTCTGTAATAGGATAGGCGAACTACGGCTGCGCCTTTACTCAGCGCGCTATAGCATCAACGGCATTAGCGCACCATCTAAATAAGATGATTGCTTTTGGTGGGCCGTTCATCGGTTGTTGTAGAAGGAATTCCGACCTGCAGGAAGCCGGAAACAATGGCAAGAATGAATCAAGGAGCGAATGATTGATGCAGACTTACGTACGTCTGAATGACCAGCCCGCCCCCCCCCTTCGACCAGCGGACGGCGAAGAAGTGAAGCATAGCTTCAGTAGCTGAGTTGAGAGCTCGAAGCAATGGCAGCATGCATTCTCTTGGATGTCCGACGCATCGATGTCAGGGCCTTGCATGCCACAGGCGTCATATCTGTTAGCCTGGGGAAGCGCTGGAGTGAGGTTGGTGATTTTGAATTAGGGTTGTAGACGTGGCTCAATCAGGTTGTCGACTTCTTGTGCATGCATGAACCACTTTAGCGAGGGCAAAGACGTTTGACAGTTACGTCCAATACTACAGCTGGCTATCTGCAAGAGACCTGAAGGATGATCATGCTGTCAGAGTACTCGTTCACAGAAGTTCAGCAGGCGCCCGTGGATGTTTCGCATCAGATTATGCGAGGCACATGGGGGAGCCTGCTGGACCAAGTAGGTAGTCGAGCCCTGCTTATGATTCCGAAATATAGACTTCGACAGACATTGCAAAAAGAGGCAGATGTGCCTCACATCAGTTGACTGTGACGGCACGGTGTGTTGTGTTTGACGTGGCGGTGTTGAGACTCTGATGCTTAATCTTCATGCAATCCTCATACCGAGTTGGTGACTGAGTAGCGAGGGCGGCCCGGGATTGTGGCCAACAACACAAGAGCCACGCTTTAAGCCGACGAATTGAAGTTCTAGAACGATGGCCGTGGCCCAGCCCAAAGCCCAGAGAATGGAAGACGAAGTGAGATCTTCCCAATTAGCGGCGAAGATGGCTAAAGGCTGGCGTCCCCTCGATGATCAAAGGCCAATGGGTTGTGTCCGCATGAGGAGAGTTGAGGTGCATCATAAGGCAATACTTGCGCTATCAGAACGTCTAAAAAGCGCGGAGGCCCGCAACGAAAGAGACCCGGACCACGGGAGGCGAAAGGCCAAAGACCGTCTGGCCACCCGTGATGTTGGGTGGCCATGAGGGAAGACCTGGCGTGCCATTCTCGCGGTTCTGCGGGCAGCTGTCAAGTCCAGCATGAGAGGTGGGGTCAAGCAAGGCCATGGAGGAAGTATGAGGTCACCCAGAGAATGTGTGCTCAGCAAACTGACGAAGGAAGGTCCCAATACGAGGTCTGGGAAAGTGGCAGAGCAGAGGTCAGAGGGAGGTGGGATTCCCCCTTGCGTCGGAAGGGCTGTAGTGTGTGAGTGAGGGCGGCTAAGGCTCCAAACTCGATTGGTCGCGGCGAGGCATATTGGAATGAGGGGAGCTGTTTGATGGCGAGGTGGAGTGAGTGAGTGAGTGAGTAAGTGAATGAGTAAGAAAGAGAAGAGAAATAAGCAATATGGCAAACCTGTGCTTTGGCATTATTTGGAAATGGTTTGCGGGACAAAAGTAAGTAGTGCTATTATTCATTCAAGGGAGGAAGAATGAAGAAGAATGAATGTAAGTCATAGTAGGTACGGATGAGCTGTGGGAGCTATGGCCAGAGGTTCAACAGTGCTCACTCACGCCTCGCGGGGCGAGTTGAGATGAAAGTGATGGCAGTCAGATCAGGTATCCACTAGAGCAAGGTAAGGTAAAGATATCCGTAGCCAAGATGATCTGCTAAAGCCTGAATGGGCTGCAGTGACAGACTCCCAAGTTGAGAGTGAGTGAGAGGACGCAATTGCATGGGCAGCTGTCATTTCGGAAGGTGAATGTCAATGCCCACAAGCACTGCCGATGGGTGCGAGGGGTCCCTGTCTGTGGGCCGTATGGATGAGGATCACTGTAGTGTACGGAACGGATACGGATGCATAGTGGGAAATCTGGCGGGCTATGTGGGCTTTATGAGCGCGTAAGGCAAATTCGCATGTCTCGCACTCTCCCTTGGAATCAAGTCGCGCTCTAGGTATTCGGTTGTCAGTTGGTGAAGCCCGAACTTGTACGGATGAAAAGAGGGAGAGACGGAAGGGCCATCGTCGCCCATACTGAGAACAGGCAAGACATTACTGGCTGGTCGCAAGTCGGAGCCCCGCTTATTGGAGACGCGTTTAATTGGCCGTGTATCGCGGTACGAAGAGTGGAGACTGGAGAGGGAAGTTGCATTCTGGTCGAGGTGCGCCTGGCCGCTGCTGCCTTTCCTGCTCGCGCCGACCAATCATATGACGTATACAGCCCGTCGCATGAACGTCGCTGTCCCGTAGATCCACTTTTCCGACGAGTCTCTCTTTCCTGACGGGATTTTACGTGTGGTGTTTCCTTCCTCAGCAGCACACCAGCACGCCAGTGAGGTAAGTACGTGCCTGCTCCACTCTCCCATCACCAGCTGGCCGCCTGCCCGCCGTGCCCGCCCGGTCTGAGGAAGGTACCGCAGTACTCGCAGGGAAAGGGAAGGAAAGCTGCATCTGACTTTCCCTGATTGATCTTTGGGATGATTTGGTGTCTCTCACCTGCATTGGCCCATCTCGACACGCCAGCAATCCGACGTCTCCATTGGTCTTGTCACGGAACTCTCGCGTTTTACCACGTCGCTTTCTGTCTCTCTGTCTCTGGCTCAGTCTGTCTCTGGCGCTTCCAGTCTCAGTCTTTCATCTCTCTCTATCTGTACAAACGCTTCCCATTGTTACCTGTCGAGGCACCAGTGGTTCATCGTTCGACTCCCGGAACCACCTAATCTCGCACCGGCACACTGCTGAAAGCGCATCGCCGTTTCGAGACTTGAGCCTTCGTTCGACCCAACTTATTCGACTTCCAACTTCCTGAGGTGAGTGAACAAGCATCCATGATCCAATACACCACAGATGGCAGATCAATTTACTGTCCTACCTTACCCTGCCCGGCATCCCTCGCCCCCTTGCCCTGGCACACAGCACACCATCTTCCACAATCCACGTCCCATCTCCGTCTCCATCGGCTGAAAACTAACTCTTGCTCCACCCAGACGCCAGACCGTGTTTGCTTTGCGCTGCCTCCGCGTCTCTTTTAGAGCAAGGTACCCGTCATCCCTAGACTGCCCTATTCTTTCCCCTCCTGTGAATCCCATCATCCAAGTATCTCTCTCCAACTGCTGACAAGACGCCTAGACTCTGATTCCTAGTCCTTACTGCGTATACTATCCGTACACGTCTTTAGTTGGCTCCTTGCACACCCGTTCCTCGAAATACCATACCGTCGCTTGCTTCTCTGTGCACTGAGTGGTCCATCTCTGTCCCTCACGCAGTAGCGTAGCTCAACTTCAAACCACTTTTTTTTCTTTGGCTCCAGGGCCTTGCATTCAGCGACCAACGCCGCTTGCTACCGTCTCCATCGGCATCCATCCAACAAGACACCGCCAGACTACCTACCTTGCGCTATCACTTGTCGAACCCACGACCAAGACCAGGCCCAGGCAGGACCCAAACCCAGGCCTTACCGATACACGCCCTTCTCTATCCCACCCCCGGTTCCGTGCGCGCGCCCTCTCCGCGTCTCTCTCTCTCCCACTCAAGAGAGACCGCATCTCAATCTCAGTCTAGAGTAATCCCTGCTCCCTACCGACGCTCACCTCGTTCACACTCTTTTCTCTCTCTATCCCCCCTTCCCACCCCACGCCAGCTCGTCGACTGCGTTTCGATCACTCTCTTCCTGCAACCAACTCACTCGATTCCACTGCGCGGAAGAGAATAACAAATAAACAACGAATACACACACTCGCTACTCTGTTCCACCGCACACCTAACCGCCGCCCCCAAAGCTTCAACACCGTCGAGTCTGTCTGGCACCGACTTGCTATTCTAGGGAACTTATCGACGAGGGGACGCTGCAACTCACTCACGAGTCCCCATTCTCCACGAATCGAGCCGACTGTCGATCACAGAGCAACTGGGACCCAGGGCATCAAACTGAAAGCCGCTGGCTGGGTTGCCCCCATTCCCGACGCATCGCACCCCATCGCATCGCACAGCGGAACCACAACACCACATCCACTCGCCCTGTTGCGCGCACAACCGCTTCGATCCACACACGATGGCGTCTATTTCACGTCAACCCTTTGCGCCGCTCGACGGCACCCGATTGCAGAACCTGACGAGCATTAAGAATAGACAGAATGGTATGTTTGATCAACCCACGACCAAACACGCCCGTGTTCCCCCGCAATTCTCATGTTCTCGTATTGTGTACTCGCATGACGGGCGCTGTATGTGGCCCTCTCAGCGAGACTCGACCGCCATACCGCTAGAATGCGCCTAAACCCCCAACTTGAGCACCTGCCCCAAACATGTCCAAAATCCTTGCGCAAATGGTCGCTAATAATCTCAACAGCTGCTCCATCAGCTACTGGCGGTAAGCGCAAAGCTTCAGACAGCGTAGAAACCGACGATTGCGAAAATGTCGACCCGTTTGCTTTCTCCAAGCGATCTAAGAGCTCCGAAACCTTCTACCCGTCAAAGGATGCCCTTAAGCCCTCGTCCTTCGTCCTCACCAAGGCCGCGCCTCTCGCTGCAAGCCCTGTGTTGAACTCCTCAAGGCCTACCCTACCTCGCCCTCGCAGTCTGCTCCAGCCCAAATCGCCCTCAGCTAAGATCAACACGGCTATCGCCAAGTCTTCCCCACTCTCAGCTCCCGCCGGACGTTCGCCAACTCGCGGCAAGCGATCCGGCATCCTCTCAAACCGTCGTAGAACCGCTGGCCCCTACACGCGCGTAGATCCGCCTGCCTTCAACCTCCCTTCATCCTCCTCGGCACCATTCAGCCTCGATGCTGCTCTCAAGGGCACTATCCCGAGCTATGCTGCCCGTTCTACCGTTGCCACGTCCTCGCGGAATGCCGTGAAGGACCTTGACGAGCCTGATTTGAAGGCATCTTGGTTCTTTGATATCCATGAGGATACGCCAGAGCAGGAAATGACCAATATGCTCCAGCACGGCACCTGTGTCCTCGACATCAGCTCTGATGAGGAGAGTGAACGCAAAGCCAGCAGGGACCGTGCAGAGGGTCGCGACAAGGAGAATGTACCGCCTGTCGATGATGTGAGCCAGACATCTGCACGTCGCTCTGCTCGTCGTACTAGCGAGGATGAGATGATATTTGAAAAGGAGAGAATAGCTTTGGGCGAGATGGATGCCAGCGAATTCTATGCTTTTGGCTGCGACGAGTCATCGATCATTATTGTCCCCGCCGACGAAGAGGAAGAAGAGGAGAGCGAGGTGCCCCCCCAAGCCGTAGTGCCCGAACTCAAAGAACTTGTCCCGGAACCCATAGTAGCCCCGCTCGAGGTTCCCGTGGAAGAAAAAGGTGTAGACGAGCTCATGGGCAAATCTACAGAGACAGCGGCCAAGGCTGCGCTCTTGGAGCCTATGGAGGGCACCGGTGAGAGCTTTGAGCTGTGGGAAAGTGGAAGCGCCAAAGATGAATCAGAAGCGGCGGTCGCTGAATGCTGATGATGGCTTGCTTCACTTTGGTCATTTGACTCGACTATGTTTCGCTTCCAACTATTCACCATCTTTTAATTACGGGTCTATGATGAATGCGGCGTTTGCAACGGTTATTCGGGATTTCGGATGGACGAGCAAGGACTGAGCGACGGGGAACCCTGGGGCACTCTTGGTGTAGGAACAACGGATATGGGTGTCTTGTTTTGTACAAAGCTGGGTTCGGAGTATTGCTATTGTTTGGTTTTGTTTGAGCGATTGATGTCCTCATCAATAGAGCACCATTGAAGCTTTTATTTCTGCAACGCTTTGGAACCTTTTTGTCACCTTGCCCACCATGCATCTTGGCCATCAACTTTTGCCATGCAACCGTGTAGCCCATTTTTCGAAAGACACTGCCATCCATCGTCGCATCATCCTTCGCACCATCCGGGCGCTTCAAGATGGGCAATCTGGTGTTGTTGGTCCGCGATGTACTCCCACGTGACAGCCGCTCACCTCACCCTGCCCGGTCGCTCCAACGCCCGTATTCCGGGGCTCCACTCGGCCCGCATGTGCCCACCTCATTACACCTTCGCACCCAGAACCGCACCACTCGACGACACTCGCATCTCACACCAGCGCAGTCGTCCCACACTCATACTCGCTCATTGGACCATAGAAGTCGCGATTGGAGCACCGGAAGTCACTGTGAAAAGGAACTCCGAGACTCAATGGCATCGATCAATGACCTTGCCACGGCGGCCATAGCGACCTCGGCCGCAACCGGCGGGCAGGCCGGGGATGCTCTCCCCGTCACCACGCCGCCGGCGGGCGTCGTCCGCGGGGCCTTTATCGCATTTGAAGGTCTTGATCGCAGTGGAAAGACCACGCAGGTGAAGCTGCTTGAACAGCGGTTGATTGAAGAGGGGAAGAAGGTCAAGGTTATAAGGTTTCCGGGTGTGTATCCAGCTTTTGTAACGTCAACCATGGTCCTTCCATACTTGGATATGGATGAAGCATCAACTATTTTCACTAATTGAAGTCATATGATAGATAGAACAACGCCTATCGGTCAATTGATCGACGCCTATCTCAAGAGCTCAGTCGAGATGGAAGACCACGTCATCCACCTTCTCTTTAGCGCAAACAGATGGGAAGCAGTGTAAGTCGTCCCCCTTTCGCGTATATCATTATACCTGGCTAAGCTTACACCTGTCTAGAAAAAACATCCAAAATCTCCTGGCGTCAGGATACACCGTCATCTGCGACAGGTATTACCACTCGGGCATCGTCTACTCCGCCGCGAAACAGAACCCCCACTTGAACCTCCACTGGGCGCGTCAACCGGAAATCGGTCTCCCCCGACCGGACCTCGTCTTATTTCTCGACCTCGAGGAGGCCGTCGCCCGGGAGCGCGGGGGCTGGGGCGGCGAGGTGTACGAAAAGGCCGAATTTCAGAAGCGGGTGCGCGAGCTGTTTTGGGGCCTGAGTCTGGGGCGCGTTGGGCCTGATGGTGGGTTGGGTGAGGAGGGCAGGGTCGATCGGGAGTTTCGGCAGGAGGAGGAGGATTTGGTTGTGGTTGACGCTGGAGGTACGCTTGAGGATGTTGCCGAAGAGATTTGGAGGAAGATTGGGCCGAGAGTGGAGGCGGTTGAGAAGGGTGAGGCTGGGAGCACGGTGAGGGTTGTGTCATGAAGTGAGATACTCGAGCGCTTCAGAGGGAACCTTTGGCTAGCGTCGTCAAGTAATATGAGATTTGCTGTGAGGATATCTACGCAGACCAAGTTCATCGATCCCCGTGAGAATGAGCCTAAGGATAGAAAGTAATGGCTCTTAGCCACCCTGCTCAATAACCTCGAGTTTGGGCCATATACTGTCGAAAAGCTTACACCTTTCATCCAGGCTTGTAGAATTCGACACTTTCATGACGCTTGAGGTATCACCCACATCGCCCAAGGTTGCAACCTCGAGCGGGGCATAAGACGATCCCACGGCCGGCCAGCCAGGCCCTGCGGAAGGACTATTGATAAATTTCCCAATGACGCCCCTAAATTATTCATAGACTGCATATGCCTGAGGGGTGTAAGGTGTGGTGTCCGGATCGGTGAAGAGAAGAATGATCTCTGAGCCGTAAAACTTGCCAAGCCACTCGTACTCTTTGGGCAAGAGATTCAGGATGGAGGTGTTGAAATGATAGCGCCAGGTAGAAATGTTGCTCGAGGCTGCTATTGAGGCAAGGATGGATTGAGGCTGCGCCTGTTCGTCAGCGACTTCAAGTTTTGGGGAGATCGGCTGAGGAGAAAACGTACGCAAGACCAGAGCAAATCAGTGTAAATGGCCGAAGCAAGATCAAAGTCATTCTTGACTCGGGTATCAGAGCGATACAAGGAGACAATCGTCTCCAGGTCTTCGGATGATATCAGAGGCGGCGGAAGATATGCATTGAAGAAGACCGTCATGTTGACTTTGTCATTGACCAAGCCGCGCCCTTCTTCCTCCACTGTGCCCATCAGAAGAGGAACTCTGACAACATCCCCGTTTCTTCAGAGTTCACTTGGCTTGCTAAGGACCGTCACGTTATCGAAGTGTGGTCCGAAAGTGATGCGATACTTTCGCATGGCGCTGATTAGATTCTCCGCTGGAACGGCCCTCATACACCTTATTTCATCCGTCACGTTGCCGCATCCGACTGAACTCGAAAGCCCCGTCCAGGCATCAATTGCGGACGATGCGTGGGCGAGATGTCCGAAGCTCATCTGGCCGCTGGACATGATTGCAGCTGGAAATGGGACCAGCGCGTCGTTGGCGTAGGCTTTGAGATGGTGGTCCACCGAAAAGGAGCCTGCGGACTGGCCCCAGGTTGTCACCTTGGACGGGTTGCTGCCAAAGGAGGCGATATTTTCTTGTACACAAGGGAGAGCGAGACGCTGGTCGTGTAAAACCAGGTTTTGTTCGCTTTGTGGGATCTCAGGTGAATTAGGAAAGCCAAAGACTATAGAGCACATGGGTTAGCTCTTGAGGGTACATACCTGTGTACATGATGATCGTTGTAGATTGGATGCATCCTACCATTTGTGCGGTAGTTGAGAGTTACGGCGATGATGTTTTCATATGCCGCAAAAGTAGAAAGATCGAGTCTGCCGTGGCCTAATTGCCATCCGCCGCCGTGAAAAAGACCACCACCGCAAGTCCGGCGTCCAGAAATCGAATTGCGGGGGCGAAGACGTTGATGCTCAAGCAATCTTCACTTCCAGGGGGTGCAGGAGTATTGAAGAGATCCTCCAAGACTTCAGGTCTTGGACCGAGCTCTTTGAGAGGAACATCAAGTCAGTACAGGGGGCAGGGAAGCAGATATTTGGAGTTACATCTTGCCGTTAATGCCAAAGTTTTGGAGACATGCTGGCCCGAATGCCATGGCATCGAAAGTGTCTGTCCATGGCTTCGGCGCTTGAGGTAAGCAGAAACGCTGCGGTATAGAGGCATAGGGTATCCCGAGAAACTTGTTCACTGGAGATACCGCGTTTGGACGACTCGTTGAGATACCTTGAATCGGACCTGAGGATATCGTGACTGTAGGGAAGCCCGTCGATTTGGCTGTGGAGACAGTGGGTAGAAGAAGCAGCTTCTGGACCTTCATATTTTGGAATTCGCAGGCGAAGGAACCTGCTCAGTCTCGCTTCTGATTATGGGGTTGGATGATGAATGGCAGAGATCGAGTAGTCAAAGAATGGTACCATGTATGAGGACGGCTAGAATGTGCTTGATGCAGTGACCTCGTTTATATACTCTTCGTTATCCACCCGGCAGCCTCCATGACTACTTTGTACAGGATCATGAACCAAAAGCCTAGAAGGTCTCATCCAGCTCTATAAAGTCTGCTTATCCGAGTATATTGAGCATCTGACGTGTTTTGTAGATCGTCACATTGTCCTTTACGGAGCCTGTGATGGCCTCCTGCGGGATGACTGGCCTGCTTGCTCGGGCGTCAGATGTTTTCAACAGAATGCGAAAAACGAAGCCAAGACAAGGATTGCGCTGGAGTGGCTGAGCGACCCGGATAGTGTTCCACAGCACCATCCCGGCCAACACGAGATACGAAGCCAAGCCACTAGAAGGAATTTTGGGGTATGGCATGTAAGTGGCTGGAAGGCGTCAGAATTGTGAGGAGAATAACTTGGATCCTAGGAAGAAGATCATCACCAGGACTCCAAAAGATTGCATGAGAATAGTATTCAAGAAAAAGGAATCGAGATTTGTTACAAAAGAGATCAAACAAGACGACTCGTAAAGATAACAAAAGAACGCTTCATCTGCTCATAACCCATAATCCGTAATCCATAAGCCGTGACCCGCGACCCATGACCCATAATCCATGATCCGTGACCTCGCCATATCCAGACAACCAAATAGTACAGTATTCAGAGAAAGGAACTTTGTCCAACTTTTCCACATCATTCGGCTGTTAGACTTGCTCTGGACTATGCGTGACGATGATCGAAGGCAGAGGCGGCTTCAGCGCGACTCCACGGGTATCGAACCTCCCATCGAGCGTATCCGTCTCGACGGTCGACCCATAGTCGCTCAATGACCCGTTTCGTCGCACGCCTGTATCAACGGCTAGCTGCTCCCAATCCTTAGCCCACGCCGTTCCGGGGGGAGGGGGACACGGCTTGTCCTTGTTCGCCGGCGGGGCGAGCTTACCATTCCCAGGGCAGAGACATTCGGGCGCGTTGGCGGGGGTGATCTTGATGGCCGGCGCGACGGAGGTCTGTTCCAACTCGGGAAGAGGAGGCAGCGGCTCTGCGATGGGGAGCATGATGCCGAGGGAGTCCGGGTGCGGGTACGGGATGGGCGGGACGGGGGGGATTTGCTCCCGGCGCTTGGGGTAGCTGGCTTTGCGGACGAGTTTGGCTCTTGCTGGGGCCGGGATCGTGTGTCGGTGGTTGGCGGGGAAGTAATAGTAGGCCGGAGGGGTCGCAGGACGGCTGTTTGGCCGGCTTGAAGGCTTGGCTTCCTCGTCCTTGAGATCCTTTTCGAAGGCGCTGACTAGACAAGTGACCGTGTTCCGCCGTCTGAAGCAAGGCAGCTCGAATGGGTGCGATGCAATCTCTAGAACAAGAATAACGACAATGCTGCAAATGCTAGTCGAAGAGTGTCAGTGCAAGACGCATTTTGTATGCATGCATCTTCAGGTTGCGACGTACATTCCGATGACGGATACTGAGAAGTTCAGCTCAGTAATTGGGCTTTGTGTTACGAAGCCAGGGTAATGCGACAGAGCCACCGACGAGAGAATCACGGCCGGAATCCAGAGCAAGAGACCCAAGCGGGCAACAATGACAGCCCATGACACCAAAGGTGATTGCAGTGACTGCCTCTTGACAACCTGATAGTTGCGGAAGGATACGATGATGTGTAGCACCACGTACATGGGGGAGATCATCGACTGCGAATAAGTGTCAGCCCGCATTCCAATGAGCCACAGCTACTTGGGGCAGCACTTACACCAAACAGGATGAAGCTCTGACTGAGACAGTCACGCTCGCCAGTCTTTGAGGGCCGAAACTGAAGAGCCGAAAGGCAAAGACCTCCCCCGGACGCGACGATCATGAGAAACATGACGGCGATCATTACGATTGGGAGAGGCTTGGGCGGGGATTTTGTGGAAACATCGCTTCCTGACATGGAGGACTTGGTCTCCAACGACTCGACGACACTGACGGTGTCGTCGCCTTTGAGAGAAGGAGCCATGGCAGAAGGCGGTACGGGTTGATCGGATGCTTGACTGTTGCTTGTGCTTCCATCATCTCTACTCCGATATCCTTCCCCGAGCAGCTTCATATATCACTTGAGGTGGGATGGCTGGTGTCTTCGCGATGGCTGCCAGCACTTGCTGGCGTGGCGGGTGGGATCTCAACATTCCAGCCCGAGACAAATCGAGGCACTGGTCGCTGGGGGCCAACGGCCATCTGGGGTGGTTGTGGGCTGGAGCACCGCTGCATCGGGACTCAAAGGCCTATCCTTCCGATGCATTCCAGAGCCCGGCTGCTGCTGAGCAGCCATAAACGCCTCGGAAAGCTGTGCGTGGTTGGCGGACCCAACTCAAGCCTGGGCTTCCCCTTGCCAATATCAGTAGACATGTCAATAACGGCCCGAGGCTGGTCAAGAATTTGTAGCTGAACCGGATGGCTGTGGCTTCCAGCCGGCCCCGTTGAGTGTGGAAGAAATCTGCCCAGCAATCAATCTCATCGGGATCAAGGTCAATTGGAGACTCAGACACTGAGTGAAGCGGGCCCAGGATGTCAAGCAAAGTGACAAAGCTAATAGGTGGGACGGCGTGTGGTGTACTTCAAATCATGATATATTGACGGAACAATCTGTTTTCGGATACAAATCCTGCTCCTGAAGCCAACGATGGGCAGTATCTGACTATAAAAATTACCATGCATAGATACGTGTTTGATATATAGCGAGCGTTTTTGGACGGAATGGCAGCCGGACAGAATATGGCTAGATGCATCACGCGTTCGAAGAATGGAAACATAGCCAGCGCCTCATGGAGGGCAACTCACATCTCCTCTCCAAGGCGAGCCTCACGGTCGCCAGCCCAGTCATCCCGTTCGTAGAAGCGGAAGACGAGGTCATAATCCTCAAAGTCATGGACGATGCGATCAATGCGACGATACCCACGGACAGGGTCAACAAGACGCTGAACGGCCGTCGCACGAGAAGCATAATCACCCATGCCATAGGGGTTGGCGCTCTTGCCCTTGGCCTCAAACAGAGTAACACTGAAGCGGCCAGGCTTGAAGATGTCAACGACGTGCTCGATGATCTCAGCTGTGGTACGACCACTCTGGCCTCCAGGGACGTTGGTCTCGAAAGAGGCGAATGAGCAGTTGGGCTCCGGGGTGACGTGGACAGTGAAGTAATGAGCAGCATTTCCGCCCTTCTCATTCTTTGAGTCATCGTCTTCGTCGGGAATGGCAGGAACAACACCGTTGGCGGAAAAGCCACAAGGGCTGAAGAGGTAGGCGTCAACGCGAGCTCCGGGATACTTGGTGGTTGGGTACACGCTGGAGAGGCCGCAACCCTCGGAAACAACAGTACCAATAGCGTGACCCTCGGTAGTCAGAGCCTCAGTGGCTGCACGTTCGCCATCATTGAGGTCAGACTCGCCGATGTTCTCAAAGACGTCGACATGGTCCTCGCCGCCCGCCTTCTCATGAACCTGAGACATGTCACCCAAACTCTGGTGGGCATCGTCCCGAGCCGCCTGTGTCTGCGGCAAGTGCAACTTGTCGGTCGCGACCGCACTCGCGTCCGCCAAGTAGAACTGCTTCGCATTTTCAGGGTCGAGATCGGTCATGAGAATTTCAAGAGTTTCGTCACTGCGCTCCTCGAAGCCGCTGCTGAAACTGGCCACGCTACCAGTGGGAATCCTGGCGGCGAATGCAGCAGCTTCTTCTGCCTCGTCAGGAGTCCTAGGGGGCGTCAAGGTTTTGTTCGGCGTGGTGATGTAGAGGTACCAGTGATCACCGTTCATTTTGCCAACCATATAGGCACTGCCACCCTCGAACAGGTCATCCAAGTATTTGACCTCGGATCTCCAGCTTCGATGGGGACCCTGCTGACGGTCAGGGAACAAAAAGTTCTTGCGACTGTAGAAGACTCGGTAGGGGGTAGCAGCAGCCTTGACGTTGGTGGATTCCTTGGCGTTATGGAACGGGAAGCCGGCGTGTTCGGCCGCGATGTGGAGGAGTCGCTGCAAGCCCAGGAGGAGAGTGGTCGTGCCGCAGGTCTTGAGAATGAGCTTGTGGGGGAACACAAACAAGCTCGACTCGGACAAGAGATAGGCGTCGACAGAGTCAGACTCAAGGACTGACAGGATCTTGCAGTTGACCATGTCGAGCATGGTAACCCAGGTGTCGGCGGAGACGGCTTTCAGGCCATTGGGCTGGGCGCTCGCGGGGAGGGACTCGGGGCCGGGGGCGAACCACACTTCGAGGAGCTTCTCAGGGCCTGGGGGGGAAGTCTGTCAGCAAGCGGTCGGATTAGAGGCTTGTCATTTTGTTTTGGTCATATTACCTTCAAAGGCGTTGGTCGAGTCTAGATCAGCAGCGACATCATGATTGATTGTCAGATGAGGAGTAGCCTCAGCCGGAGAGAGGGCGTAGTCGTTGGGGACGGAGGGGTTGACCATCTTCTGCAGGACTAGCTCTTTGGGCGCAACCCGGGAGCTCGTGAGAGATAGGCGAAGGAGGGCAAGCTTGGGTGTTTGATGACTTTTCCGGTAAAGGGCTAGAAGTCCGCGGGACACTAGCTACCGCTCAAACGAACTTTGCGGCGTTCGTTTGAGAGAGTAGGCCCACAGGAGGGTGGACGATTTTGGAGGCTGGCGGAGCCAGCAGCAAACAGTGTATATAAGGTGCAACGTCACTTGAGGACGTTAGGGAGGTCGAGCGTTGAGGGGTAGGAAAATAACCCTAAGGATCGGAATTGTGTCTTGTTGTAGGGCCTCGCTCTGGCAGAAACCGATACCTGTGGTGGAGTATCGGACCCGGCAGACGAGGTTATCTGCGCGATGAGAGGTCGGTTGGATGGTGGAAACGGCGTGTAGTAGAAGAGCGATGCTTCTATGGAAGTGTTTGATGCCTGATGTTTAAGCAGGTGTTATCTGGGCCTAGGGAAGGGAAACGTTAGCAGGATGCGCCGGCGTTATGAAGGTAGTCAATGGTTGTCGGATTGGAGAATCGATCAGAAGATAGAGCATGCGAAAGATGATGTTTTCACAGAGGGTCCTAACAGGAGAGTGAAGGGCTTACTTTGCGGGCTTGGAGAGGAAGCGAAGGAGGTCGACTTGGTTCATAGATGGCCAGAAATTGGCTGAAGTCGCAGAACGAGGGGTAGCGTGAGTGCCACCAGTAGAAAGATGACCGTCGCAGGGTACTAGATTTGTGTATCGATCATGGAGGTTTCCGTCGGGCTAAGAGACGAGGTTTGCAGGTCGCACAACCGAAGAAAGGTTTCGGGGTGGAAAGATGGGTTGTCAATTTTGAAGCTCCGGGAGAGATTCCGTCGTGGTGGATGTGGATGTGCTTGTTGTGGTTCGCGGTGGAGGGGAAGCGTTTTCTGGGTGGGTTAAGAAAAATAAAAATAAAAAGATTTAAAAAAAAGTTGTTTCTGCACATTGAGCGACAATTGGCGGCATGGGGGCGACCCCTCCCCGGCCTCTCCACACAAAAATTTCAGCCCAAGCTACGAGGAGCTACCACTGCCCACTGGGAAGGAAGCCTGGGAGGACATTCTGGCTTAAAACAGACATGGCGGTAGGTACTTGCTCTGAGGTACCTACCTCACTAATCCTAGGTCTCACGGATACTTCCATTTGCGCACTTTTCAGATGGCAACGTTTCTTTGGCGGTATTTCTTGACCGACCGTCCGCTGCAGAAGGCCGTTTTGGGGATGCCAAATGTTTCGCTGCTGTCAGGAACACCTGTTCCTTTCCCACCATCTTCGACTCTGCTTCAAACCGTATGAGGGAGGCATCACACTGCGTAAGGTAGTAATAGTCAATCGCACTCACTTGCCAGTGGAGAGCTATGCCCGGGAAAGGACGGAAAAGACATCCTGGAGGTCAGCTCAGACAAAAGACATTGGTGGCTTGGCCGCACTGCAGGGGGGATGTGTCGCTGAAGAACGGGACTCAAGACGTCATTTTTCGCAGCCCCAGGCCTGGACCCAAGATTAACACCACCTGTCATGGAGAGGTAACTTGTACTCTTAACATAAGATGGCAGGGCATAGTCACCAAAATGTGGAGGATTCTGAGAGAGAAACGAGCTTGAATCGTGATGAACTGCATGATATGAATTGATTGATGAGAAAGGTAGGCAATGCATCTCTTACTCATGCCACATCCAGTAAATATATACGAGTGGTAGGACATGCGGTGAAAGACGTCGTGCTTCCAACTTTTTACGCAGTACTCCGTACCAGGCATTTGACAGCGGCTCAGGCAAGGTACCTGATGGACAGGTACCGCCGTGTTTTTTGCGGGGCTTTACCCGTCCGAGGCACCGGGATGCCACCAATCTCGATGCATCCTCACGTGCTTCCAATCTTTCTGCGAATCGATGACTGGGCCGCACATCGGACTTTGTCAACGACAGCGGAGTCGGGCCCGGTCAACGTGGAGTGAGCCTGGTGTTTTGTATGCTGCTTGGTCTTTGGACTTTCCCAGTATCCTTCAGATGCGTGTTGGGCTGGGATTTCGCATGCTGCTTTGACTTCGCCATGCCCAGTGTTTCTGTACCTACAGTACGGCGAGGTTTATGGTTGTTCTCAACCCCTGGCACGTTGTGTGCCTACTTGTAGAATTGGGCACCAAGCTGAGCGGCCTCTTCATCTCGCTAGGAGCCAAGACCTGCGGCACGGCCCCGATACTGGGCCTGTCGTCTGCTCTTTGAATTGACATTGTAGATGGCTTATTTTGCTCACGATTGTGCTTGTGCCTCAACCGTTGTTGTGAGTTTGGAAGTAATGTCGCTGAAGATGTGAGACAGCGAACAGTCCTGGTACTTCTCGACTAGAGTATCGCCCTTTGTTTCGCCCTCCTTTTCGGCCTGGCCAATATCCTGACCGTGTATTTGCGTCCCTTGAGGGTACTGCGGCCTCCTGCCGGATTCGACAAGTTCGCCAAACTGAGGGTCGATGGGTACGGTGCCGAGGAATGGTACCGAGAACTCTTGGGCCATGACGGCTCCTCCGCCAGAGCTGAAAATGTTGGTGCACTCCGAGCAGTGAGGGCAGACGAAGCCGCTCATGTTCTCAACCACGCCAAGAACCTTGATATTGGTCTTGACACAAAAGTTGAGCTCTTTTTTGACATCTGCCGTGGCAACCGCCTGTGGGGTCGTGACTACAACGGCACCCGCAACCTGGCCAGGCCGAGCGTCTCGCAATAGTGTCTCGGCAAGGGAAATATGTTCGTCGCTGGTGCCCGGGGGCGTATCGATGAGTAGATAGTCCGTCTCATCCCACAAGACATCGGAGAGGAACTGGCGGACCATGGCCGTCTTTTTGGGTCCTCGCCAGACAACGGCATCGCCACGTCTGGGCAGGAGGAACCCGAGACTCATGGCATGGAATGAGCCGATGCCCTTCTCTACGACGGCGTCGTGTACAGGCACGGGGAGCCAACCTCCGGGGGCTTGTTTGACCTTCTCCGCTTCAATCGACAGCATGCGAGGGATTGAAGGCCCGGTGAGGTCGACATCGAGTACACCAACAGAATGCCCTGCAAGAGCGAGGGACAGGGCCAGTTGCGTCGTCACTGAAGACTTTCCGACACCACCTTTGCCCGACAAGACCTACATGGCCAGTAAGTCGCCATTCAGTTACGCGGAGAGAAAATGAGGGGCCATACCAGCACAATGTGCTTCACTTTAGAAAGCGACATTTTGATGATGATATGGATTCTTTTGACTTATTGAAGTGAGTGTAATTCCGGTACGTGAGAGTTGCTGCATAGGAGAGTCCGTCGGAAAAGCGAAGTGCACCGAGTAAGGTATGTCACCAGAGATGAAGGTGAGGTTGAAGAGCAAGTCAAATAGGCCTCATTTGAAATCAAGCTATGCTTGTTCCCCACCCAATGACAGTGTGAGCCCGCGGGGTTGGTAAGCACAAAAAAAGATAACCAAGCCACAGTAATGGGAAAGTTTGTCTCTGGCCGTGAGTGAAAGTCTAGGTAGTCTGTGCCCAAAGTCTGGAGGTTGATCATGGATAGTTCTATTAGTAACGTTTGATACGTTCTAGAAGACTTCCATGGCATCCCTTGGACTTTTGATCTGCCCCTCCAACACTCACCTCACATTGGATGCTGTCATCCGCAATCGGCGCATGGAATGGCATGCTGGCCGTGACTCTGGCTGCTTACCTAAGGTATCTTAAGGTACCTTAGGTAAGGTAGGTACCTTACCTTATCACTCGTCTCTATCTTATCGATAGCTGATTGTGGCTAAACATCGGGTCGACCTGGAATGAACGGAGTGCGTGCAATCCGCAATGGACCTGAAGGGGAAGGGGAAGGGGAACCTGGAAGGGACGCGGCTGGAACCGTGGGACCCACCGATAGAACGCCAAGCTCCAATCCCAGACATGCAGTGAGTTGAAGTTGAAGGAACTCCTGGTCGTGCACAGACGCTCTCCGACACGTCCGGAATCCACGACGGGTCAGGTCGTCTGGCAAATGGATGCCATTTCTGGTTCTTGTTCTGGTTTTGGTTCTGGGTCTCCATCTCCATGTCTGCGACTGCGACCATCAGTCCGTCCCTTACCTTTGCCAGGGCAGTCTGATCTCCCATCTCAAATCTCGCAATCTCCGTTCCCCCTTTCCCGTCCATACCTTAACAATTCAATTCGTAAAGCTTGTTTCTGCTGTCGAGTTCCTCATTGACACTAGCGCGTTCACTCATTGAGACAATACCATCCGCTTCACTCTTTTGGAACTCCCTCTTTGTTCAGTTTCACTCCTGTTCCTTTTGCACAACTTGGGAAATCGCCATCTGCGACCAACCGAGTCGCGGCTCGGGAATCCAGCAGACAACAACATGGCTACCTAGCCTGCCCCTCAATCGCAACATCCTCACTTGCGGAAGACCGCAGGCTTCCTTAAAATCGACTTTCTTAACATCATGATTGTAGTGCCGCACAATGGACGATCCATGGGGCTCCCCGTGGGCATCTACCGACAATACAAATGCGCCTTCTACCAGTCCCTCCAAGACCATCATCGAACCTCCACCACCCGCCTTCCTCTCCACTCCGAGCAACCTGAACCTACCTTCCAGCCAGTCAGCCTGGCTCGACGACGATGCCTTTGGCAATTGGGCATCCCCCGACGCCGGACAGGCTACAAATGCATCTCCGTGGACTTGGGGCAATGATGCTACGCCAATCGAAGGTCTGACACCGAGCTATGAGCCAAGGCCTAGGCGGAAGAGCAGCACACCCAGGTGGCCTCGAAGCCGATCACCCTCCCCGGGACTGAGACCTCCCATCACTCCCAACACCGCCCCTCACAACGCTTCCCCAGGCCAGCCTTCACCCGACCCCTGGGCGAACCACGTCTCAACCTATACAAAAGACGAACCCGAGCCCATAGCGGATCTCCCCCAGATACCAGACGTCCCGCCGCTTGTGCTCGAGCAAGCGCAGATCGGCCTGGGCTTAACGAATGCTCCCAATGCGTTCGAAAAGGAATTCATTGCCCATACGCCAATAACAACACAGTTCGCCGAACCTCCTGCCGAACCCTCACACGAATACCTACAGTTCAGCGATACTCCGATTTTCGATCGATTCCCTACTACTCCCAAGCACGATCACGATGTCGCTCATTCGTCAGCCTCGGCCTCGAACTCGTCTGACGACGATGACGAACACGACGAACGATCAGATGCGAGACACGCCGACTCCCCCATAACCTCCGTCGAAGACAATGCTTTACAAAAACCTACGCAGAGGAAAGCCTCTGGCAAGGTTCTAGAGCTCGTTGAGATGTATGATGGCATTGCCAAGCGAACCACAGTTTCTCCCGAGAGGGCACCCTCATTACGTCGTAGTGTAAGCCGAGGGCTCGATATTGGCCCAGGAGATCTACCCTGCCAGGGAACCACTAAAAACGACCTGACAGAAGAGGATCAGGGGCAAACGGAATCTCGCGACACGCCCGAGCCGAACGCAGACGAATCACTCGATAAAGGGAGCAAAGTTGAAGAGGAGACCATCAAGATTGACAAGCCAACACTCCCTGATCACGAGCCCTTCAAGGTTGACCTTCAACATCTCGAACTTCTCCTGCCAGACGTCTCCTTGGATGAATCAGTTCTACCCGAAGATGTGCCGGATCGAGTTATACACGACAGTTTCGTGAGCATCTCCGAGCGCAAGATGTGGTATCGGTTGTCCCGCCACGAGTCTTTGCGCAAGCATAATGCCGGAGACGACGACAACTATGTCCGAATCAACTGGACAAATTCCACTCTCCGGCAAGAAACGTTGAAAACTGTTCGTCGTTGGATAGAAGAAGATTCGTTCGGGGGACGAGCTTTCCGAGGAGGACTGGCACGCAATGCGGGCGGCAAAAGCTTTGGCTGGGACGCGACAACAGCAGCATCTCCGGTCGACCTCGACAGAGTATTCGGCCGTAAGGCAAAGCGGAAGGCGTCCATCCACCGCCCAACACACTCAATAAGCGGCCTACCCTCGCTTTCGGCAGCTCCTATTCTCCCTGGCTCTACGGGGAGCACGCCAGCCATGGGACAAGGCAACGACAATTGGGAGGGCCTCGCAACATTTGGCTGGAGCAGCGGGGCTGGTGATATAAAACCAGCATCGGGAACGGCGATGCAAAAGCCCCAGGCCTCGGGTATACCACTCCCTCTGGCCTTCACTGGGTTTGACAACGCGCCAAAGTCACATGCATCCCTCCCGGCGTTCATCAAGCCGATCGCGCCGACACCTTCACCAGCACCAATTGCCACGAGCTTAAAGGAGGTTGAGGGTGCGGATGCGGATGCAGATGCGGAGGACGATGAATGGGGAGACATGGTTTCTCCAACGACGGCTGAAGCAACGGATTCCACTTCCCTTCCCAAGACTAGTTGGGATTCGTTCTCGACCAACCCGCTAGCCGAAGCCACGAGCATACCGCCTCCCGATCCTTTCCTGACTAGCAGTCACCCGGGAGCCGATGCACTCCGCACCGGGAATAACAAAGAAAATGATTCCCGTAACAAATCAGGACTGTGGGATATTGGCAATGTCATCAGCAGCCCCGCCCCCGCCTCCACAATATCTGTGGCAGCAGGTATACCCCAAAGCCAAGGCGGCCCTCTCAGCCCGTCAGCATCCGCGAACACATACACATTCAGGCCGGCGTCTACGGTTAAGCGACCACCAAATATCTCCATTGCAGCCACCCTCAACGACCCGCCGGACCCATTGCTGGCTGGTATTACCGGCGTATCTGCGGGAGGGCCTGTTGAAACCCCACGCACAACGGGGTTCCAGACGCCGTCCACGGCGCAAACGCCCAAGACGAGCACCGAGGGTTATGGTTTTGTGAAGCAATTTGTGCGTGAGCTGCCAGATTTATCATACATGCTTAGATGAGCGTTTTCTCTTGGCCATTTTGACACTATTCATCTAAAGTACCTCGACGTAAGCTAGGGCAGAAGCACGAGAGGGCGGCTGGCATTTAGGTAGCATTTTTAGCTGTACCCATACTTCCTTCATTCTCCCATCATTTAGCCATACACTTGAAGAGTACATGTACATTGCATTCATTCTGGCGTTTGGTGGATATTGGAAAACCCCATAGGGCCCATAGGGCCGGATGGTAAAGGCACCTTGGACAAGGACCTCGTTTTGGCACATATACATCGTATATAGGGAGTGGTTGGGCAATCTAGGCAGTATTTTTGATTCAAGCACGTCTTCTTTTGCATGCCTCGGTATGGCTCGCGATGAACAGAGCTCCGTGTTTAAACCCGAGGCAACGCAAATCTCGGAGGCGTATGACGTGCGGCCAAGCCGTTTTGTGAGGCCGAGTACATCCACCTGTGGGTTATGCCAGCGGGGCGTTTGACCGGAAAGGATGGGCATCCCCCGTGTCAGAGCCCCGACTCGCGATCCCGACTTTGACTGCCGTCTCGACCGTGATTGCCGTACTCAGTGCCGTGCGGGGACTCGCGGGGGGGATTAGGGCACTCGTTGCGGGATGGCTGTGTCAAAGGGGGCGTCGTCTGGTCTTAGCCAAAGGATTTGGACGGGGGGAGAGGTGTGTCGGTTCTCCGCGCCCCGCGATATCCACCAGGACAGGGTACCAAAGAAAGCTTAACGCATAGCGTAGCGTCACGGGTGTCTCGGTTTGTTATCATCTTTTTTTAAATGGCTGCTGCTTGTACTTTGGGAAACGTAACTAACCTTAGCACCTTGGAACGGATGCTCTCTCTCTCACACACCCACACTCACGAGAGAACAAGTACAAGAAGGGCCCCCGGCGTCCACATGTCGACAACTTTCTGATTATTCCCGTGGAACTCTAAATTCGCGTCAAGTCCATTGGGACCCTTTTGAACTCAGATATCAACTCCTCTCAACCTCCCCTCTTCGAATCTTGTAAAGGTGGATCAGCTTCGTTCATGACGAGAAAAGCTTGACTATGGCCATCTTAGAGCTTCTCATCACGCCTTGGGCACCGGCCCTGGTGGTTGTAGGCGTAGTCGTCTACTACCTCTACCCTTTCTTCGTCACATTCGGTTCCCTTCGTGGGATTCCGGCACCGTTCCCAGCACAATTCACCAATCTGTGGCTTCTCTCCGTCGTCCGGCGTGGCACGCGATACCAAACCGTCGACGAGATCCACAAGAAGATGGGGCCCGTGGTTCGCATTCAGCCCAACCATGTGAGCATTGCCGACGATGAGGCCATTCAGGCCATCTATGGTCACGGCAACGGCTTTCTCAAGTCGTAAGTATTCTCACTCACTCAACAATGGGCTATACGCTCTCCTTTGGTGGTGGTCTCCAAGCTCTAGTTCCCAGAGCCAAGACCATTCAATATTTGATTCTAGACATACTGACCCCGCACCAGAGACTTTTACGACGCCTTTGTCTCCATTCGGAGAGGACTCTTCAACACCAGAGACCGTCATGAGCATTCACGCAAGCGCAAGATTGTGTCGCACACCTTTTCCGTCAAATCAATTGGCCAATTCGAGCCGTATATGCACGAGAACCTGGTCCTCTTCGTCCAAAAGTGGGATGAGCTCGCCAAGAACAACCCAGCTGGCGCCACCATTGACTGCTTGAAATGGTTCAACTACCTGGCATTCGACATTATTGGCGACCTGGCGTTCGGTGCGCCGTTTGGCATGCTTGCATCCGGTGCTGATATCGCCGAGGTCCGCGAATCTCCCAACAGCCCGCCCATCTACGCGCCCGCCATCGAGATTCTGAACCGGAGAGGCGAGGTCTCTGCCACTCTTGGAATTCTCCCCGACCTGAAGCCCTGGGCAAAGTACATTCCGGATCCCTTCTTCAGCCAAGGCCTGGAGGCCGTACAGAACCTCGCGGGCATGGCTATTGCACGCGTCAAGGCTAGACTGGACAATCCTCCCGATATCGACAGACTGGATCTGCTTGCGCGACTGATGGAGGGACGTGACGACAAGGGAGAGCCTCTGGGCAGAGAGGAGCTCACGGCCGAGGCCTTGACGCAGCTGATTGCCGGTAGCGACACGACATCCAACTCTTCTTGCGCACTTCTGTACCACGCTGCGAGAACCCCTGGCGTACTGGAGAAGCTACAAAAGGAACTCGACGAGGCCATCGCCCCCACCGTCGATGTCCCGACCTACGAGATGATCAAGGATCTTCCCTACCTCGCCATGGTCATTGACGAGACGCTCCGATTCCACTCCACCTCTGGCATCGGCCTTCCGCGTCAGATCCCCGAGAACTCACCCGGCGTCACCATTCGCGGCCACTTCTTCCCTCCCGGCACCGTTCTCAGCGTTCCTTCGTACACCATGCACCACTCCAAGGAGATTTGGGGACCGGATGCTGACGATTTCCGCCCCGAAAGGTGGGAGTCGCTGACGGCGAGGCAAAAAAATGCTTTCATCCCGTTCAGCACCGGACCCAGGGCATGCGTTGGAAGGAATGTGGCCGAGATGGAGATGAAGCTCATTGTCGCGACGTGGGCTAGGAGGTACAAGGTTGAGTTGAGACAGGAGATTATGGAGACTAACGAGGGATTCCTGAGGAAGCCTCTGGCACTGGACATCAACATCAAGAGGCGGTGAACTGCGCGACTGTTTGGTAAGAAATGTGGCCTTGGGGGCTCTTTAGATTGTCACGGCAGGGTATATAGCGCTTGCACTTGCTTTCAATTGACCCTCTATCTTCTCGCGATCATTCATTGCTTGATACTCGTGAAATCTCAATACATTCATGTCACGCGGTATCTATGGTTACATAGTCTCATCTAGAACACACCCTTCAAAGATCAGCTCTCTCACAAGTCACTAGAACTGTATGTAGTTCTTATGATGTACTTTGTCAAATGCATGCTGAACCATGCCGGGCATTCACACTTTGAACCAAGCTGTGGCAATGTTGCATATGCGTGGACCGTTAGCCGCCACTGGACAAGTCTGGCTCGCGGAGATACTAAGACTGTTGCCGCACACCCATAAGGCTTCAAGCTTCTTGATAATTTGATGACCCGACCTCTTCGGCCGATGAAGAAATGGTCCACACGCCGGCGGGATAAGATGGGTCAACGTCTGATTCCAGGGTTCTGGTCCAAGGAGGTTTGGCCCATATAGTTGATAAAGCTTGAGATGTTCATACAGTGACCAATCGTATGCATCAAATATCTCTTTTAAGTTTGCTCCAGGGTCCATGGTTTTCGGTGTACATTCCCGTGTACCTCTCCGGCACTAGAACTCGCCTTGGAAATCGCCTTGTGCCCACTCATTCGAGAACCATGCCAAGGAATCCAAACCCATGGGTTCCATGTTGAAATCGAGACTGTCAAGTGCTCCCTCGAATGCATTATTGACCTCCAGCGAGCCGAGCGCAGTGGGCTGTGGTGGCACAGGCGCCTGCTCGTCTGGCTTGTTGGATTCGGGAACCTGTATATCTTCCCAAGCACCAATGCCAAATGGCCGATTGGTGAGCTCATCGGCCGCCGGCGCGCCTCTATCTGGGTCATCCGCCAACTGTACCTGCTTCGCGCGAGCAAGGCGGATGCGCTTGGCACCGTTGCCATTTCTTTCGTCATGGGGCTCTTCACTAAGCAGCCGACTAGGGGTAGCCTGTATCGAGAGACCGTGGTCCATGAGTCGTTGAAGATCGGCTTGCTGTTATCACTAATCAGTAAACTCCTTGGTGAGACAAAAGCGCCAGTGTTACTAACAATTGAGACTGCAGCTGTTCCAGAGCAACAGCCCTTGGTTACCTCGAGACAAACCGAAGCCTTTTTACGGAGGATCTCTGGCGTGAGACCGTACTCTTCCGCGTTAAGATGGTAGATGTAGTAAAGCATACGGATACACTGATACGCGCACACCGGCATATCGAGGTCCGCAACGGGGTAATGATCCAGTGCTCTGATGGAGGTGAACATATTTGACATTTCCATCGCATGCTCGTAGCACTGGCGCTGACAACCAGCGATGAACTCGGGACCGAGCCGTTCAGCAGCTGAACGAGTCAAAGAATCGCGAAGCCCAACAAGTCCTATCCTGAAGAGATCACAGTTGCACTGCCGCAACCAGACATGAATCATGATGAAGACGCAAAGGCGTGGAGAATATGCTCTCAACCGCAGGCTATTGTCAGACCAGCGGAACGACACAGGCAAGCGCTCAGCAAAGTCTGAGAGCTCCTTTGCAAACGACTGGAGTTGCTCCTGAAGGCGGCCAAGGTCGTCGTTGGAACAATTTGAGGCTCGCTTGGCGAACTTAAGGATTCTGCCGCGGAGCCAGAGAATGCGCACGTGTAATGCTAAGCTGCCAATATCGTCATTCTCGGACTCATCGGGACCAGGAACCAGTGGTCGTAACGATGGTGGCGCAAGATCGAACTCGAAGTCTCTCTCGTTGCAAGGGAGCGAAATGTGAATCGTCTCGGGCGTCCATAGGGTCAGATCGCGGTATCCTCCAGCCATGCCTTGGTCAATCATGAATAATGCCCACATCAGACGGCGTCTTGATTCCTGGGCGAGGAAGCACAGATCTGGGTTGTCGTAGTTGAGTCGAAGAGCCGTAGCGAATCTGGCCGCGGTAGCAGCGAGCATAAAAGCGCTCGAGAAGCGTCGTGTCAAGATCCGATACTTGATTATGAGAGCAAGTGTTTGCACTTTGATCGTTGACGCATTCTCGAGGCCCTTCAAAATGAGTCCCTCAGACTCATCAATACATTTCTCGCCATACTCTCGCGTTCCCGGCCCAAGGTCAGTGAGCATGCTCGTGATGCCGATGAGAGCCAACAGCAGCGGTCGGTCTAGCCCGCCAACATTATGCCGCTGCATGAGAGAGGCCCGATGAAGGAAGGACAACATGGGAATGTGATGAACATGGCGAAAGAAATTGTCCAGAGCTCGACTTATCAGAGACTCAAACTGAGGATCAGGTGCCGAGCTGAATTCAGTCAGTGGATGAGGTACAAGAGTGAGTAAGGACAGTAAGAGTGAGCCTACAGATCATGATTAAAGGTGCTGGGGGTGTTGGACGCCATGGCATCGGCCATGGCGGCATCGGAATCGTGTGCCGCATCATCCCTGGACAATGACCGACGGTTTCGAGCGTCACGATTGGTAGCGGGTGCCGAATTCGACGAAGTTGGTGATCTGACTATATGGTCGACGAGACCCGGGGGATTGATGCTCAACCGGGTGCGCTTAGAAGCTCTGTAGACGCACTCGATGCCTTGGGTACGACATCGGTCACAAGCCGGTGTGTGACCACTACACCGAGCTTTACGTGAGTGACAGCTCTGGCATGCTTGTCGGACACGGCGTCTTGGTAAGGGAAAGGTGGGAGCGGCAGCAACACCATTAGCATCGGAAGATGGGTCTTCGTAAGTACAAGAGAAACCAAGGCGTTCGCAGTTGCTGCAAATGTCGCGTCGGCCGTCGCAGCGGACTTTACGGGCCCGGCAGGTGACACATGTCGTGGCCGAGGACCGCTTTGTCGGTTTCGGAGACACGGACGAGGCTGCGGCTGATGCTGTCACGGTGGTAGCTGCGGCGGCGGCCAGGTCTGCGGTTGTGTTTGCCGTCGTTGAGGCGGCGGCGGTGGTGGCAGCGGCTGTCGGTGGTCTGTCGGGTCGGAGGTGATGTCCAAGGTTGTCGTTGTTGTTATTGTTGACACTGCTGTTGCCGATGGTGTTGCTACCGTACAGGTCTGCCATTCTCCCAATTACCTCGATAGGCGCGCGCCCTCGTTGCTCACCGGAACTCGGCGGCGCGTACAATACACATGGAGAGACAGATGAGGCTCAGTCTAGGGCTCATGGATTGCCCATTCCGGAGAACAATCGGCGTGGGTCTCTTTGAGTGCGCGCGCGCGCAGACGGCAGCGTGTCTACTTAGCTACTGTATTCGTTCCGAGCTGTGACTAGGTAATTATGCAGGAGAAATCCGGGGAACAATCACACTGTGTGTGACTGTGCAGCTCACTTGACGTAAGGTAGGGCAGAGTGTGAGGATTGGCAGTCAGTCGGGGGATACGGAGGACGGGGAATGCGTGGGAAGAGAGAAGGAGACGGAGGAGACTGGCTCTGGGAGGCGCTCCGTGACCGAACTGTGAACTGTGCATGTGTCTCACGGCACCACACTTGTTCTCACTGCTCAGTCCTCAATCCCCGGCAACGGTCCCTCTCAGGCGACAATACACTCCATTCCATGTACGTTCCTGGCACAAGTCATAGCCGTAACCGGGCCCTTTCGGGGGGTGTCTTTTAGACCTTGGGAGCCTTGGGAGGTGACATTAGTTCCTTGGTATCGGAGCTTTCAGGCGAGCTCAGCTGAGCAAGCCGATCCATCATTGCTGGGCATTAGTCAGTGGGGGTGTGCTCCCCTTCTGCTGCCAACCTGCCAACGCAGCTCCCCGAAAATCTCTCTGGTGGGAGGGATGTTAGGGCGAGGAACTTTGTTTTTAGAACATCCATCCGACGCCACAAATACCCCAAGAGACCTTGGGAGTCTGTGAGACGTGAAAGCCACGGAGCGATTCCACTCAAGTTGACACAACTGATTCAATGTTCTGTCGAGCTCGGAACATCTTGACTTTAGTAGGCAAGAGTGAGTGTCCTGCGAAACTGTCCCTTGTCCATAGGTCATGCCAAAATAACGGTGAAGAGATCACCTTCACTTGGAGAACCATCCACACAACACCGCTCCGGCATGAGGGGCGGCTATCGGCAACCTATGTGGCCTAGATGAACTTGGACCTGTGAGACTTTTGCGAACGGAACTGAACTCTACACAATAGCTCGATTGTCGAGAAGCGGTTTTTGAAACCAGGTATAGTTGTATAGACTTGTTCGGAGCCTTTACAGTTACGCGACACAATCTGACAATGTGCATTTCAAAGAGGCTGAATAGCGTGTAAGAGGCAGCCACCGGCTGTCGGCTTTGGAGATAACACCGATTGCCGCCACCGAAAGCCGTGATTGACTAACCTCCAAAATACGTTGTTTCTGCATTTCGCACGCAATCGCAATCTAGCCAATACTTGAGGCTCTTTTTGAAAGCATCTCAGACTCATAGCAGCATTTTAGCAAGGTTGATTGATTTTTGTCGTTGTTGCCTTGCGAAGAGTGAGAAGCTTAGGATGGCCGAGAGCCAAACTAAGCCCCTCACGCCCTCTCTGAGTGTGAGCGCTTCACCGCAGCTTCTCCCGTCACATGGAATTTGGCTTCTCCTATCCTTTGAATGTATAGTAGACATGGATCCCCTTCTAGGGCCTAGCGGCGGTCAACTCCTGCCTCGATTGTCTGGCAACTTCGTACCATCTCACATGTGCTTCACATAGAGATCGTAAGTTTCCCTGTTGATTCTCGACAAAACAGTCTAGGTAGTGAAGGCAGTCTACACTGATCCGTGGCGCCTATTTTGTCTCAACCTCCTGCAAAAGTAAGTAACAAGGGCCAGGTCGATTATGACAATGACATAAGACATAGTGTGTGAGTTAATTGAATGACCGGATGAATGCTTCACATTCTATCCGGATTTGGATCGGCTACACCGACAATGTGGTCAGGGGTCCTCGGTGAGACGAGGCGGTCAAGTCGTGGCCGGGTGGCGGTGCGGGGCTTGACCGAGCCAGAAGGGAGGGGTGGCCTGGGCGGCGGTCTTATCGAAGAAAAAAACTACCTGTACACCCCACCACAACCCCGCGATAATAGAGAAATTTCCCATTCCGTTCAAAATCATTCGCCGCACTCACTGCCTGCTGCCTTGACACTCTCGATTTGTCTGCATCGGAAGATCGTCCTCAACAGTTCGCCGCTTTTCTGCGCATAAGAATATCACCACAGACGAAAAGTCGACGAGCCATCATGTCCACCGATGCCGTGGCCGCCCCGGCGGTCGCAAGCCCGATCGCGGCCGAGGAGCGCAAACCCATCCACGCTCTTGTTCTGGATACCGGCCCATTGATCAAGAACGACCCTCCTGTCAGCACTCTACTCGCACAAGCCGATGAGCTCTACATGCTACCCTCCATTGTCGACGAAATTCGCGATGTCAGCACCCGCACTCGAGTTCAGACTACCCTCATGCCTTTCGTCAAACTTCGCAACCCCCGCCCCGACAGCATCAAGTTCGTGTCCGACTTTGCGCGCCGGTCTGGTGATCTCGAGGTTCTCAGCAGACCTGATTTGCACTTGCTTGCCTTGACCTACGAACTCGAGCTTGAGAAGACTGGGGGCGACCAGAATCTGAGGAAACAGCCGGGTGCGCGGTCTTCTAACGACAAGGCACCCAGCGCCGATGCGCCGGTACCAGAAGCCGAGGCTGAAAGTGAGTCGCAGGGAAAGCCCGTGACCGAGACCGATGAAGTGACGGAGCCCACTCAAGTCCAAGTCCAGGAGGGCACTTCAATTGAACAGAGCGCCGAGAAGACACAAACCCAAATTCAGCAGAGCGCGACAGTGGAAGCCTCGTCATCGGACGTTGAGACAGCACAGATTACACAAGATATGAGCAACCTCGAGGTGGACGACAAGACAACATCCGAGCCAGCTGTAACAAGCGTCGCTGGCGCCAGTGAGGCTCAAGGGGAGGAATCAGATTCTGAAGACGGTTGGATTACGCCATCCAATGTGAAGAAGCAAAAGGAGAAGGACAGCAAATTGCTGCAGCCGACTGCGCCTGCGATTGACATCAAGGTCGGAATACTTACCTCCGATTACGCCATGCAGAACGTCGCTCTGAGAATTGGGCTCAATTTGCTCTCGCCGTCCATGTCGCGCATCACCCAACTCAAGACGTGGGTCCTCCGATGCCACGGGTGCTTCCAGGTCTGCAAGAAGATGGACCGCCAGTTTTGCCCTAGCTGTGGACAGGCCACTCTGATTCGCACGTCTTGCACGACCGATGAGGACGGCACCTTCAAGATCCACTTGAAGCGCAACTTTCAGTGGAACAACAGAGGCAACGTTTTCAGTATTCCCAAGCCTTCAGCTGGCACAGCCAGCGGCAAACTCTCCAAGAATGTCGGCGGCAAGAACAACTGGGGTACCAACCTCATTTTCGCGGAAGACCAAAAGGAGTACGAGAGGGCTGTGGGTGACAATCGCCGTGCTCGGCGGAGAGATCTCATGGACGAGGATTACCTCCCGAGCATTCTTACAGGTGACCGCCAAACTGGTGCCAATGGCAAGGTGCGACTGGGTCCGGGAAGAAACATTAACGGTCGTAGGAGGAGATGAGAGGCAGTAGGTGGCTGGAAGCTGATGTTTATATGTTCTGCATGATACCATGATAGACCCCTTAAAAGGCAGGAAAAGGGCCGCTCAACGCAAAGAGTCCAACGGAATGGGAAGAAGAAAAAACGAGGTTGGATTTTGGATGTGTCGCTCTGATTGTAGGAATTGCAGAGCAATCTATCGTAACACGGACCTAGTAAAAAGACTCCGATGATCCCCTGAATGCAAGCCTTTCCCCAACGCCGATTTTTGTATACCTGGGCTTGTATTCACGAGCCTTGAACAGGTGTCAAGGGCTTCGTCGACCCTCCCTTCGTGCCAGGCCATGCCTCATGTTCCATTTGTTGTGGATGAGTCGTTCTCAGCGACGCATGGTGTCGTGAACGAGCTGGGATCGAGTGGCCGGGTGTATGGTTTTTTCGATTGCTTCTTGTGCGATTTACATATTTACTCGGCCTCTGAAAGAACAAATTAGATGAGTTCCCGGTCGAGGAAGAGGCGGAAAACTTACTTTGCTGCGTAAGCAGAAGGTTGAAGCGACGCTTCAGCGTCACGCGCTGGCGCGACCACTTGTCATCGGGAGAGAAGCGGGCAGGGTGGGCAGACTTGGTGACCTTGCCGTCGACAACCTTCTTGAGGGTGTAGACACGGCTGCCCGCCTCATCGAGAGTGTACATCAAATGCATCGTGGGAGTCGGGTGGTGGTGGTCGAGTTGAGCGTAGAATTGTCGGTGGGTGGTGATCACTGTGCAACGCCTGGGCTGGAGAAACTTTTTTTTTCTCCCTCTGGCTTTGCGATGCAGACATTTCGGGATCACGTGATGCGCGGTCAAGAACCAATAGACAAGGCCAATTGGGGTATCTTCTCGGTGTGGAGTGGGGCAGCCTAAAAGGTACCTTACCTTACCTGCCCGAACCTCAAAAGTGATTCCGTACAGTGCCTTAAGCTAAGTACCCGAGGTATCTCCTGCCAGAGTCCCAATGTCACAACCCAGTATGAACAGATGTTTGTTAGAAAATCGCCATATTGCCTTACTGAAGTGCCAATTAACGCACACGCGGAGTTCTCCCGGTGCTATCTATCATCCAAATCGGAAAACAATGCCATCATTGCCACGTTCAAGGTAATGCATTTATCAAGCTTAATCGCCAGAGGCAACCATTGCAACATTAAATGGCATGACCTACAGTCAGACGTAGCTACACCATATACCTGGCCCATCCGGATTTTGAACAAGTATAGGGACTGTCTGACCTCCCCGCCCTTAATGATGGTGCCCCATTCCCTGCTCCTTGAAGGGCTTAATGCTATTGCCCTTGGGAAAAGAAGGTCCTACTAATGGTGAGCGCATATTCTGTTCATTGCGGAGTAATGAACGCACCGAACTTCGGGTGGACGATGTAGTTGTCCTGATACACGTCTACTGCATTGTCCCGAGAATAGTCCATGACCTTGTCAAAGTCAATACATTGGTGAGGCGCCGTTTGGTTCACGATGGGCTTCGCGTCGATGTCAGTCCACATATGGGTGATGATGGAAATGTCACCACGGCAGGCTGCACCCATGCGGAGAACCTCAAGACAGTGCTCTGTGATCTTGATTAGCACTATCCCAAGTTCGACGACTACACAGTCTCGTTGACAAACTCACGGTTATGCTCCCGATTCGTGGCGATTTCTTGCTTGGTTGCGTTGGGAAAGTAGTAATCAGGCGACAACGTCTGGTAAAGCCGCTTCTGTACATCTGGTTAACTCTACTCAGATGATCGGCATGGGCAGAAGATGACTTGCAATGCAGTGCAATTCGTGGAAGACACTGAGCATGCCGAGATACCCGCCATCGGGTAGCCTGACCGCCTCATGCTCCCGTCCCCAACGATGAACCCATTCTTCGGAAACTCGAATATTATTATCTAGGCGACTCAGATTAATAAATGTACTTGTTCAACGTATATTCAGCAGCGACCTACACTGTAGCAAGTCCCTCCATGCTTGATCTACCTCCGGTCTTGGTTCGCCCGTGTATTTGCCGTGTGGCGGGCCTTGAATAGGGAAGATTTCGAGATGAGTCTCTTCGCCGACAACCTTTGGCGGTGCTGTACCACAGTGAGTCTGTGGGCCTGGGATAAAGCAGATATTTCAACAGAGTGAAACCTACCATCTATCAAACTAAACACCCCCGAGAATGGTCTCTTGGGCAAAAGTGACACAACAAAGATTGCGGTGTAGATGGTGATCAAGACGGCATGGAGAGTCCACACCCCGAATCTACGAAGCTTTGATGTGCGCCGTATGTTTGATGCTGCAACTGTGGCCTCGACGGCTTCACGACTCGATGCTAGACTCTCATCAGAGTACACAGGCGCGTACTCTGAGTGATTTCGGCCCATCTTTGAGCTAATCTCTCGATAATGTTTGGAGGTGAGGCGACTAGCAAGTCTGCCAAAGGCTCAACAACAGAAGTGACTTAGATTTGCAGGTGAAAGAGACCGAGAAAACTGAGCCGTCCGACCTTTTCGTTGAATAAACGGCCAAATGGTAGATGAAACCAGACGAGGGGAAGACGCTGAGTGGGTATTGCAAATGGCCACGAGATAGCGTCTTGAGATCAAAGCTGGAAGGATTCGTGAGGGATCACAAAGCTCTGCGAACTCCGCCACCGTCCTAGACGCGGGCATGTGTCGCCTAACGACCCAAGCGGGACATGTGCTGATGATAATCATTTCCGCCAGATCTGGAAGGTCTGTACAGTGAAGGTCATCTTATCTGCGATGGCGTTTTGAGCTTACCTCCGTCAGAGGTGGAACAGAGGACTTGAATGGACGGAGGACGAGTGTGTCGGCGCATCCAAATCCTTCGAGCGTACACACTATACCCGGCCGGAAGAGCCCCCGCTGACCAAATTAATGTCTGACAGTGGCTCGCTTTTCGAGTCCGGACGAACCAATCTGATACCAATACACCACCCTGTTGCGTGTGCCCCTGTCGTCGCATTGCATGTAAAGTTTGGCTTGGAAACAAGAACAATGGAAAGTCAACGAGTAAAGCAAGTTTCTGGCGCTTAGTGGGTATGACAAAACCAAACCACTTTCCACATACTAAACAAATTCTTTATACCACGACACCTTTCGCATTACGTTTTATACCCGAATGAGGAAAACAAGCCTTTGAATAAAGGTTGATTGATCCACTCTCGGAGGGTTAAAATCTCGGCATGGACAAGTTCAACCTGTACGGACGAGAGTACGTAGCAAGTTCGATGTCGAAAGCAGGACTGGGAATTCGAGCACCGGCTGAAAAGACCACGAAGTCTCTGGGTCTCCGTTCAAGCTCTATGCAACTAGATCCTATGGCTGTGGGGCGAGAAACTAATTTCAATTTGGAAGGTCAATAATGGAAGTGCTCGTAAGCGTGGCTCTAAAAGGCTACTTCAAATGCCAATGAAGACTGGACAGATCCTTCAACATTTAGCTTACTTTCTTGCCACCATTGACTGCCTGGTGGCATTGAGTCTTGCAAGTCGTACAAGTGAAGCCACAATTTGTCAATCCTGACTGGCGAAACCACGATTCGTCAGTTGCGAGAGTCATCCAAATGCCACCTGCCTCTTTAATCTCGCAGATCAGCTTGCAAGGTTCCAGCTCCTGATGGCATTGCATCAAATACAAACCGAGAACTTTCCGCCATTTTTCAAGCGTGATCAACTTGTCCCACGGGGAGCCGATCATAAGAGACAGCTTTAACGCTGTTCAACATTTTCAAACTGGGACACTTCGACCTTCCCCTCTTCTTTCAGACCAGTCCTTTGATTCACACCACGATTCTGAAGCATTCTCTTGACTCGCCAGAGTCTACCTATATCACAAAATGAAGGTGACCGTCTTGTTAACGGCAATGGCGGCTTGCATTGCTGCACTGCCTACTATTCCTCATTCAGGTCAGGGTAAGTAGGTGATACAGTGGATTGTTCGGCTGAAGGTTGGTTTCACCAGCTAAGTGTAAACAGCTCAAACCAGTGCAGATGAATCCTACCTCCCCATGAAGACACGGGCTGAGACCAACGCCGACGAGTCTTATTTGCCAATGAAGAGGGCCGAGACCAGCGCCGACGAATCGTACCTTCCAATGAGGCGGGCAGAGACGAACGCAGACGAGTCTTATCTCCCAATGAAGCGATTCGAAACCAGCGCAGACGAGTCTTACGACCCTATGAAGCGCGCTGAAACCAGTGCCGACGAGTCTTATGACCCCATGAAGCGCGCTGAAACTAGCGCCGATGAGTCCTATCTTCCAATGTAGACAGGCTCACGTCAAGATGGGTTCTGTTGGTTTTCGAGTCTCTCAACTCCGATATGAGTCTGAGCAAGAGAACTCAACCCAGAGATCATGAAGCTCAAGATCAAAAGCTCGGGATCGATTGCGATACTTAGTTGTTGTGGGCGCAGCGCTATATTTACGTTGGCTTTTTACTTTAGAACGAGGAGTCCTGACTAAATACAACCACGATTAAACATTGAAGTCTCGATTTTGGTCCAAACAAGTCTAAGGTATTGAAGTCTAAGACTGCTGCTCGATCCTTTTCTTGAATGATTCCAAACCCTAGCCCGAATGCTCATGAAATCCCCTTCTCAACGGGCTTAAGACACAGGTTGCTGATGCTGGTTTTCCGGGCAACTCACAACTTGGCATCAGTGTCAATCTCGAGGTTCAATCAAAGTTGAAACTAAGATACTGACGGTCATTAGATGCAAATGGAACATTGATTCACTAAGCCGGTACAGACTTCAGTTGCCTAAATTCATACCACTCATTCGCTGAGATAGAGCACAATTAAATGGGTATACCGAAGAACTCATTGACGGGAAAACAAAAATTGGATTTCAATGTACAACATTAGACTACAATATAACTTGGATCATGGAACTCGTAGTATCCAGAACCCACTTCAGTTGACTTCCCTCCATTGGGCATCGTGATGTCAGCCTTTGTGTTAGGAGGAATTTCGACGACCATGTGGAACCCATTACGATGCACGGCATTCTCCTCATCATTGCTTTCGAACCACCATTGGACCTTAACTTCCCCATAAGGTGAAATGTATTTCGAATCAGCACTGGTAATGTTGCCGCCAGGAATCGGGGCAACAGTAATTCGCTTCCAGCCCGGTTCCGCAGGAGCAATACCACCAATGACTTGGTGCATCCAGTTGGCAACGGAGCCAAAAGCGTAGTGGTTGAAGCTGGTCATCTCGCCAGGATTGACGCTACCATTCGTGAGAAGACTGTCCCATCTCTCCCAAGTAGTTGTCCCATTTTGAACCACCTGATACAACCAAGAAGGCACTCGGGTCTGAAGAAGCATGCGATAGAAGTCTTCAGTGGCGCCAATGTCTCTGAGAGCAAACCCAAGAGGCGGAGTTCCTGCAAAGCCTGTGCCAACAAGATAGTCATTGTCTGCAACGATCTGTCGCAGCTTCTCGGCAGCAGCTGATTGCTGTCCTTCGTCAGTAAAGAGGCCGAAGTTGAGAGCCATGGCGTACGCAGTCTGCGTCTGGTTTGCGAGGACGCCATCCTGGATCCAGGCGTCGTGGAATGCTGAGATAAGATCCTTCCGTTGAGTTCGGTACTGGTCTGCCGCTTCGTCACGCCCCAAAGCTGCGGACATGTTGGCGAGGAAATCAGTCATATGGATTAGATACGCATCGGCGACAAGATGCTTCGCAGTGGTGGCATTCCCCGGGGCATCTGAGGGGGCTTTGGGGTCAAGCCAGTCGGCAAATTGGAAAGAGCTGCGGTTCCAGAGCCCAACCTCGTTACGGCTGATGCCCGTATCAATCCAGGCTTGAGACTGAAGGTATTGCTCTTCGAGAAGACCTACATCACCGAATGCTTGGTAAATGTTGAAGGGGTTCGCAACAGCTACATCTCCCCAGACTGCGGCAGGAGTGGCGGGACCTCCAGGGGGGATGGTTGGAATGGTGAATGGAACCACCATCGAGTTGTTTCGCTGCATCTCGGACCAGATGTCTTTGTGCCAGCCTCTCCAAAAACCAGCGGCGTTGTACAAGTAGTTGGCCGTCGGAGCAAAGGCATGGGCATCACCAGTCCATCCAAGTCGCTCATCACGCTGTGGGCAATCGGTGGGGATCGATAAGAAGTTCCCCTTCATGGACCACCGCACGTTGTGATGGAACTTGTTGAGAAGTTCATTGGAACATCCGAACCAACCGGTTTGTTCCATGTCGCTGTGGACAACAACAGCAGTGATGGAGTCAGCGGTAAGAGGAGTCTCCTGTGGCCAGCCATCGACTTGAGCATAACGGAAACCATGGAAGGTGAAACGTGGCTCCCATATTTGTGTACCGTTGCCGTGCAGGATAAGAGAGTCAGCCGCCGTAGCAACTCTAAGTGGTCTAAGAGCGAGCTCCCCATCTTCGAGAACTTCGGCATGGTGGAGAGTGATGTTTGTTCCGCTGGGTCCAGAGACCGTAAGTCTCAGCCAGCCTACAAGATTTTGCCCGAAGTCGATAAGTGTCTTACCAGACGGAGATGCGAAGATGGACTCCGGCTTTCTTTCTTCAAGTCGTCTGACAGGAGGCCCATCGGGAGGGACTAAAGCGCCTTTGAGCGCGGGTAATTCTTTCGCCGCTAGCCAGTCGTCGGCGGCAAATCCTGCGGATGACCACCCCTCCAGCTCTGCCTCAAGTGTGGAATCGTAATGTTCGCCGTTGTAAATCTCGGACGTGATAAGTGGACCAGTGTTGGCTTTCCAAGTCGCGTCGCTCGGCACCCTAATCTTGGTGCCATCTTCAAGAGTGATAACTAAGAGACTGAGAAGGCCGATGGTGTCTCCATAGTTGTTTCTGACACCGCCACCGTAGCTGAGTCTACCAGAGAACCATCCCTCGCCGACTGCAACACCAATTGCATTGTCTCCGCTGGAAATAAGTTCCGTGACGTCGTATGTATCGTAAACATGCCGGTAATTGTACGATTGCCATCCGGGGGCAAGAACATAGTCACCAACCCGACGGCCATTGATCTCCGCTTCGTAAAGCCCTAATGCGGTGATGTAGAGCCGTGCACGAGTGACATTGGCATTGACAAGGAAAGGTTTTCTGAAATAGACCGGACGTTTAGGAGCTTCAACTTCAGTCTCCCTTTCGGCGGCGACGGGGACAGCCCCGGCCCAATCTGAAGAGTTAAGGAGCCCGGTCTCGACTGTGACCCAATCGGACCAGGGCGTGGACAGTTGGCCAGGTCTACCGTGGGCTCGAGCTCGTACACTAGCTTGCTCGGTCGATTCTAGAGCTGCCACTGGCCACGGAACAAGGAGAGACTCAGTCGAGTTAAAGTTGTGGATGGTTGAAAGATCTGACCCCTTGAGAATCTCCAGATCGTAGGCACTCTGCTCCCAGTCAACGGCGTTTCCCGAGAATCTCCATGAGATGCGAGGCTCTGATTCGGCAATACCAAGAGCTTGTCGATGATGCTCGAAAGAAAGCTGAGATATCGAAACAGCCATGATGTGTGGAGAGTCCTCGAATAACTCCACCTAGTTTAGCGAACAAAGGTTCTGAAAGGCTTGTATCAGGAGAAGCTGAATCACACCGCAATTTAGGCCATATATATATAGGTCCAAGGAGGAGCTTTGAATACAAGCTTGAACCAAGTCCACCGAGGCCTGTCGGGAAGCTTTCACCCGTGTATCCATGCCCTTGAACTTGCCAAAGCTCAAACATTATTGTAGTTACTCGGCTGTCGCTATCCCGTTGTCGAAGTTATGCTTGAGTGCTTGACTCAGCTAGGCATTCCTAACCCCTCTGCTCGTCTCAATCAACCCGAAGTCTGTGGATCTTGCCGTTAAATTTGCGGGGTCCCCAGACTGTGAGGTAGGATCCCTGACACCTTCTGACGGCATCCAAGATCGGGTGTTGATCTTACTGGGGGCTCTTGGGCTTGGAATAGAAGCCGGATATTCCGGCCTACAGCGAGAAGCTGACCAGGGAGTTGTTACAGTGGCTGCTCAAAAGTTCGAGCAAAAGTGGCACGCGAATGCTGGCGGCTTGATGGTCGCCATTGGCAAGTTGGAGGCTCATACATGCAAGCAAAGATTACACAAGACTAAGCCATCTTCTGTCACGAAATTGCTTGCCTCAAAACAAGGAACTAAGCAGCAAAGTTGAGTTTTGAACCTCATGGGATGAACCGACGTCCATAAACTGAGCATGCAACCCAAGAGACTCGCGACCCCGCACTGATTTGTCGGTAGTTTAAAGAACCCAGTTACCATACTTCCTTTCCCCAGCTTCTCCGCAATGTGACATGCGGGGGACATGCACCCAGCTGACGCATGACGCGACGATGTTTTCCATACTCGTATTTGGCACTTTGGTTGAGTACAGTAGCAGCGGATCTACCGGTGGATTTGATACGCGGATAGGCCACAGGGATCCAAGAGGGGCTATCGCAAGACATTCCCACGAAAGCAAAGAACTTGGCCGATATTCCGCGGCGAACCTCTGATCCCACCGGCTCGCATAATATATGTTGGCGAGGAACCCTGGAATCTCCCCGACTTTCCAAGCTTCTCGCGTTAGCACACATGGCTCGTTAAAAATGCTACCTCTTCCATCGCAAAGCAACGTACGGATACTCCGTAAGCCCTTGGGATTGAGAGCACGCCATCCTCGGTGCCACAAGAGACATCAGCTATAGACTTGCGATTTGATCAGCCGCTCAGCACACAACAGCATGTTGCCAAGCTTTTGAGGCCATCTCGAGGCTTCAGTCCCATGTTACGGTTTCTCACGGTGAGCGACTCGAAAGATCATCTGGCATTTCGCCATCGTGGGAATGCACATTATGGATGCATAGCTAGCAATGTACGGATACCCTCCAGGATGCCCTGGAGCCTTTCTCCCACGCGTCTGCTCGGAGCGCCGAAGTCCCTCGCCTGGGGGCTCTTGGTTCTTATTGCATGGACTTGTCCGGTAGATTACTAAGGACTCGGCCGAATGATGTGATGCTGGGCGGAAATCCGCGGGCTGCGGACATGAGCGGCCCACATGTCTGTTTTGACCCATTTAAGCTCATTTTACCTCGGGAATTTTCTCGTCAAATGGTCTGAGAGCGGCCATGTGATGTTCTGTCTCCGACACGTTTAATTCATTGACCATAGCTTGTTACATCTCCACCATTCAACATCAAATTTCAGTGCAGCAGTATCGACAGAATGGGTATCCCGGCAGACAAAAAGACAGTCCTGATTACAGGGTGCGCTACACCCTTACCAACTTAGCCTTAACTCTGACTCGCCGAGCTGATCGCTGGAGGCGTTAGTGCTGACACGTTTACTGTAGCTGCACCCCAGGGGGAATTGGCCACGCCTTGGCAAAAGAGTTTCACTCCAAAGGTGGGTGTCAACTGTCCATGAACCAATAACCAGTGTTCGATTTCATGACGCGAACCATCACTGAAGATTTGGATTGCTCACAACGTTCTACTGCCAGGGCTACATGTCATCGCAACGGCCCGCAGGCCTGAAGTTCTCTCGGACTTGAGTGACTTGGGGTTGACGACATTACCACTCGATGTTACTAACAGCGACAGCATCGCAGTCTGCAAAGCCAGGGTCTCCGAACTGACTGGAGGCCGCCTCGATTTCCTGGTCAACAACGCGTAAGGCTTACCTCATGCCATGGTGTTCTTGAACCATGAGCCAGACGATGGCTTCTATGTTGCTCATCCAGCCATTTGACAGGTTTATTCGTAATTACTGGTGGTTGTGCTGCTTACTAACCATCTTCCAGTGGTCTGACACACACTGTCCCAGCAACCGACATCAACATGGACGAAGTTCGACAGACTTTCGAGACAAACGTCTTTGGCGTCATGGCCATGGGCCAGGCTTTTGTGCCACTGCTGATCCCGGCCCGCGGCCTCATCATCATGATTAGCAGTCTTTCCGCCATCTCTCCCTACGTTTTTGGCTCAGTCTACACGGCGACCAAAGGTGCCCTCAACTCATACAGCCGTACGCTTCGCCAGGAGCTTCGTCCGTTTGGTGTGCGTGTCATGATCTCTATGACTGGTACGGTCAAGAGTCAGATTGCCAAGCTCAACCGTGAGCTCCCACCTAACTCGCTATACACGCGTGTCAAAGAGATATATGCAAAGCGCCTCACATTTTCCCAAACCAACGCGACCGTGTCCACGGGGGAGTTTGCCCAACAACTAGTAGCCGAGGCCCTGAAAGGAGAGGGGTGGCTTGGAGGTTGGGTCGGAGGAGCTACGAACTGGTTCTGGGCTGGTGGCATGGCTGGATCAGTCTGGCTGGCCAGACTTCTTTTTGGTGAGTGGCTCTTGGATGAATTGGCCTACCGTAAATTCGATCTGCCCAAACTTGAGGCAATCGTACGTAGGGAAAGTGCGAAGAAAGTGGACTAGGCAGATACGTGTATTTCATTTGTTCAATCTCTTAGCAAAGGAAGCTTCTCCTCAAATTACAGTCTATTGCAGTCCAGTCTTCTTTAATTCAAGACTCTTCCTCGTCCCTTGAACGAGATTTCGAGCTGTCATCTTCGCGGTCTCTGAGACCCAAGAATAATCCCAGCATCAACAGATCATAACACGCCTTCATGATTCCTGCTCCCGTAAACACCACGATCCAAAGATTCTTTCCGGCGAGATACCCTGCAGAACCTAGACCACCCGCTTGAGCCCACGTCTTTACAATGTTGACCACGCCCAATACAGCCGTTCTCTCATTGGGGAGAACTGCAGCTGCGAGGAAGGCCTGCCTGGGCGCTTGGTCCATGCTTTGGGTACACGCTCTCAAGGACAGAAATGCCATCGCTGTCCATGTTCCACCGGAACCAGGCGATGGAAGAGGAATCATTGACAAAAATATAGCCGAAGGCAGGTGTGTAAAAACCATAGTCTTGAGTGGTCCCAAGCGGCGGGCAAGAGGAAGTGCGACGAGGTTTGAGATTGTAGCGAGAAGATTGGTGACCAAGAATAGAGTCCCCAGTGACCCCGGCTGAAGAGAGTGGACGGTGGTGAAGTAGTAAGTTAACCAAGATGGCGATGCCATACCGGAGGCGAAAGAGTCGAGACAAAACAGAATGAGGAGCCGGAACAGTATGGATCGAGACATTGGAGAGATGTAGGGAAGCAAAGCCTTTGTGCGTTGCATGATCGTTGGCCGACGAGATTGACCGTTTGACTGCCTAGATTGGCTCTGCCCGCTGTCCAAGTTATCGCCAAGTAGAGGTTGGGTTTCGGTGTTGCTTCGACTAGTAGAATCGTCGGTCTCTGTCGGCGGTGCCTCAACACCAGACGTGAGGGCAAAAACAAGCATTAGCTTAACTAAGCCGATCGCTGCATATATAAGAAAGACGACTCTGTATGCTTCGTTCTGAGTCCAAGAATCATTGCCTTCGAGCGCCTGCACGACCCAACCGCAGGTGAGTGTGCCTAGAGCGGCCCCTGCTGAGCCGAAAAGCGTGTACCATGCGAAGATATCACTGCGCCTTTCCTTCTGCGTAAGCTGAGCAAGGATTGACTCTTCAACGGCGCGGAATGGTCCAATTTCGTTCCCGCTGGGGCTGATAACCCCGAATATACTGGCAATGACGAGAACCCAATAGTTCCCAACCGTAGCAAAAACCAGACCGCTCATAACCATCAATGCGGCTCCAGTGGCCAGGACTTTTCGTCTTCCAACTTGGTCGGTAACGGCGGTGAGCAAGAAGCTGATGACGACATCTCCGAGAAGAGTCAATGTCATGAAGAGGCCGATTCGTTCATCCGAGTAGCCTAGACTTGAGAGGAAGTGTACTAAAATAAGAAATGATGCGCCGTATGCAAAGAGGCGAACGAAACGCTGCAAGCAAAGAACTTTGGTATCGCGACATGACTGCGAAATCGATACGAAACCGCTTTCTTCGCCAAGCCGCGATAACCAAAATTTTGGCCCAGAAGACATGATGGTAGCCAAGGAAAAAACGTTGTGCGTATAAAGACTATGCGAACATAAGCATTTTCGCCATGGACGCTGAAGAGACTTATAAGTCGAACAGTGTATCAGTCGATGTGAAGTTTGCTCGGGCTGTGAGCTCGGAGTTACAAGTGGAGAGGTCGGAGAAGTTCGGTTGAAGCCAAATATTGCAAAACCTGAGTAATGTCACGTGCTTGAGGCCGCTAGGTATGACGTGAGAGGCAAAACATTTCGTGATTATTGTTTGCTAAGTTTTGGCGGTACACTACAGGCTGCGAGAAAATTTTGCTCTCCTTCATTAGTCCCCTGTTCAATATTGCCGTTCTTCCGTGTTGACTGTGAGTTAAGGTTACACATGGCGAGAATGAGGCCAATTGCACTGTGCTCCACTTGAAACACTGAGCCGCCTCCAGAGACGTAGACGTGTACTCAAGAGAAATAGACGCGACCTCAAGGTAAAATGCCCCGAGCACCAGCGCTGTTTTACCGGCATTGAGGCCTTCATGCGGCGTTCTTGACCACCTAAACTTACGAGGCTGGGCTTTTTCTTCCGGCTTCATTCGCAACTTGCGACCGCAGAGTGGCTGGCGACTTGTCTTCGAAAGTTGCGGCATTAGCCGCGGAAAGGACGAGTGAGAATACGGGAATAACAACCTCTCACTATTAGTACAGCTCGGAGGAGCACTAATAACGGAAGCGGGAAATCATCACAGCCTTTGATACTCTTCAGAGTTCACCTTCGGAACCCATTCAAGCCTTGAGATACAGTGGAATAGCTAAAAAAAATCTCTCGTGGGAGGGACTCAAGTGTTGCTACACATTACTCCAGGCCAGTGGGCTACAAAGACATTTTCGAACTTCTGTTTAACAGGGCTGCTAAAGGAAATCGATCATTACGTTATGGCCGAGAAGCTCTAGACTGTCGTTTCTTGGCTGATTTCGAAGTATCTGTAAAGTACCTGACCTAGCTACCGAAGCGACCTGGAAGAAGCCAGTCGTTTTTTGGGGATATACGATGAAACCGAAGTCCTGGACCAATACTGTGATGCTTCAACTGAAACAGAACGTTGTTCTACGCTAAATGCTTTGAGACTTTTACAGTACAAAAGCATTGTTTCCGTTTGGGAAGGGGCTCGCGTTCCAAAAGAACACAGGAGGCGGTGTGTTCTTCTTAGGTCAAGGAGCCATTCCACTAATTGATGTAAGGGCAAAGTAGGGGTTGCAGAGATATCTGTAAATTTTGCAGGTCTCCAAACAAAGCTCCTAGGGCAGGCTTCATTAGACCAAGTCAATCATGGTGACATTCAATCTTGCATGGGGTTTACTAAGCGAGGCCATGCAGCTACTATATGCATTGCCAAAGACTACCATCTGCATTGCCAAAGACTACCATCTTGCTACACTGAATTTCGCAAATTCATCGATTTCCGTACTTACACAAAATTCTTGCTGTCAGGGTCATACCTCAAAGCAGGCTTAACCATTGTTAATATTTGAGGAGGATGCCCTAAACCATACAAACCCCACAAAGCGACGGCGGCTATAACCAGAGTAACTTTAGCCCTTTCATATCTGAAAGAGAGGAAATGCGCCTCCATGAACCTTCAAGGCAACCTCAAGCCCTAGCAGATTAAGACCACACGCACGAGCTCCACTGGAATTCATGCTAGATCACCCTGCTGCGACTAGACCCGCGATGTGACAACTTGGTGCCGTGGGAGTTCAAAGTATTCAAAGTATTTATTACTGGTCTGACGCTACCCATAGTTGGTGATTGGCGTGTGTCGAGCTTGGGTCCACATGGCTTGAAAACAACGCCGATGTCTGTAGACCACAATTCGACATTTGAAGACTCATTAAGATTATATCTCTACCAGCACTTAGATTGGCATTTGATATTGAGAAGTTTAGCAGTCCGCCTTGCTCTTAGAAACAGGGCAGTTGATAGCGCTGGGAAGGGTTTCATTAGTTGCGTGGCCTCGCTACGGTGGCTGCTTTGCTTACTTCTTGTCGGACTCATTGGCGGTGATACCGGCGGGCTGCTTCTTATCCACAGTGCATTTGGCGAAGACGTTGGGAACAAGCTGCTGGGAGGTCGTGCCGCAGTCAAGGTTACGGGTGTTACCGCTTGCATCGGTAACATCAATGTCGTGGCCAACGCTGACGTACTGGTTGTTGATACCATCGCCGGAGAAGTAACTTCAGATCTCGAATCAGCTCGGTTACATGGGTCTCCGGAGATTGGGCTCCTTACCATCCGTAAACAACTTGGCGGCTCTCAAGAGCAGGAGCAGCCTGGGCTCCAGCGATGAGAAGGGCAGCAGCGACGGTGAAGGCACGCATTTTGAATATTATTTTAGGGTGAGAAATGTAAAGCGTAATGGAAATGAACGATTGACGGATTGCGGATGGTACGAAAAATAGCTTCCAACTGCGAGCGCATTGTCTCGAGGTTCTTATACTATGATGTCGCACTCTGCATGCCAGTCTTAACTTTCACGTTTACGGGCTGGGGTGGGGCCTACAATTTCCGAATGCCTCTAGTTATCATGCTCTGGCCACCGCCGAAAGTTACCATTGCCCGGTGATCCCGAAAGCAAGAACGGCTTGGCGTCAATTCACTCGAGATCCGAACTCTAAACGAATTCAATTTTGCCGCATAGCGGGAAACAAACTCCTCCCTATCACGCATGTTAAGGATTTTACGAAGGTATATTATAATGCCTTCATCTTGGGTCGGAAGCACGGCCCCCAGCCAATATTGCGCATGTAATCACCCCAAATCTGATTTCACAGAAGGCTGAATGAGTACACTAAGTGGCTTGCGGTGAACGTGAACTACGAACCGACCAATGTAGTTGAAGGATCTAAATATCTTGAACGGTAAGTAGGTTGTTCGTGGAGCGAGATAGCTGCATTGGGTTGTTTTGAAGACGTCTTGCTGCAGAGGGCTGCTTGAAGGGTAGAGGGCTGCTTGAAGGGTGGAGGGCGGGCACTGAGTCAGGGCGCAACCAACAGGGATATGATAAGTTGTCTTCATTTGGAGAAAAGTATCACAGCCTCACGCCCATTTAACCCGTAGGTCCCCTGATACTTTGGTAGGGTAGGCCGTCGGAGAGTAGAAAATCCTGTTGGTTGTCTTGCGCGTTGGCACATTCGCCTGATTGATACGCTCAGTCGCAACCATGAAGATCTGTACCTGTTTCCACGGCACATTATACTTATCACGTGAGAGAAACTCGCTGTTTGTTAGCTTCAAGTTAGTACGGATAAGCACAAGAACTACAGCGTAAAATATAATTGGTCTCTATTTGAATGCTCTGGCTCTCTGGCAAAGGTACTATAATCATACATCGCATTCCTAGCTGCGTGACAAAACGTCATTACTTCCTAAGCCGTTTGATATTTCTACCCAGCGACGCTCTCGTCCCAAACCCGTGATGGATTTGAGTTATCTCATCACTATGGGATCAGAAATCCGCCAAGTTCCCGGAGAGGCTGCCTTTGTGCTTACAACAGTGGAATGACAGCTGTATTCGTGTAATCTGCAGAATCAGCAGTGCACTCGATTCTGTCCATGCACGTTCCGAAAATACGATCCCACAATCGAGTGTGCTTGCCGTAGTTGCCGCTAGTTTTCCAGCCTTTCCGATGATGGAGATCATGATCCTCAAGCACCAACTCGCAGTTGAAGAACTGAAGCGGCCATGCGAAAGGTGTCGGGGTCGTAGCATAGAGACGCAGCCCGCTATGTCCCGTCAATTCTGTAAAAATGACGTATTCCTGGCAGAACCACCATTCGTAAAAGCCCATCGGTAGCCCTATGAGCTTGAGTGTCGCCCACGTCAAGAAAGGGATACCGGCAATGTCCCAGAACTCCTGCTCACTGTCCGCAAAGAGCGTAAGAAGAGGGTTCGGGTGTTTTGTAAGGTGGTGCGTCTTGTGATACTTCCACAACGAGTCGACCTCATGCATAAGTCGGTGATACCAATAGAACCAGAAGTCCAAAACAACACCGTAAAGACCAATCTCGAAGGGAAGAAGCATCCAATTTATTGTGGTCGGAGCCTCGTTCGAACGATATGAGAGAATCACAGCCATCATCGATCGAAATGTGGCGGTCGATATGAGTGACTCCAGTACTGTTTTGACACTTTTGTCGGGGACTCCGTCACGTTCGTGCTTATCGCCATCGAGAAATCCGTAGCGTTGGCCAAGACCGCGCATGATATTGATTTGGTGGATGGCGACAGCCTTGATCGCGACACTGTAAAAGACGAAGGCCGCTACCGGGTGAACGTTATACCCAGTCAAGGATACAAAACTTTGATGAAATAGGAGAGGTATTGTTGCGTGTAGAAGTATCCATCGATGGAATTGCCAGTGCGGGACATAGGGCACTGATTCAGCCTTGGAATGAACAGGCGCAGTTCGGTCAAGCTCATCGTGATAGAGTCCTAGACGCTCTATAATCCAGTGGCCGATCTTCCACGAACGTTTGTCGCTGCGACGCCAGGTTGACTTCATAGGATCTTTGCTTTCGATCCTGAGAGTCTGACTTTGGCTCGACGTAGTTGCTGTGAGAGTAGACGACATACTGAAAGATTGTGACTGAAAGACGCCTCGAAGGTGATAGCAATGCGTGTCGATCTGATTTATTAGGTACAATGAGGTAGGGGATCTACAAACCCGATATATATAGTTTCATCTGATGATGGTCCTCGGCACTTACACATTCACGTGTTTCAACCCCCACATTGAAATTAGCTCGGACAACACGTCAGACCCCTATGTAGTATTGACAGGATCTCCCCTTTGACACCTGATTCAAGCTGCATTGCGCTTGGGCCAGGGTTAACATCTTGATGGCTGGAACAACTATATGTGTTTCATATGGTCCCGAGGCTCAGTGTGGCTATGCGAAGCCATGCGACAGCATCACATCCAAGCTGTGTCGCTCAAAAGCCGAGGCTATCGAAGGCCGGCATCATTCGATGTGAGAATCTCTTTGACTCGTCTATGTGCGAGCTGAGCGTTATGGAACACTGTCGTAGTCAAAGCACATGAGCCGCGATGAAGGATGTTTCGTGTACGTAGGCACGCCCGCACGTAGCCTAGACCAGAGCAACCAGAAAAAGCTTTTGGGGACCTTTCATCTCAAAATCAGAGGAACTATCACTAATAACATTAGTCCCTCGGTCGGATGGCTGGTTCTCCGTCACATGGTGGTTTGTGTTGGCGGAGACGAGAAACCGAACCGTATGGAGCACATGCACACATGATAAATTGCAGTGAGTGAAATACTCCAAATCAAAGCATGGCCTAGGCCACATGCAAATTAGAAACATGCAGAACTCTGGCTTTGATCACATGCGCATGAACACTGGCGGGTCGATTTTCTTCACATACCTGGGTAGGTGGGAATACATCTCAAGAAACCTGTTGAATCATGAGCCTCTGTAGCGGACACGAATTAGGTAGATCACGGGCATTGAGGCATCATCCTTGCTGGTGTCAACGTGTCTACTCAACAAATCGTGGCAGCATGACGTTTTGATGGCTGATGTTGGACCCCTAGTGAGTCACGTTCTGGTTGTGTTCATGCTGTCCCCCAATTCTCTTTCTCTTGAGAAAAGATTAAAGCCACATAGGGTTCAATGCCATGTACGCAATCACTCGCATTGTTGTGTTCTGTAAACTATCGTGTTATTTAAATACATAATCGGTCGATGTTTGATTGGCTAGATATTTCAATCAAAGCTATGGACGAAATCCTACTGCTGCATCTAACATGGGAGGCCCCCGACCTGCTGCAAGAATCCCTCGAGATAAACCAGGCATAAGCGTTTCATTATGAAATACGTGACGAGACTACAGTTCTCAGGGAAAGCTTGCCGTGACGGGGTGATTTTTCACGTCTAAGCTTCGAATTTCTCCAGCCAACATATTGTGTTAATACCACGGCTCTCGAAAATCTAAAACCCAGAGCAGGGTCATTTGAAGACAGCCAGCGATTCAAAAGAAATACACGAAGTATACTGAGCGATCAAAACATTTCCTTGAGATACATCTTCCATTCAGAGTGGTAAAATTCAAATACTGAGGTAAAGGGCTTATGTGAATTCGGCTTTCTGGGTACGCCTACATATACGGGCAAAGGTTTCCACACATCGTTTCAGCAGGTCGTAGCGTTGCCCACAAGCTACAGCGATTGGAAATATTACATCAAACACTTGCAGCCGCGACTTTAGCAACTAAGCCCAGGATTCCTGCTGCAGTGATTGGCGAGCTTGCCCTTGAGAATCCCTCCTGGAATGGCAGGCGTTCTTGCGCTAAGGGTTCTGTGTAAGCATACGAACCATGGCAACGAGAAGGCAAGATTGGACGTACTGAATAAGATCTTGACCCATTCGGTGTTGGCATTGCCATCCTCTAGATTTCCGAAAACAGAGAGATAGAGAGCTGTCTCAATGAAGCTGAATTGAGTACCATCGGCCGTCAAGTTGAAGACAGGATTAGCAGCAGCAGCGGCTTGCAAGCGCGTAACCCTCGCCTTGGCAGCTGTTGGGATGCTGATGCTAGTGTTCGTAAAGGCGACCGCTACCGATTCCCAAATCTTTTTATTGAACGAGTGGTTGTCGCCAAAGTAAATGTCGTTACGGCTCAGACTACCGTCGTGTTCGATGACTGTCACCGACTTTAGGGCATGCATACAATGTCAAGGTCCGAGTTGACTCACTGCCATGGGTATTGAGATCGTCCAGGTTGAATGTCGCGTTGTTACCAGTCGTGGACGTGAGCAGAGCCTTTTGTCCGACTAAAGTGGTAGCAGCAGGATCCAGATTAACGGCTGCCGTAAAGCCGGTAATTAGGTCTGCAAGAGAGACATTCAAGCCGCTACGAGGGAGGTATCCGTGGTTGGCCAGAGTGTTCACCATTGGACAGGGGCTGCGACCTGAGAAGTGTCAACAGGAGCTCAAAACAGTACGTTCGTCTGATCCCGAGTCTTACGGTCGGCGGAAGTAGGCGCAAACCAATCATTGGTCCCGCGCCTGACGGCGAATGCGTCTGCTGCGAAAGCGAGAGAGAGAACGAATGTGGCTTTGAAAAGCATGTTGGGTAAGATAAGAGACAGTGAGGCAGAAAGTAGGCAGTAAAGGAGTGAAGCCTAAAGAAGGAGTAGAGAGCAACATGTAAAAAGTAAAAAGTTGGAAGCTCCATCACTTCGTCGGGTGGCCGACTATAGATAAGTCTAACTCTTGTCCTCTATGTTCTAAGGCTATCAAGTAAGCATTGTGGTCCCCTGAAGTTCTTTTCTCACGGTGATCAACTCGACGCGATACCATATCCGTACGTAAGGCCGCGCTGGGTACCAGAACGAGCTTACAAGTGCGTGATACGAAATTGAGTCTGACCCCTGTGTTCTTCTTCAGGGAACCCCACGATGGAAGATATTCCCGATCAGGGGCCCTGTGCCGAGACCTTAGCTGTAGCGGGGAGCTCGGAACCATTCTTCGATTGTGACTGACTAATTGATATGCCTCAAAAGTCAGCATATGTGCAACGATGCCCTCGGTAAAGTCGGAACAACCTGCTTTCGGGCTTTCACCGAGGACGATGGCACAATGTCCGTGCTGCAGTATGGAAGAGACATGCCGCCAGTGTATCGAAGCAATCCAAAGGATCTGTGCGTGGGCGAACCGAGCTGAAGTTGCATTGGCCAAATTCCACGGATGTTTAACACAGTTTACCTGTCACAGGCTCGGCCCGCAATGCTTATAAGGAAGATCTTGAACTCAATTAAAGTACACATTCATGACGATTCAGTCTTGTGGAGTTTTTTTTTGTTATCAATCAAGATGCATCCTCAACAGTCTACAGTGTCGTGCATTGTCAACCACCGCTTCCATCGCACTGCATTTAATTCTCTTTTCAGAAGCGGCCTGATGTCTCCCCGACGTCCCAGACTGGACCGTCTAAACCGTGGCGATGGAAGATTTTCGTCGCATCGCACAAAGACCATTTTGTCCAGTTCGCATCGGCGTGTTGGCCATACCACTCTTTAGCAAATTCCCAAATTTGCTTCAGAGGTCGGACATCTCCTTTCGGAATTCCTCTTGTAGCACACCATTCGTCCACCTGAGTTTCGTCTCGGAAATGGAGCTGCACAGAACAGGTGTAAATGACAATGTCCCATGCTTTCCTCATAGGAACTGGGAAACGCACAACAAAATCCGCAGCTTGCAGGTGCCCGTTTTTGGCCGTAATCGAAATAGCTTCGCCGATCCCGCCATTCCTTGTTGTGAGGGTTGTAGTTCCATCCGCCAGGTGCATGACGCCAAGCGAGCACCAAGCGCAATTCCCCCGCCATTGACGATTGTCTGAGGACACGACACAAGTCGTAGGCGATGCTGAGAATGGATGGCAGATCCAGATTTCGTCGGACTTAGGATGTAGTACAACGCCATGGTAATCTGCTAAGGCTCGAAGACCTTGACGTGCACTTTTTCCGTTGACTTGAAACTGAATCTGGATTTCGCCAATCGTCGGGGGGCGCGACCTTCTGAGAAATGAAAGGATGATAAACTCGTGAAGGCTGGAATGATCCATGGTAATGAGGTTTTGGAGGCGGATAGCAGCGAATAGCATGACCTCAGCTATGCTCTGCTGACGTGCCCTTTGAGTGCCGCGGAACTCAGGTACCCAAGGGCATTTATGTGAAGGACAAGATAGTAGAGTCAAGTCGGAACGGGCGCACCCTTCCTTGAACAGTATCCTGTGGAGACAGAGTGTAACACAAGAAAGTGGCATACGGTGCCAGTAGGATGCTCAAACACTCGTCAAAGGAACAATTTATGACCTCCTTGTAGACCATCTTCACAACTCTTCGTGTTTATAATGTGTATGTCCAGTCCTTTCTGGAATGAATTACGGCCGGAATTGAGTATGGGATCGACTACCAAAGCTGAACATTCCAATTGATTTCTTGTAAGCCTGTTACTTTACCCGGATGAATATAGCAAATATTGCCTTTTATGCTGGTCTACCTTACGCTGGCAAACAGGACAGCATTCTGATTATAAGTCCATCACAATTGAGACAAAAACCAATCTTTCACCAAAATCCGACGTCCCCCCCCCCCCCCCCAGTAGAGCTAGCCAGGCATAAATTGCTAACTTGACGGAATTTAGATGCACAACGACGAAAGGTCGAATGCCGCTGAAATGCTTCCAATTGGCTCTGGTTTGGTCCACACTTCTCCGATACCTGCTGTCGTAAAGGTCGTGTATAGCCTCAAGTCTCAGTCTTGCGCAGAGTCTGGAACTCCGCAGGCACGGCGTCAGCGCCGGCGCCACTGTCGGCAATCTTCTCCTGAAGGCGGATCAGGCAGGTTAGCATCTCGTCCAAGTGTCATGCACATCGCTATCTTTTCATAGAGCGCAAGGCAGCTCACCAACTCCTGAAGTTTCTCATTTGTCAGGCCGACGATGTCATACTCGGTGCCGTCTGCGAGGCCGAGGGTATCAGGTTTGACCACAGCCTCGCATTTCCCAGCACCGGGTTGCTCAACGGAGCACGACTCGTCTACAGCGCGCTTGCGGTTGAGAAACCAGTATTGCCCTCCCGTGCGGTCGCCACGCGTCGTGTAAGGCAGACAGACGGTTGTGCTACCGCCAGAATCGCGCTGGCCCCCAAAGAATGAGCAACCACCGCCCGTGTATGCCTCAGTGCGGATGCGCCAGTTGCTCGGAATCTGAGATCGATATTCATTAGTTCCGAGAGCTTTGATGGCAAAACAAAAGGCTTTCACATACGGCAACCACAGCAATGCTCGATCTGCCGCTACTTGCTGAGCTACTGAAAGAGCAGCACACGTTAGGGTTGATGTTGGTACAAGCGACTGAGCCTCCAGCGCAGTTATCGCCAACGTGGGCCCTGATGTCGATGGCTGACGCGGTGGCTGCGAGGACTACGAGAAGTGGTGAGAAGTACATATTGAGTGAGAGCGGTGGTGGTGTCTTTTACGATACTACTAAGTTTGAAAGAGGAGATGCTGATGGTGAAGAAGAAGAAGAAAATAGACCCATCATTGAGGAGGAAGTAACCTGGCTTTATACCCCTTCTTTCCCAAGTTGTTGATACTGTGAGCTTTATCATCCTGAGTAAGAGGAAGAGCTGCCGATGACTGCCCGGCGTCACGATACGGTGGCCCTTCCTGTGCCGTCTTACTACCTTGCAGATGGGGCGCCAGTTGCTAGCTGACACCAGTCTAAAGTATCCTATGCATATCTAGACAACAGGTGAGGGCATCGCCACCGCCTCAGTGAAACCTTCTTTACAGCTCGCGGGCGTTTCCCCCATCGGCATCGAGTGTAAGCACCAGATCATGAGATTCTTCATGCCGTGCAATTATCATCACCTTCCTGAGTTTGGTCCCTCAAAATCTGTCTTGCTGGATCGCATATCTCAATTACTGTTCTCAGCTACCATCAATTTGTGCGCGTAGTCCGGCAAGTTCCCGACGGATAGGACGAGCTCGTGAGGTCGTTTCTTCCAAGACATGCCTCTAGTCTGCCCGCTTCTTGGCATGAATCCTTGAGGCATTGGCCTGCAAGTTTACAATAAACTGCCCTTTTGGGTGCCTATAGCGCTTACGCCGAGGAAACTTTTGTAGCATCTCTTTCTTACTGTGGCCTGCCCAGGCGCATACGATGTGACATCGCAGATGGTGGATTGCTAGCCTAAAGTAAATCCCGCAGTTTCTGCGCCCGAGACCATGCTATCACAATAAAGCGACAACAAAGTGAAATTCTCCCCTTCATCCAGCTTACTATACAGGCTAGTCCATCCACTTCGAGTGGTTCAATCGAACCCGGATGAATCCTCAAGGGAAGTAAGCGGTTGATAGGTTAAGAACCTTTTCGAAATTAGCTTAGCAGACTACTTGCGGGGTGGTTTAATCGACTGAAGTGGGTTGTCATGACCAGTAAGACGTGACCAACAACGAATGCCCCACAGGGATACATGGAGTTGAACTTGATTGGTTGATTCTAATTCTCTTTACTCGGCTATGAGCGGCTTGTTGGACAACCATCTCCGAGTTCCGGTCCTTCACCTTGACTTCCCTTTCCATTTGGCTGGCCCTCCTATAAACTCTGATCTCCTCCGGGTGAACCTCAGAAACAAGGAGACGCCGAGTTTTGGTGCCTGATACTGTGGCTCAGTATACATATTCTTCCCTTAACGCTCGGTATTATCTAAGTTGAGACTAAATCTTGATTTGCCTGAGGCCTTTTGATCTGTTCTATGGATCTGATGGTTATTGCGGCTGTTTTGCGTTCATTCGATACAACCTATAGGCTGCGTTGTGTCACTGGAGTGTTTTCGAGGTCCTGGCTTCAAAGGAGTTAAAAACTAAGGTATTGCAGCAGGATGGGCGACGATCTTACCCGCTGACGCTGGGGCATTCCATGGCATCTCGTCGACACCCGGCAGAGAACAAGGGCAGCCCTGGACGCCTTATATTCGAAATTCCTCAAGACCTTAATTAAGCGGCGATCTGGCCAGGATGGCGGTTGCCGCGAATTCGGCTCTGGGCACATCCTCCCAGACATCCACGGGGTCACCCAGCGAGGACTCAACTAGCCCATAAGCTTGTCACGAGCTTGTGGCTTGACATGTGTTCTTCACATATTACACAAAGATGGATAATCACTTCCACTTCGTGCCACCCGCCATATATGCCTAAAAGGACCTTATCGAAATCATAAGCCATGCTCTTCCTTCACTCCTTATGATAAAAGATAGGCTCAATAGTTTCAATAGTATCTTTGTCCGTATATAACCCTATACAGGGGAAAGTCCACACCAGTCTTGACTGTTGCCTTTCGCAAGCCCATGACGGGCCCATCGGATAGTGTACTTACTACGTTCTTCGAGTGTTTGGCCTTGAGTTTCAGGAAAGAAGAGATACACCACTGTGTTGGATAATCAGTCTATGATAGTCAGGCAGCACCGGCCTCGGGTTAAGGTGCTTACCAAAAAGCTATTGCGTGAGCAGAGCCGTTTAAACGAGGCAATATATCTGTGACAGAGCGGCTGTGGAGTGATGATACGATTCCTGTTTCGTGACATCTTTGCCAATCACCGAGAACGATAATCATATTAAAATCGACTCAATTGAACAAGAGGACAAAATAGCATACGACTGGCGTCGGACTTAGTAAAAATATGTTCCTCGGGCGAAAATTGCCTAACTGAGTATTGTCCCGTGTATTTTGCCGAAAATAGCTAACTGTGCATCATTTCTTTGATATCTCAGCCCAAAGATCAGTTGACAGGCACTTCAGACCTGAGTCGCAATCATTGATTGCAAACGTCTTCTCTTGCACGGGCCCTTTGGGCAACTTGATAGCCGCGCTTAAGTTCGCGCCGCTGGAGAACCCTCCAAATATTCCCTCCTTGCGTGCCAAAAGCTTGGCGCCTTCCCTTGCCTGATCTCCAGTGACTTGAATGCAGCCGTCTACAGGGACATTATACAGATATATTAGGTCAGGCATTACATAGCCTGCTCCCTGAATAGGGCGCTCTGGTTGAGGGACACTGATTAGCCAGGACGGCTGCTCCGTGAGGTTCGACAATGAAGCATTTGCCGGGTGAGTTCAACGCCTTGAGTCGTTTTGTCACACCAGCACACGTGCCTCCTCCCGAGCCGACGTAATCAACGAACCCATCAAGATTGCCATCGGTCTGTTCCCAAAGCTCCGTCCCGGTTCCGTCGTAATGGGCCAACCAATTTCCATCGTGGGTAAACTGGTCAGCAAGGAACGCTTCGGGCTCAATTTCGATCTGTTTTGCTTTTCTTCACAAGTTGTGGATTAGGTCCCGAAATCTGTCCCGGTACCGAGCTGGGCATTTGGTCAACGAGCACGACCTCAGCGCCCGTTGCGGCCATCATGCGAGCACGTTCAACAGAATTTCCTTCGCAAATGACAGCGATGAATCTGTAGCCTTTGATGGCGCGCACCAATGAGAGCCCAGTGCCTGTCCTGACACTTGTGAGCTCGACAATTGGCTGTCCAGGCTTGAGTGTGCCCAACCTCTCCGCTTCTTCTATGATGCCGAACGCGATGTGGTCCCTTTTCGAACCACTAGGGTTGAGATAGTCAAGTTCAGCAACAAATAGTCCCATCGAGGCTGAGAAAAGATATGATGCGAACCAGGCGCACGAGAGGTGTTCGGCCGATAGCATCTGCCGCTGAATCGAGAACTCTCCGCATTGTAGGTTGTCACGGTTGAGAGGCGTTTTAATAGACGGCTCTGGAAAAAGAGGCTTTAGCGAAGTGTTCTTAAAGATGACAATTGTTTTCCTGCAGAGCTATGAAATCTAAATCAATTTAAGGGCTACCTTTCCTGAGAACCGGTTCCCGCCCAATTTCCTTTTTTCCCCCGGCTCCAGACATGCTGAAAAGCGCCAAATCATGAGTACTAAGTAATAGGGAATTGAAGTTTCTTGGAAAAAAATCGTTTCTGATTGGCTTATGTCCCGCAGGTCATCGAATGGTTAGTCAAGAAACCCACTAAGCGTGCGATCTTAGCGCCTTGCCGATATACGGGGTCCATAGATCTTACGAAGGGCGCGCTCCACGGGTCTGTAAAGAAGGGCGCGCCCTATGTGCAAGCAGACGGCACTCGACATCACCCTAGGAAGGACTATCTATAAATAGATATACAACAGTTCACTTGCATTAAGCTTCTGTCTCCGATACAATTGATTAGTTATCTTCTAGAGATTGTACGTCACCTTTGCCCTACACCTCTTCCTGCGCCTCTCTTTGCGCCCATTCCTAGTATTGGAGATTAGAATTATGGTGAAGCTCGAATTTTTCGCTGTGGATCATGTAGGTCTCTTTGTTTTTCCAATAGCAAGCAACGGTACTCAGTGTTCATTTTAGTGGCTCGCGGAGCGATCAAAGTCAACCCGCCACAACCTTGCTCATACCTCAGCGCATCCGGCATCTATCTCGGATCTTGAAGCTATTCCCGGCCGAGAGAACTGCGACGATTTCCTCTCCTCTTTTCGATCCCAGCCTCTCGATTATCCCGCGGATTTCTCCGGTCTCGCCTCCTTGCGATCCAAAATTGCAAGCCTCTATTCGGAGGACTTGCCTTTTGGAAACGTGTTGACCACCGCTAGCGGGTCTCTTGCCAATTTCATCGTCTTCTATGCTTTGATTGGACCTGGAGATCATGTCATCATCCCTTCTCCTGGCTATCCTCAGCTTCAAGCTGTTCCTACTTCGTTGGGCGCGGAAATAAGTTTCTGGAGGGCCAACCCCCAAAATGAGTGGAACTTCGAGTTTGATGAGCTGGAAGGACTTATCAAATCGAATACTAAAATGATAGTCATCAAGTGAGCTCCCCTCGATTTGAGTGAGGCATAGAGTCGCGCTAATATATGGCATTGCACCGAAGTAATCCTCTCAATCCTCTGGGCACCGTTCTCTCTGAGGTGGCACTGCGCAAAATCATCGAGATAGCTCGAAAACACTCTATCATTGTGTTCAGCGACGAGATTTACCGGCCAATTTTTTACCCGTCTTCTTCTAACAAAAGTGGAACACCGCCTTCTATCATCTCCCTAGGCTATGAAAATACTATAGCGACTAGTGCATTGTCAAAAAGCTATTCTCTTGCGGGAATTCGCATCGGCTGGCTTGCGTCTGCAAGCCAAGACATCATTGACCTTTGTGTCAATGCTCGAGCTTATTGCCTTATCGCCACGAGTCAATTAGACGAACATGTCGCAGATTTTGCGCTGGATTCCAAACGCGCTGCTTCCATCGTTCAGCAGAATATTTCGCAAGCAGAGCGAAATAAACTCATCGTGCAGGCCTTTATTGACAATCATTCGGATGTGTGCAGTTGGGTGGCACCGATAGGAGCGGCTTTGGGGTTCATGAAATTTACGCGAGGTGGCAGACTTGTGGACGATTTATCCTTATGCAAAGTACTTCATGAAGAGGAAGGGGTCCTCTTGGTTCCAGGAACCTGCTTTGGGAAGGAATACGCAGGCTGGGTCCGCATTGGTCTTGGCATGCCATCTCAACGGCTTAAAGACGGCTTGGAGGTGGTCTCAAGGTTCATTTCGAATGGCTACAGCAACATACCCCTGGCTTTTGTTGGATGAAGGGGAAGGATTTTCAACGGTTTTTGACCTAGGAAGAATGCCAAGCGAATGTATGTAATTTGGCCAGATCACAACATGTTGACATTTCCATTTCCATCGGCCGCAACGTCTTGACTT